ATCCCTTCCTTAACTTCCTTGAGGTTGCAACCCTTGCATCGTCATCACCGTCAACCAAATTTATTGCAGCTCCAAAACATAAATCAACTATCATGGCATCCTACCTCAAGAACGCCTCGTTCCTCCAGAACACCACCTATAACCTTCCCGTGCTCTCCATCATCGGCTACTCCGTGCTGTGCATCGTCCCGCACTTCGTCGCCGTCAGCATCGCCTATGGAGATGACCCCAGCAAACTCGACAACACCAACCCTCACGGCGCCGAGGGCGAACTCGCGTTGAAGAAGAAGCTCGGCCCAAAGAAATTCGCCGCCTACGAGCGGGCCGAGTCCTGCCAGCGCAACCACTTTGAGAACTTCCCATTGTTCGTCGCAGCCATCTTCGCCGGGCTTCTGGCCGAGGAGCGCCTCAAGACTCCTCTTCTCGGCGGTCTGTCTGCGTCTGCGGCTGCCGCTCAGATTGGCGTGACTGCTTTCTCCGTCGGCTGGCTCGCTCTCCGCGTCCTCTACACCGCCAACTACATCACTACCACAAGCAAGGCCTTTGCGGCCGTCCGCAGCCTGCTGTACTTCGCTGGCAACGGCTGGGCTTTCACCATTTTGGTCAAGTCTGCGTACGCTTTGGCCGCATGAACGATTCGCTTGGGACAAAGAGAAGAAGGTTGCAGGTGAAGTGAGATCTGGATAAAATGCTATAACTGTGCCTTTCCAGGCTTCGATGTGCTTGAATTCGGGCTTCCCTGCCTTGGTAGTTAGCTACTCGATCAACAAAGTGTGCAACGGGAAGACTTATGAAAAAAAGTTGGTGCCATCTTCTCTTTCCTTCGCAGGATTGAGAGATGGCATCACGTCGAGAGACAAGCCCATTTTCACCTTCCCGCGATCCCTAGCATTCGTGAAACCTCCGAGTACAAGTTAACATGAACAGCTTCGGTGGTGTGGCGCGCTTCCACGTCTCGTCCTCGCTTAGCATCCGTAAATGCTACAGACCTATCAATCTTGACCATGTAGGGAAGCAATGCGATCGAGTGGACTGGCAAGAGGGATCACAGACAAGCCAAAGCTTTGAGCCTCACTCGAGAGAGGTCCCGCAGTCCACTCTTGTTTACCCAGGTTATCAAACCACACCTCATTCCCTAGCATGTCTCAAGCTGGAGGACGTGTAGCAGCACCATGATGTTCAGCTCGAGAAGTTTCAGCTTACAGCCAAACAGAAATCCACTTTGACCATGCATGTGTAAATCTTGTCGGACAATCCCAGAGTGCTCGAAACGGGGCAGGTTGCCACAGACTGCTCAGACGTGTTCCCATAGAGCCAAGATCACATTGTCGAACAAGCTGTCATCTCTCGTATCGAAGAGAATTTCCCTTTGTCGAAGCCCAGCTCGGTTTGCCAGGTTCACTGCAAAGTTCAGGTCTCGACACCCAAGCATGGCGATTCTCCGTTTGTGTATGAGCACTGCCACTGAAAGACAGTCTTTGATTCCATCTCAACATGATCACAGCAACTGCCATGACCCGCCAGAGAGGCAGTATGCCTTGCCAAGGCGCAAACGGACAAAGTACATCTACAAAAGCCGCTCGCCATCTCATAAATATGAGGAGACATTGCATATCCCCAAGAAGAGGAGGCAGTGTGTTTGGCGTTCGGTGCTCACCAGTCGACCAGAATTCTCCAACTCCGTGAGGGGAGTGGTATATTCTGGGAGATGATTAACGCAACTGGTCGGATGACTCTTGTCCGCGTTAGCCGACAGAGACTCGACGCCTGAAGCATGATGCTGTGGCGCGCGCTTGTGGTGATCCGCAAGTCGTTCGTAGGGGTGGAGAACTGAGTGGCTTTTCGCCGAGGCAATATCGCGGATATGAGAAGTGGTCAGGACATCTCCGTCAAAGTCATCGTTGCGTAGAACAGGGTCAACAGAATCGGTGCAAGAAGGTCCGTGTTTGCGTACTAGATCCAAGTTACTCGGCATCGAGCATGACCTTTTCCGAATTCAACTCACACGCTCAAACAGACCGAAACTGCTTTGCTGGCGGCACGGACATGGTTGACAAGGTTGCCGGGGCTACCACACGCCAGTGACTCTCTCGAGTCGACCACCTGAACCGATTGCATCTGAGGTAAGCTCGATCGTCTGGCACCTCGTCTCATGACATAGGTCTGGCTAGTACGAAGCCGAGCAGTTTGTGAAGATGCAAATTGTCAGGCAGTCTGTGTGATGGCTCAGATCCAAATGTGAATGTATGTAGTGCCCTTCTTGTAACCTATGTGTCTTCAGCGCAGCAGTCAGAATCACGTTTCAAGCGAGGCACAAAGGCAAATAAATCGAATCGAAGCCGGGACTGCTCGGCCCACTCGGAACCTAACATTGCGGAACGTTCTCGGCGCAATCAGTTTGACCAGCAACGAATGACAATGACACGAGGAGATCCTCAAGGCATCTTTTTTTACCAAAAAGCCCGTCACCTCTCGCCCAGTTCTCTCCCACTGCATGACGAGCAGCCATCAGTGAAGCAATCCATAAATGACCAAAGCAAAAGTCTGGGCAGCCATCCCGACGCGCGCCTCCCGAGGAGAATCTGACCAAACCGACGCATGGGAAAGCTGTGTTTCGTGCTCTCTCCTGGAAGGAGAAGAGCCCGGACTCGAGACCGGCAACGCTTTCATCGTCTTCCTCGTACGCCATCCAGATTGTGTGAGCTTCACCGAAGTGCATGGTCCCACATTCCTTCAAACGAACAAGCCAGTACGACTAATAATCGATACCAGCTGCTTGTCCTTCATTTGAAAATGTAAGACATTGCGATGCTTGGAATTACCGAAAAGAAATGGTTAGGGTTAAGCACCCTGCGATGCCACTTCCACGACAAGAGCGACGCGACTGATAAGACAATTGAAATGAGACCATGCTATGAGGCTCGAGTGTTGCCGTCAGAGTTGTCGACTCCTATCGCGCAGCGTAAGCTGTGTATCGGACGATGCTGGCAAGCGTGAAGCAGACTCAGCAACGACCAAGTGAAGGGCTCGCGGAGGACCGATGGGAGGGAATGTGCTCTTGGTTTGTTTTGGTGAGAAACCGCTCATGCCTGGGGTGAGGATATTTGATTTGCGATGTCCAGCTCTGCGAGGTTTAATAGTCAGCGACAAGGTTTCCATTCAAGGCGGCATCGAGCTTGATGAACAATGTGCATCGTGAGTGACGTCTGGGGTGAGAAGAGTTTGCCCAGGAAGACGCGTTGTGACGATGATGGCGCTGGAGGCTGGAGCAATTCAATACGGCGTGCTATACTCGCGCGTTAGCAACGCGCACAACGTTTGCAGCTCTCAAGTATCACATCACCCCGATGTGCCTATCAATTATTACGCGATACAGGAACCAATTAATCGCAATCAGCGTATACTCCCCCAATCTTTTTCAACGAACAACATGGTGTCTTTCGATGAGGGCGAAGACGATCTGTACTTGCTCAAGGCATCCAGCGCATTGCTGAACGATTTAGTCCATGGATTGAATAGATTGCTCCGGCGGCCAAATGGCCAAGTACATAGTCTTGTCAAGCAAAAAGATCTAGACCGGATCGTAAATATCGTATGTAGAGATTCTATCGCCCGAGCAGAGTCATGACAATATCTTTGCTCAGACATCCTGGTAGATTGAGACTTTTCAAGGAGAACCGCAATTACTCGATGCCCACCTCGTCAAGATCCTACTTCCGATCGTCAGCGCTCTCCTCAGTTGTCTTGCGCAGGCGAGAAGTCAGAAGACGGATAAACACATCGATTCGCAAGTCGCAATTTGCACAATACTCTATACGCTATGCAAAGTCCGAGGGCAGAAAGTAATCGTGGGGTTCTTCAACAACGAGCCGAGATATCTCGAGCTCATACTGGTTGCGCTCGAAGCCACTCTGATTGACAGCTGTAGTCATGGGAAGTCATGGCAATTGCACTACATTTTATCGCTTTGGCTATCACATCTATTACTCACGCCTTTCGATCTTAGCACAATTTCGTCTGCGCCCTGCGTGATCAGCAACGCTGAGGAGTCACAAGCAGCCTTTCTGCAGAGTCTTCCCCCATTGACAGCTCGCATCCTCCAAGTCGGCTTGTCATACATTTCATCATCGACCAAGGCTCAGGACGCTGCGGCAAAATTGATAGTCCGACTCATCGTGCGGCCCGATGTACAAGGCCATCGAATTGGGGATTGGCTGCTCGATCGTAATCTCGCACTACTTCGTGGCGGGAGTGATACAGGTCGCAATGATGTCTACGAGTACATCGGAAGTCTCCGATTATTGGCAGACATATCGTCCGCGAATGAAGTCAGCCATCTATTACCCAGGATATACTCGTCGTGTCAAGAGCTATTTGATGAGGAGGGAGGGAACTTGATCGCATCAAACGCAGTCGGGAAAAAGCTCGCAGTCAAGATTTTTCGGAACATTGGAATCCTGTCACTCAAGTCGACAGTCTCGGAAAGTCCCCTGCTCGAGTTTGTACAATCTACTGGCGTTGTTGAAGGCGTTATAGACTACCTTCTAAGGTCGCTCGGCGACAAAGATACGCCTGTGAGACTGGCTGCGGCCAAGGCAGTGAGTCTTATCGTGCTTGAACTTGGTGAAGAAATGGGTCATGAAGTGGTCGAAGCCATCCTGGAAACATTGAAAGAGGATATTCCGAGATCTTCCGCCAAAGTCGACTTGACCACAGTGGATCCCCTCAAGTGGCATGGTCTTATACTCGCATTGGCTCACGCCTTGTTCAAGCGATCAGCATCTCCCGAACAATTGCCAGACATTCTCAAAGCTTTATTCACTGCACTTCAATTCCAACAGCGCACAGCAACTGGTACGCTGCTCGGCACCAATGTGCGCGATGCCGCAAATTTTGGCATCTGGTCGCTGGCTCGGCGGTATACATCGACCGAACTTGCAGCCGTCAGTGTCAGGGCATTGTCGTCCGATGATGTATCAACGTCTGCTGGATCGATCGTACAGCTTTTGGCTATTCAACTACTGCTCTCCGCTTGCCTAGATCCAGCTGGAAACATCCGGCGTGGTTCATCTGCTGCACTCCAAGAACTTGTTGGCAGGCATCCCAACATAGTGCGTGAGGGCATAAGTCTGGTTCAGGTGGTCGACTACCAAGCCGTCGGTCTGCGGCACCGTGCTATGATCGATGTTGCAGGCCAAGCTGCAGCCTTAGATCCGCTGTACTGGAGTTGCTTGACAGAAGCCCTTCATGGTTGGCGAGGACTCGGATCGTCGGATGTCTCATCTCGTGAGAGCGCCGCATCATCAATAGCATTGCTCTGGGTCAGCCAACCCATAACCATTCACAAAGATGTTGTAGATGACTTGATCAAGAATCTGCAGGCTCGATCTTCAAGCAATGTCGAGGCGATTCATGGCGATGCACTTGCGATTGCCGGCATCCTAAATCACAGCGCGCATCTGAATATTTCGGATCGACTCAATTTGGTTCAGCTTTGGACGGTCATGGATGACTTGCAATCTGCTTTCGTCGAATTCTCCCCAAGATTGCTGCGCGCTGAGCTACCAAAAGCGATCATGAGAATCACGACGGAATTGTGCAAGCTTTCAAGCCGCGACATTCGGCTGGCTAGCGATACAGATTTGCATTCGTGTAGATTAATGGACCGGATGACTGAGCGACTGCTGACCCGTCACGAGGATTGGATCCTGAATCTCGTTCCGGATATGGTCTCTCAGCAGCGCATATTCTCCCAAACTCACAAGGTGAAGTTGTCGTCGATAGATCGCCAGCACCTCTCTGTGGAGATCCAAAGAAGTTCCGGCAAATCTAGCTTGCATGGAGCCGGAAGGGCTATTGCACTCGGAACCATCGCAACATCGCCGTCGACTGAGCAAAGCGAACAGCCATCAAGCGCGGCTATACAATGCTTAGCGGACCTCATGAAGGCTACCAACGTCGATTGGCGAATTATTGGTGCCAAATCTCTGCAATTGACGGCCAATAGCCTTATCACTGTCGAGATCGAAGACACGATGCTCATCAAGATCATCTGCTCTGCAATTCGAAGGGGTCTGAAGGACTATACTATCGATGAACGCGGCGACATCGGTTCATTGGTCCGCATTGAGGCGATCAAATGTACCTCTAGCGTCTTCACAGCTACGCTTTTAAAGGACGAAATGGAACTCAAACAAGACCTTGAGTCCGATATTCATCGACTGTCGCTGGAGAAGCTGGATCGCGTTCGTATACAGGCCGCCCAATGCCGATCGGAATTCATGAACCTGGACTGGAGTGTCACTGATATATCGAGCATTTCCACAACAGCTTATTTCACGATAGCCCTTGCACCATTACTGAGCTCAGACTCGCCCGATTGGAAGCGTTCCGGTCTGCTTTCGGGATGCATCTCATGCGCAGGCACTGGTGCAGAGGCGTTACTTCAAGCGGCTCGACAAGTTCTTGCTACAAGCATGATGAGCGCACCTGCGGAGCTGCTTGAGCGTTTCATGAGCGACTTCACGAGTGTCCTAAAGAGATTGCTAGACGAGAATATCACTGCCATTCATCCCGCGCTGGAGCTTCTCGCGTTCGTACTTCGATGCAACCTCGTTGACGCTGTTTTCAGCTCCCAGAGCTTCAAATGGCGTGGTTTGCTGCTGACAGTGCAAAAATCTCATTTCAAGTCTAACGACATCCCAAGGATTGTCGCGGCGGTACAGGTGTATATTGGTTTGGCCCGGGTTGCCGCAGTTCGCGAGGAAACGTTGAAAAAGCTTTTGAGCATGCTCAAGACCAATCCTTATCCTCGCGTTCGCTTCGCAGTCGCTGATGCTTTATGGATCTCCACGGGAAACGAAGCATTGAGAGCATACGATGCCACATTGCCAGCTGTCCAGCACGCGCAATTATTCGAACAGCTTTCGGTTCACTGATATTGCCGAGAGTACGTGGCCAGGAATGTCATGATCATCGCAAAGTATAGCAAGAAATTCTTGAACCGGTAATCTTCCGTAGTCGCACAAGCGCTTGGTCATTTTCTTGTGTCTTGGCCGATGGCCTTTTTTGCCCGAAAGCGCTCTCGTGCTCGGGCGTTCAGATGACCTTCAAGTCAGCGGTACGCGCGTCTCTGGCTGCGGATGTATGACTTCCCATTTTGAAGCATCATGTGTTATTATTAGTTGAGCCATGCTTCTTCCAAGAAAGTCTTGGTAAGCGCTGTGGACGTCTCGTGTGACTGTCAAAGTTGCCTGATGGTATCAATCTTTCTACACACTTTCTCAACGTAGAGCTAAGCATCAACATTCATCTCGAACCTCATCATCAATACAGTACAATAAACACAATGCGCTTCGTCATCTCTTTGTCAATCTTGTGTAGCTGCGTCGCAGCCCGCATCGTTGGCCTCGCCGGCCCGGAAGTAATCTCACCGAACGCCAATATCACAGTATCCTTGATCACCGAGAACTACATCCAATCAGTCGCAGATATTTCTGTGGCGTTCAGTCTGTCGCCAGCGGTTTACCGTGGCTACCTTGGACCACTCCTACTGGGTTCCTTTTATCTCGGCTCAGCGCGCTCTAACGTGCTGAACAACGTCAACTTCACCGTTCAAACACCATCGGATCTGTCAGACGTGCACTACATCAACGCAGCAGTGACCAGTCTGTATGGCGCCAGTCATGTCCCTATTACGATGATCTGGAATCTTCGTGTGGACGTAGGGAATGCGACGAGCACGGCACTAGGCACCACCGTTGATGGCTTGAATGTTTGTAAGTTCGAGACTCAGTCACCTGCAAGCTTGCGCATGTATGATTCTTCGGGAGCTGTCGCATATTGCTGACTACTTCGTGCAATGGTAGGCCAAACCTCACTTCCAGTTGTGGCCAGCACTGCAACAGCGACGACTTCGCCAGCCGCAACAGCCACTTCCCCACTACAGTGTTTCCGTGGTGTCGAGAATGAAGGTCTGCAGCTCAGCATTCAAGCCGGACTTGTCACACTCGGCACATTGATCAATGACGTTTCGCAAGACTCGAACATAACCGTGCCGGACGACCTCAGACAACTCAGTGGCCTACTTGATGAACTGGCAGAGATTGTCCTGCCTCTCAACGGGTGCATGGTCAATCCGACAGCGACGTGGCCGCCACTCCCAGTACGCGACTCAAGAGTCCGGGTGACACAAATACTTGAAGGTATGGTGAGCGGGCTGCGGGCACTGTCCGCTGCGGTATTGCGATGTGATATTGCCGCCGCATCATCGATCATCTGCCAAGTCGAACGGTTGTTCGTAGATGCGAACGCGTATTGGACGTCTCTGTGATTCAAAGATCATCAGGGCGCGAGCACGACTGGGGGAAGGATGTTCGTAATTGGATACGTCTTGAAGAACCGTCGTACATGATTGCGTTCATTCAACGCGGGATGAGCTTTCCAAGGTTGTCGTCACATGAAGATGATGAATGACATGCCACGTGACAGTACCCTTTGTCGATGAAATAGAACGCTAGCGACCTGCATGTCGGATTCGTACCCACCTGGGCAGCAGCCCTGGTGGTAAACTAGGATCTGATGAAGTGGCATGTGCCTCGGTAGATCTGCATTCCGTCCCTCAATTCTTCATCTTCGAGTCAATGTCACAAATAAATTATTATGAATCCGCAAATGGAAGTCGGACCCTGTGGAAACTGCCCTTACGAAATCCATTCAAGTCTACTTACGACGTGTACATCGATTGACAGGAATCGGCCAGATTTACGTGAAGTGATGAGATCATTGTACACATGAAGGTCCGGAAAGCGGCCTGTCAAAATTTGTATCGTGCCCGTGGTGCTCGGAGCTCGGAACATAAGGGTGAGACATCGGCTTTAGGAGACAGCAGGAGGTTAGGTGGTAATTATCCCCCACACGAACCATAAATCAGACACGCATTCATTAGAGGACGGGAGGGGCTTAAATGCCAATGCTGGAGACCGCCCAGGTGTGCTGTAATCCCAAAAGAATGAAACGAGAACGACGATCGCGAGGGCGGATGGTTTCGCAGGCTATGAACCGTGCCCGCCATATGATCATTGACGACACGACTTGATCAGTGGCGCACAATTGATGCAGGCGGAACTTGACAGGCATCTCTACTGTAGATCTCTGATGGACTTTTTGCTGTGCACGCGGAGGATCAAGATCGTTCTCGCAATATCACCGCTGCGCCTGCCTTTAAAATATCGACACGTGGTTCCCAGTAGATCGCATCATGCTTCTGTGGGTTTCAACTCGATAATCACGCATCTATTCTAGTGCGATGTGGACAGTGACAACCGAGATGACGGGGACAAAATAATGGCAGCCTGGCGCATAACAAAATGAGGCCTCGAGTAATGTACGTCAGCCCCGCTGCACATATAGGTGCACAACAACTAGCAGGGCGCGCCGAAATGCATATCTGGCCAGTATTCCTTCGACACATGGAACGGCAAACATGAACGGCCGCCGCAGACAGATGTGCACGACCTCAAGATGGTAGGGATAGACAGGCAGGCGTTGACGACTTTCCTTTGTGCGCTCGTCGGTTGGAGAACCGGCCGACGGCTAGATTGTGCTCCCGATGAAACCCATCGTGTCCATTCACGGAATTACAACATTTTATGTCTCCGCAGGGGCTCCATTCTCGCCGATGTGTCCCCTTTGCCTCCCGCCTGTTGCGGGACTGATCGTCCTGTGGGGTTCATCAGAAGTAAGGTTTCCATGGCACGCATCGGCTTCTACACACATGGCCAAGCCCGATCGTCTCGTCCCACTTCTTTCATAAAGCGATTAGTGTGGCTGTAAGACAACGAGCGGAGCCGGCGCTCGTTTGACGGATATCCTGAGAAGTCGCAAGTTTTCGTAGAAATGCTGCTTTATGCCCGCTGCTCATAGTGCTTACATGCTTTGACTTCCCTTTTTTCCTCTCATAATACACAGGTCATCAGTTCACCGAGCTCTGCCCGCTGACGAGAGATTGGGCGGCACTAATTCACAATTTCTTGGATGCTGATTACATCTGTGGATATTTTAGTAAAGTCCTTCTTCCTCCGCACGTTCATCAGCCGCAGCCCGACCGAAAGCGATTCCGGTTCCCGGATTCCCTCGAAATACGATAAGCGAGCGAGATCCGCGGCGCGCATCCAGAGGAATATATACATCATTATTCTACGTCTGGTCTCTCTTTTCGGCACGCTCTGAATTTACAGGCAGAATCGAGCTCCCGCACCAGCTCGTCTATAGCTGGACAGGCTTAATCATGGCTGCACTCGACACTTTGGACATCGTTGTTCTTTTGGTTTTGCTCCTTGGAACCGTCGCTTACTTCACGAAGGGCACATACTGGGCGGTCAAGAAAGACCCATACTCAGCGGTCCTCGCAAATGGCGCAGCACTCAAAGCCGGCAAGAGCAGGAATATCCTGGAGAAAATGCAGGAGAGTGGGAAGAACTGTGTCGTCTTCTATGGCTCACAGACTGGTACCGCGGAAGATTACGCATCACGGCTGGCCAAGGAGGGCTCTCAGCGATTTGGCTTGAAGACAATGACCGCTGACCTCGAAGAATACGACTATGAAAACATGGATCAGTTCCCCGAAGACCACATCGCCTTCTTCATTCTCGCCACATACGGAGAGGGCGAGCCGACCGACAACGCGGTCGAGTTCTACGAATTTTTCAAGGGAGATGACATTTCATTCAGCGAAAAGACCAGCGACGATGCTCCTCTGTCGTCCCTGAAGTACGTCGCTTTCGGTCTCGGCAACAACACCTACGAGCACTACAATTCCATGGTACGCGATGTGGACAAGATCTTCACAAAGCTCGGCGGAACTCGTATCGGCACTGCAGGAGAAGGCGATGATGGTGCTGGCACCATGGAAGAGGACTTTTTGGCCTGGAAAGAGCCGATGTGGGCTGATCTCGCCCAGAGCATGGGTCTTGAGGAACGAGAGGCCGTGTACGAGCCCGTCTTCGAGATCACCGAGAAGCCTGAGCTCAGTATCGAGGACACCACGGTCTACCTTGGTGAGCCGAACAAAAACCACCTCGAGGGCCTCTCCAAGGGACCTTACAACGCGCACAACCCGTTCATCGCCCCAATCGTCGAGTCTTACGAGCTTTTCAATGACAAAACCCGGAACTGCCTGCACCTTGAGGTTGACATCTCTGGGTCGAACTTGTCGTACACCACGGGCGATCACATTGCAGTTTGGCCCAACAACTCTGGAATGGAAGTTGATCGATTTTTGAAGGTCATCGGATTTACAGACAAGAAGGACACCGTTATCGGTGTGAAGGGATTGGACGCGACCGCCAAAGTGCCATTCCCGGTTCCTACTACGTACGAAACTATCCTCCGGTACCAGCTAGAAATTGGCGCTCCCGTTTCCAGACAGTTCGTTGCTACCCTTGCGCAATTTTCGCCAAGCGAGAATATCAAGGAAGAGTTGGCCAAAATTGGAGGCGACAAGGATGTGTTCGCGGAGCAGGTCACCAAGAAGAATTTGAACATCGCCCAATTTCTCAACCACATTGGCAAAGGCGCAGTCTGGGACAAAATTCCTTTCTCTTTGTGGATTGAGGGGTTGAACAAGATCCAGCCCCGTTACTACTCTATTTCGTCCTCTTCATTGGTGCAGAAGAACAAGATTTCGATCACAGCCATCGTCGAGTCCGTCGAGACCGCAGGCGCGCCACACGTTGTCAAGGGAGTCACCACGAACTATCTCTTCGCCCTCATGTTGAAGCAAGCCGGTGTTGCCAATCCCGATCCTAACGGTCTCAACTACGCTATCACCGGCCCGCGCAACAAGTACGACGGTATCCACGTCCCAGTTCACGTCCGCCACGCCAACTTCAAGCTGCCTTCAGATCCTAGCAAGCCCATCATCATGGTCGGTCCGGGTACCGGTGTTGCGCCTTTCCGCGGATTCGTCCAGGAGCGTGCGCACCAAGCTGCGAATGGCGAGAACATTGGCAAGACTGTCCTCTTCTTCGGATGCCGCAACAGTGAGCAAGATTTCATCTACAAGAAGCAGTGGGAGGTAAGTCTACATCATAACAACGCTTGAAGAAGCGTGTTTTCAAGTATATTTCATGACTTTTAAGCTGACCATTCTTCCCACAGCAATGGTCAAAGGAAATGAACGGCCAATTCGAGCTCATCACAGCCTTTTCCCGCGACGGTCCCAAGAAGGTTTACGTGCAACATCGCCTGAAGGAACGCGGCGCCGAGATCGACGCCCTCCTCCAGCAGCGCGCATACTTCTACGTCTGCGGTGACGCTGCCAACATGGCACGCGAGGTCAATGACACATTGGCTCAAATCATCGTCGAGCAGAGAGGCGTAGACAAGAAAAAGGCGGATGACATCGTCAAGGGCATGCGGGCGAGCGGACAATACCAGGAGGATGTTTGGTCATAAAACGTGGACGAGAAAGAGTTTGTCTCGTTGTCATTTAAGGAGTCGCGCGAAGAAGGTCTAAGCACAAAGACATAGAGATGCAGGTGGTCCACGCTACACAGCCGCCATCACAGCGATACGGTCGTCATTGGAACTCGAGTACCCATGTTAACGCTCAGTGCTCGTCGAACGTCCCCCGGATCACACATCGTTTTGGGGGTGAACGGAATTCCGTTGTTACATTTTTTGGACATCTTGGACACTTTGGCACCAGATTGCGCGGGGTTCCGGGTTTTTCCACTTTTGGTTTCTGCGCCATAGAGAGAGAGGTTGTCATTTACTAAGTTTTCGAAATGAACAAATTTATTCTAGACTTGTTTGGTTTGCTTTGAAGTTCGAGGCGATCTGGTGGAGACCGTGCCCGCGACTCTTCAACCGTCATTCTCCTTGCGAGATTCAGGACTATTTCTTAGAGCTTCAGTATCCCTGCGATCTTCAAGCTCGAATTGTTTTCTGCGACGGGGCGCCGACGAAACCTGCATCCATCCCTGTCCAGTTAACACGAACCTCGCACACAAGGTATACCTCTCGGACCGCGCGCAACGAGGGTTGACGTCGTGCGCCAGCGACACAGTGTGCGATGCTCGGAGTTAAAACGGGACATTGCCACAGTAAACGGTGTCTCGAATGGGTAAAAATGTATCTGAAAAGTGCTCATATGCTCAGCTCTCTGGAATGACTGCACCTGGGCATACACACCTAGGTACATTGCAATGAAGATCCCGACATGGCAGTTCTTAGGGTTGTTTGATTTTGGTTGGGCTTGTTTGAATGTTGCCCAGGTAGACTTCAGTGCTGCCATTCATGGTTTCCATCGGTCTTTCTACATAAGAAATTCCTCAGAGCTCTGAAAAGCATCGCTCTTCGTTCCTGTTCATCCGGCATGTCTCTGCATGTCTTCATCAGGTTCAATTGATTACTTGCTCCCTTTCTGCAGCCATTGAACGTCGTGCAACTCAGTGTTCCACACCTTCTCCTTTGGGCCCTGGGACGGTGCAGACAGACAGATCTGCTGCAGTACTCTCGTCTGCCTTCAGCGTTCCTCATGCCGTGTTGCGTCGAGGAGATGGCGATGGCGAGGCAGCAATGTACATGTGCGCCGTCGCACTCGCAGAGTCTGAGCAAACCAACAACATCACTGTCTGTATTTGTGCTTCTGAACACGTCTGGGCAACAGTCGAGCTGGTCTCGTCAACAGGCAACATAAGTCCTCACGGTATACGGTGCATTCCCGACTGGAGAGCGGTGTCATTGATTGAGGGGACCATACCATCCCGAGTCTACGACAAAAGGCTTGTCCTTTTCGTGCTTGCCCAGGTGCTTTTCAGCATTCAATCGCCATTGCCACCTCGACATCTCTACGATCGCATCTGCCTAGTCACTATTCCATACCTTCTCACTTATCCCCGATTAAACAAATGGTGTTGGTTGGCATGTGAATTACTATCTGTCAAACTCTGCATCTTGAGCCACATTCTTGTTGTTGATAGCTCCTTGCCTCCCAAGGTTGCCATCATTTCGGATATTGGATAAAGGCGATTGTTGTTGATGCGTTGAGGTTTGGCTGGTCTTACGAGGTTGCTTGACTACCTAGGTACCTACACAGAGACACTCGCTCGAATAGCACTTCTGTGCCTGACTATTGCCATCCCGACGGACCAAGCAGATCGAGGAAATCGTTGGCTCGTGGTAAGGCAGTCTCTACTGTCATAGACCTCGAAGTTTCGCGCCGATCGCACGGCTTTCATTGGAGCAATTTTCAGCATTCAATCCTTAAGAAGGAGACAGCTACTAACAATTAGGAACGGCGATAGCATATCTATCGAGGTAGGTTAGGAAGACATGACGTCCCGGGAAATCGTGGAATGACATCGGCACCCTTGAGATCATCAATGCCCACGAGATGCCCATGATTTCTACGCTCTTGCCTACCCAATGCCTTCACTCTGCCCATACATCCATCGGACTTGACCGAACTTGTGACCCCATGTCTCCATCTCGACTTCCTTTCTGACCTACAACCTTCCCCCCGAGCAAACATTGCCTTCCTCGCTTCATGACAGTCACAAACATACACTCGTCTTCTTTCATTTTGCAGCTTCTACTTCTTCTTCCGCTTCTGTTCCTCTGTGATTCAGCTGCCTTACAATCTCCCACACCTCTTGGTAGCATTGCATTTCGATCATCCTCCAAATTCGTTCCCACTTACATTTTCTCTATTCGCTCCTTATCTCGAGATCATCCAGCACGATCGACATCCATCCAAGAGTTTATCATCTGAATTTGAACGTTCGTTGCTCTGTTCCAAGCATACTACGAACCTTCCGACTGAATCACAATACTGACGATGAATCTCCAGGCGTTTGTAAGGCAACGTGAGTCTTCAACCCCGATATCAAGAAGCCTTCCTCGGTAAGCACGTTGTAACGCCAGCATCAAGTCGACAGCGTCCACGAAAGATACCTCAAAGCACAATATCTCGCCCGTTCGGTTGAAAGCTCTGCCTTCTTCATCATCATACCAGATCCTCAGTGTTCTCGAAATCAAGCACCATGACCCAACACAAAAGCAGCCTTAGTCCCTACTGGGCTCGGTCATTTGCTGATCCAAACCACAAGCAAACTTCGAGCATGGCCGACCCGAAACACGGCATGCAATACTCTCGCTCAATTCCAGTCTTCCCACCCACAAATGTCGCTCATTTCGGTGCTGGGTTTGCGTCGGTTGGAAAAGCTGGACAAGGCTATGGCATGCTTCCAAACTCCGACGTTACGTCCATTGCTCATTCCTTCCAAGGCATGAATATTCAGAACCCCACTTTCGCTACGCAGAGCAAGAACACAACCATGTCCACTACCGCCAATGCCTATGGACCTCTGTCGTCAGAAGCTACGATTCCCTATAATCCCACGGCCTCGTATCTGTACGCCAATGCGTACAATACCAACGCCAACCAGCCCGCGGGAATGTACACCCCCCATACTCAACATTACATGTCACCAATGAACTATGCTAGCTATCAACAGCACGACAACAGTCCCATCTCCCATCACTGGACACCCGGGACCAACTGTACCCCTGGTGACATACCCACACTGATCACTCCACGTCGCGGCTCGATCTCGCCCAACGAGAATGATCAACCGACGACACCTGCGGGCGCTTATGGGTATGGCTACCCACAGGCCGGTGTTGCAGTGCGTCGTTCTCCGAGCGGCCCATTCAGTCACAACACTCCTTCTCCGGTGAGCCTATCAATGGGTACTCCATACGGTCTGTCAACAATGAAGCATCAAGAACAGAGTGACATCTCTCCCGACCTGAAGATGCTCATCATGCAGGAACCTGTCATCCCGCCGGCTATTCCTGCTCCGTCGTCGCCGCTGAAGCCACTGGATAGAGCTCTAGAGAACCAGCGTGGCGAGACCAATGTCTACATTCGGGGACTTCTTCCAGAGACCACTGATGAGATGCTTCAAGTTTGGGGCTCTCGATTTGGCGATATCAAGAGCTCAAAGTCGATCATCGACATGCAGACCGGTCTTTGCAAAGGGTGAGGAATCTTCACTTCAACATTATCGTTTAAACATGCTGACCTGATCACAGCTTTGGCTTTGTCAAATATCACAACTACGAAGATGCCGAGAATTGCATCCGTGGCTTCCATCATCTTGGATATGAAGTCAGCTTCGCCAGGGTAAGTGCTTCAGCAATGGGGGCGCTATGAAGCAGAAGGTCTGACTCACAATACTTGTAGGAGTCGTTCTACTCCAAGCTTAAGACGTTCTCCGATGAGAGTAACACTAATCTTTACGTCTCGAACTTGTCAAAGACAATGAACGAACACGAACTTGCTCAGCTCTTTCACCCACACAAGGTCTGTTCATCTCGTATCCTGCGTGACAAGAACGGTAATGGCCGTGGTGTCGGCTTTGCTCGGTAAGTCTTCCTGCCTGCGAATGGATGATCATGTTTTCATTCACCTTGTCCTATGGCAACGTGTTCACTGACGATGGTATACAGTTTTGAATCCCGTGAGGCATGCGAGGAGGTGATTCAGACCTTCAACAACACCACCATCAAGCACAACGGCAAAGATCTTCAGATGCAGATTCGTTACGCGGACACCCAGGAGCAAAAGTCGCTCAAGCAACATACTCAAGCAGCACGTCAATTCCGCTCGGCCGAGTACGAATATGCAACACAAGCATGGCGACGTGCGCCACAGTATGTCAGTCCCACGAGCCGTGACAACCAGCAACACGGCAACGAGTTCGACCAATACCTGCAGGCTTCGAGCGGTGGTATGCCTCAAGGACAGCGTTGGGTATCGCCAACACTACGCCGCAGTCCCCTGGGTGCCTCTATCGCACAGACCCCGACATCAGGTCTTCACAGCAACCTCAGCCAGGAGAGTCCCACCGCGCAAGGCAAGGACAACCTTGAGGCGAAGTCTGCCGTGACGGCCTCCATGCCCGGCCAGGGCAGCCCAGTCGACTCGATCAATCCTGTCATGAAGCTTGAGTGACCTTCCAGCGAACCACCTCCTTCACGTCGCTCGATTGCATCGAAACCCACACACAATCTTCAGCTTGGAAGTCTCCACGGCCAGGCCCGCCGAGATCCTTCTGAGGCTTCTTGCTGAACCCTGGTGCGCGCATATTCAACAACCACATTGCTAAAATGAGCTTTCGATATCAAGTCGATTAGGCTTGTCCAGTCACTTCCAACCAAGAGACGAGAGTATGATATGAGCAACATTTCCAGGACCAACATTAATCTTCTTCTTGGACGGGTCTACTGGACAGACTTGTGCAATTAATATATTTTGAAATTGTAAACGCAGGCGCGAGATCTGTAGATAGCTTGTCATGCTTATGAGTGTGCACCTTACTGTTTCCTCGTTTGCGTTCCACACAGTGCCTGACCGGCAACGGAAGGGCTACACCGTGTTGATTGCCTCACTGCTTTTCGAAGCCGCCATTGTGGCTGGCGATCGAAAGATCAAAGTCCACCATCGCATAGCTTTCAATTGATTTTCAATTCACATCGTGTTGAGAATGACAACTAATTACAGTCTCTAGTGCGCCATGTATCTTGCCTTCTCAGATAGTGTCCTCGAGCGCATCGGTGCAGCGTCCATCCCCATGGCGGTGGGTATTATTGAGATGTTTTGATACCTCCAGTGAATCGATGCCTTCATAATCGACGTACAATTTGCTTCTGTAGGAATGTCGATCTTCGATTCGAGACCCGCCGTCATTCTCTTTGGTGGTACTCCAATTGTATGATTCAGGTACAAGCCATCAGCTGCCGCAATTTGCGGGCGAATTGCACCTCATCTCTCTCTCTCAGTTAAGCATCGGAACTATACAGCCAAGGTGTTACCAAATATGCCGGATGAGCTGTATGTAAGATGGAGTGTATCACAATTGTAGTAGGTGAGCACAAGAGCTGACATGCCATATGCAGCACTAAATGCACTATTGAAAGAAATGACAGATGTAGGCGATTGCACGCGCATCACTCATGCACACAATGAACGCATGACGTGACCGCGTCTCACAACGCTACATGTCACAAAAGGGACGCTTGTATCCCAGGAGGTACAGCATCTGCTCCTTTCACCTGCCACGATGGATGTAATATGACGGTCGTCGTGCAGCTTTGCGTGTGCGTCTGCACTGAAATGTATGCTCAGGTGCATGTAGGGGACTTCCGATGTTGACCACAAGACAAGGCTAAAACCGCTCCAAAGCCAAATTGGGTATCGAGGCCGTTTCCCGTAGGACTTTGAATTCCACCGTTGGCCGCCACCTCCTGCTTCGATCAGGCACGAACCTCTCAAACAGGCGGCGAAACGCGAGGAAAACAAGCCTAATCGTCGACTCGCATCAACGAACGGGCACACCACACACCACTCCACACCACCCTGGCCATGGCGTTGTCTGACACCCGGCTGGCCGAGCGCGATGGAGAAAGACGAAATGAATCCGCTTCCGATATGGATGTCCGTCTCTGTACTATACTTGTGTCTCACGAACAAATTAGATCGCCGTCCCTATCACTCTGCTCTGCTATTCGCGCCTCTACATCCCCGCGACAGGTCGACTGATGGCCCGCTACAAGACTCGCTAATAGGATCGACCTGCGCTTCCATGTGATATAGTCAAATTCTATCACATTCTGACCTTCCAATAGAGCGCCGAGACTGGTGATCGATCGTGTGCCTTGTCTTGGCCATGATTGTTCCACTCCTCCTTCAGGATGAGTACCTTCCTGCTTGACCCTACGGTCGAATCGTTTGATCGCGAAGGTAGCACGACCCTTGCAGCACAGCGCGTGCGGTTGTTCTTTATGCAATTGTCATGTTCGCATGGACTGACCAGCTATTGTTCTCTCTCTAGAAGTCGCCTCACAGGTGAACGATCGCGCAGTCGCTGCAGCTGCATCGGATTATTTGGAACTCAGCGCCAGTCCTCCACCTGAACCACTCCTCGTTGCGCCGCCGCCTCGCGAACAGATCGACACCCGTGGTCGTGCTCTCAGTGGAGCCAGCGTACACAATGCTTCGCCGCGAGGCATTACACCGAATACTGCGACGCAGGCTCGCGGGAAGCAGAGCATAGATCTTGAACGAAGGCCATCATTATCCTACGGCCATCATCGACAGACGTCCATTGTCCACGGCATTCAACATTCGCGCGACCCGAGCTTACTAGCAACCGCATCGAGTCCGTTGAGTCCACAAAAGATTGTCGTGCCCAGTGGGTTGCACAAGGGTTCGGGCAAAGAAGGCACCTCGATGGCACAAGTGAATAATCATGTGTCGAGTGGGATGGCAGAACAGATGTATGATATAAGTCTCACACAGCGAAGGGTACCTGAACGCGCGCTCAATGGGAACGGGAAACATATCGCCGAGCGTCCAGCCTCACCGTCGCAATTGGCTACAATCCAGCATGAGCTCAGCACAGTGGGAGAATATGCTGTGCGCCATCTCTTCACTTCCTTCATCACCGAGGCAGACCGTCGAATTGAGCGCTGTTTATTTGATGCCGGCCATGCCGAAATTCCGATCGAGCCAATCTGTGGACCTGGAGCTGATCCTGCCTTCGACCAGCTAATTCGCTCGTTGGGACATATCAATCGACTACATCCTGGCAGATTAATTGCATCAGTAATTGACTGGCGAAAAGAGAAGACAAAACATGCGCAGTACCTCTTCAATCAGCTGCAGACTATGCAAGCATGGACACAGTCGCGGCCCGATGCAAATGGCATTCATAGAGGAACCGCGGTCACGCCACCCAGCACGACGGACATCATACTCGTACAGCAGCAGCAAGCTCACGCTGAGCAACGATCTAGAGTGTCTATTTACATCATATGCCGCGTTTTCATAGAAGTCATCGAGCAGACGACTCTGGCAGCGCTGAAGGGGCCGGACGGTACCATGAGCGATGCGCGTCGCCTAGAAGAAGTCATATACGGACGCTTGAACAATGTCGAACCAGACAGCGTCTCCTACTACCCCGTCATACGGGCCAATTGGGCAATCCGTGGTCAAGTCCTGGGCGTTATGAGCACGTTCAGATTTGATGAGATAGCAGACCGATTTCTGCGCGATTTGCAGATTGCGCACAAGTCTCTTTCCATCAAAGGCATGGCCAACAATTCTTTCGCAAAGAAGACCGCCTTGCTTGTCCAGAGCATGCGATGGCTCCGGGTTCCTTATCAATTCGAGTCTGCTTTTGAGAGGGCCTGTGATGTTTTGCAGCTCCTCAGCAAGTTCTTCACCGAAGTCCACGGGCGCATCATGAAGCACGCCTATGCAGAGCTTTTTGAGAGCCTGGTTCTCCCTATCGCGGCCACGGCGACTAATCAACTCAATCTGCTTAAATGGAAGGATACTCTGGCATCCCTTCAGCCGAAGATCTCGCAGATGCTGTCCAAAACAGAGCATTGGCCATATGTGTTTCCTTTGCAGGCAGTCCTACTCTGTGCCTCGCCGCTTGACACGTTCGCTTCCCAATGGCTCTCGCTCGCTACCTCCTTCCAATCGAAAGCGAAGGAACGCTCAGCTCGATCTCATGCGCTCAAAGCCATTTGCCGGCTTGTCTGGAGATATCTCTATCGGTGCAACGAGCCTCAAAATGTTATAATTAAGAAGCTGGACGAGATAGTAAAGCTCATATTTGGAAGTGGCAAGCGTTTCCTGATCTCCACCGACCCGGCGACAGCGGATCCCCTCATCCAATTGATCCGCATCATCGGCTACAAACAACAAGACTTCTGCTTTCGTGCTGTTATCTTTCCATTGATGAATGCCGAACTCTTTTCGGGAAGCACGGATAAAGAACTCAAAATTGAAAATCTGGAACCAGACAAGACAGTCATTGCTATTCGAGCATTCTTGGTACTCATGGCTGACCTGGAGAAGGGCGAGGCACCGTCATTTCCAGTACGCTTTGAGTGCGACGCCTTCATGGACCCAACTTCACGAGCGCCTCCAGCGCATCGAAGAACGCGCTCGCAGGGCTTTGTGCTTTCCGCAGGCCGGACAGAGCGTGAGTCACGGCCAATGATGACGAACAAGTTGAACGAAACGACCAAAGAATACTACGTCAAATTCTGTAAGATCCTTGGACAACTCACGATTATTTGTGATAACACCTTTGGTGGTCAAGCCGTGCTGGATGAAAAGTTTGCATCTCATGCGCCCAAGACTCCCATGGCGGATGCGTTCAATTTTGGACGGAAAGACGAGCTCATGAATCCGAACGATGCACGGCAGCAATACTACGATCTCCTCCATGTGGCCGTGGAGGCACTTCCTCGTTGTCTATCACCACACCTACCGATTAATCCGTTGGTCAATCTGCTCTGCACAGGGACCGCGCATGTGCAGTCACATATCGCATCATCCTCGGCACAATCGCTCAAATCCATCGCGCGTCAATCGCATGCTCAACAGGTCACAATCGGGTTCGCTCGCTTCATTTTCAATTTTGATGATCGCTACGCCACTGTCTCGGATGGAAGCTTGCTCGGCCCTGGTCACATCGAGAGTACACTCAAGCTATATGTAGAGCTATTACAAATATGGATTGACGACATTCAGAAACGAACGCAGAAGGCCATGGCCGAGCCGGGTGAGGGTCAAGAACAAGGCGTCAAACAATTATCGCTCGATCTCTCTGGAATGCTAGCCCATGTCGATGAAGTCGAGTCACACGGTTTGTTCTTCCTCTGTTCGCCGTCACAAGCAGTTCGTGCTGTGGCCGTGACAGTGTTGCGATTGATTACCAAGTTTGATACTGCTCTGGGTGAGCCATGTGTGCGGGTCATCAGCATCCTCGAAGGCAGCGCAGACAAAGTTATCGATGTCGAAGATGAACGATTAACGCTAGCAGAGAGAAGTCGACTTATTAAAGGTCTGCGCAAGAGTAATCCTAGCAGTATTCTCATCGAGCTTTGCAGCAGCGAAGTGCCCCATGATGCCACACTCTGGTTCAAGATCTTCCCAAGCCTGGTCCGCCTCAGTGCTGAGGTCTGTCTGCAAGCTGTCGCGCTCACACGCGAACTAGTCTGCCAGCGCCTCACACACAGCTCGAAAATTATTGCTTTGATTGCCGATGGTCAAAAGCCGGCCAACTTCGCGCTACAAGACGCTATTAATTCCAATCGCCCCTTCTCCCGTCTTCCAAGCTCGTCATCGGAAATCGTCGTAGAGCAGTGGAAGATTCATCTCATCTTTGCTTGCACAACCCTGACTAACATCAGGCCAACCGCAGCCCAGGGTACGGGTCAGAGTTCACAACACATACGCAAGAGCTCAAGGTCTTCGGCAAACAGCTCCGAGAAGATGTCCACTGCAGGCGAGCTGTTCTCAAGTGTTGTGCGATTCTTGCCTGTCCCTGATGCATCGGTTCGAGCGGCAGCCGTCGCTGGTCTTGGCGCAACGAATGCTACGCTCCTTCACATCTTGATTGAGACTCTTCGCCCTTCGATCTCAAGCTGCAACAACGATGCCAAAGAACGAATTGCAACTCACAACCGATCTGCCAGCAATCCACGTTCACGTCGACGGGATTTCCTCCGCACCGAGCTTACTCACCTCCTATCTTTGATCTGCCCATCGCTGCAAAGTTCAAAGGTTTCTGGTGAATCGTCTATTATTGACACCATCTCAGATTATATCATTCAGTCGCGGCTCTTCCTGAGCGACGCGCACATTCAAGATGATTTGGAATATCAAAGACTGCGCAAGCACTTCTGCGCTTTGGTCGAGAACTTCTACACCATCGTACATAAGCGAAAAGACGAGAGCAAAGGAATGTCCTTTCAATCTCGTCAGGCGTCATTTGGACTCATGGAGCACTGGTGTGGTCTCATGGCAGACCAGTCACATCTTCGCAGGCAGCAGGAGAATCTGCGCCGATCGATACTCGACATCGAAGGCGACCAAACGACTCGAGTTATCATGACCTCAGCAATGGAAAAGGAACGAGTGGAGCTCATGTATGCGGCGCTCAGCGCCATGGCCAGCCTTTGCGCGGGCCCTTTGTCTTTTGTAACGGGCAAAGGCGTCACCACACAGTTCGACGTCAATCGCATGTTGACTTGGATTCGCGCGACTTTTGAATCACCTAGCGACCGAGTCCACGCTATAGGACGGCGAGCGTTGCAGAATCTCATCGTCAGCAGTCCGGACAAGCCGGTCTTTATGGAAAATGCGATCTGCATGAGTTACTTGGCGGAGTCGCCCAAGGCGCGGACGGGTTACTTCGAGGTTGTCTATGAAGTCCTAAGCAAAACCTCAAGTATCAAAGTCCCGTTTTGGCGCATGATCAGCATTACATTGTACATGCTCGGTACGGAAGACAGCACAGTCCGTACGAGATCGGCAAAATTGCTACGTCTGCTCGAGGAGCGTGAAGGAAAGAGTTCAAAGCTACAAGAATTGGACATCAGTGTTTCGGACCGTACCACTACGGTCTACAAGAACGCCCAGTTCGAGATTTCGCGAAGGTTAGTGAGCCAACACATGGCGCTGGCGTTCCATGTCTTCTCAGAGTTTTCTGCATACTTCAACAAGCTCGATGCAGATTACAAACGTAACATGGTGTCGGGAATGCTACCTTGGATGCAGACTATACACCTTCAGCTCCTAGAACAAAATGGTGGTCCGTCGGCAGAATCGCACATGCTGCTGGTCAATCTTTTTGAAATCACGGTCAAGAGCGGACCGACTCTTCACAACGAGATCCAGGCCCTCTGGCAGGCTCTCGCCACTGGCCCTCATCCCACAAATGTGCAGATTGTCCTGGATTTTGTCATTGACATTTGCTTGCAAAAGCGCGAGCAGTATTTCGTAAATTATGCCAAACAGGTTGTTGTCTTTCTGTCGAAGACACCAGCCGGGTCACGCGTGATCGAATACCTTCTATTGCGCATAAGCACCAAGGAAATGGCCATCTTCCGCCCGACAATGCTACGAAAGCCGCCGCCAGACACTTCTGGCCTTCCATATCATGCCGACATATCTGAGGTCCTGCCTACCGGTGTCAAGCAGACAAGCATGTCGATGAGCCAGGTGTGCATGATCCTGCTTGTTGATCTTGTGGTGGCGCCGGTCCAGTTCCCACTCGAGAGACTCCCAACTCTGCTACACGTCATTCTGGTGCAGTGGGATCAATACATTGACATTGTTCAAGAAAATGCACGCGAACTGCTTGTGCACCTCATTCATGAGCTTGTAATCTCGACACTGGCCATCCAAAGTCCAGAGCTGGATAAAAAATACATCGAGGACTTTATCGAACTCATTCGCCGAAATGATCCTAAGATTGCCTGGTCATACACAGATCAGCACATTCCCTCTGGCGACGACCAAGGTAGAGCGGTGGCTGAATCCATGTTCTTTGTCGTGGATGAAGTCGTCCGGATCTTCACAACAACATATCCCGGCATTCGTGAGGAGCTCGGCAACATTGCAACCACATGGGCGAGCTCCTGTCCAGTGCGTCATGTGGCTTGTCGAAGCTTCCAGGTCTATCGCTGCCTCTCGGTGTCCATCACACATCAGGTCCTCGCAGACATGTTAGCTCGCCTGTCCAATACCATCGCCGATCACGAGACTGAGGGCATTCACGTCTTTAGCATACAGATCCTTACGACCATTCGCTTCGTCATGGCTGATTTGACGCAACTCCCAAGCGAGACAATGCTGCAAATCTTCTGGACCGTCTGTGCCTGTTTGGACACGATCTTCGAATCAGAATTCCAGGAGGTCATGGGCATCATGTCGCAGCTCCTGATCAGGGTCAACCTTGCACGTGAAGCGGAATTGGACCAGCTGACGAAACATCAGCCACCTGATTGGGAAGGTGACTTTGAGGGCATTCATCCGCTTCTGTACAAAGGGATGCGCTCCAGTCAGTCTATGAACTTCGCACTCAAGCTCATGGATCGCTTAATCAAATTGCCCTCTAGCGATATTGTTGGACATGACCAGCGACTACTCTTCACCACTCTGGCCAACCTGCCAAGGCTTTTGCACTCCCTTGACAATCACGGACGAGACTCTAATGCAGCCTCGGCGCGAGCACTCGCCGTTATGGCAGAGAGGCTGAATGTCACAAGTCTCGCAAGAGTGCTTGAAGGTTACGTCAACGGACGGTATAAGAACACGAAGGAATTCCTCAGTCAATGCCTTGCCGCGGTCCGTAAGACATACTTCCCTACGCACGACTTTGAGATCTTGGTATTTCTGCTGGGTATGGTCAACAATGAGTGCTCCTGGTTCAAGACCAAGGTCATGCAGATCCTATGTGTCTTGCTCCCAGAGATGGATCTCCACAGACAAGAGATAGCTGAGCATGGGCAAGATCTCATCTCCCCGCTGCTTCGACTCCTGACCACAGAGTATTGCCAGCAAGCCCTCGACGTACTTGATAACATGGTTGAGATGACCGACGTTCCAATCAATAATCAAGAGTTCGCCATGGCCAGCTCTCGAACCACCGAATCACCACTATCAACTGCAGGCGATCAGAATTTGTTGTACGGCACGCCGAGTGAAAGTGGGTGGTCAATACCAGTGCCAGCCAAGCATGCTGCTGCAACGCGGAACAACGTACATATGGTGTTCTCCGCTATGGCTTATGGTCTGCCAAGCGACGTTACACCCACCCTAACGCCCAGCCTGGAATTCTACCGCGATGATGAGTCTTCCATGACCTACTTCACTGATCGTACTGCGACCATGATGTCAGACGACTTTCGAGATGACGCTGCTCTTGGTGAACTGGCCGAAAAGCTTGATACGCTCGACGACTTTTTCGATGATGGCACTCCCTCTCCAGGAAGCGAGTCGCCCATCGATTATACGCTACGAAGGTCGAACACGGACGACTCCATATACGGCCATGGCACTCTACCTAGCCTGCACCACAGCCTACAGACCGAGAGTAGTGGCGTGTCTTCATTTCATAGTGGTATGGCGGGCGACTATCGTCAAAATGGACAATCCACACCACATCAGACGCAACTTTATCCCGTGCCGCACTTCCTACAAATATCTCCCGAAGGCACAAGCAGCAGTCATGCATCTTTCAGCCAGCGCATGATGTCACAATCCATGCAACCATTCCCACTCATGTCTTCGGCGCCATTCTCCACACACGCTACCGAGCCTTTGCCGCCGCTTGTCGACTCGAGAATTTATGAAAAGAGCAACGGTGATGAATTTGACAGCTCCAGCGGTCTCGTCATAAATCGGCCGGGTCTACACAATCGCTCCATTACCTCACCAGCGCTCAGTAATCGCGTGCGGCGTGGGCCTGCGTCAGCTCGGGAACCGCCGACACATCTTGCACACGACTTCTTCGGGCGAACAGATGACGATACTGATCACCTCAGTGGATCTTTCTCAGACGATGATATGCCAGTGAACGGCAAGCTGGGGCTCGCCTCTCAATCCAGAATCCCGCATTACTCCGGCACCGGCACGGCTAATGACAATAGTGGCGTCGGCTATCGTGCCAATACTTACACGACGAGACATCGCGGCTCGGCCAATGGCGGTAGCAGCAATGGCGTCTCCGGGAGAAGCGTTGGGAGCGCGACCACGGCCGGGTTCAAAGCAGGCATTCGCTCAGGCATCCGACGACTGACGAGCACCGGCACACAGCGCGAAGCACGTGAAGCACTGCATACGAGTCTAATGAAGAGTCCTCAGGTTCCTAAGTTGCCTTCGTCGTACAATGGCGCTGGCGGTGGTGGAGGTAGTGGAAGCAGCATCGATGTCGGCGCGATCAGTCGAGGCAGTCCCACGGCTGGAGGCGGAGTAAAAAACAACAGCATCTCGACCGGCCCTGGACCGACCAGTGCGCCGAGTGGTATGGGTATGAATTAGAGCAGACTCGTCCACGGCGTTTTATTACGGAGCCGAGATGGTGGAACTCTCTTCCACGCGCTATATTTCGGAATTGTTCTTCACGATCACGGCGTTTTGGAAAACCGGAAAAGTCCGTGTGCCAGAGAACACAGTTTTTCCCGGACAAATGTACTTTTTACGGATCGAATTCGGGACAGAGAGGCGCAGCTGGTCAATCAGACGTGCCTCTAATGGAGTGTAGAATACGGGCGTTTCGAGGGTCAATATTTCATGATACCCTTAGGTTGGGCAGTGGGCGCGAATCGGAAACAAAAGTTTAGCACATGTGTTGCCCAGATTGACAACGTTCGTATATGCCTTCGTTGCCCTTATCAAATGCGGATGCAATGCACCAAAGCTCGATCATGGCCATCGTCAACGACCTGTATTTTGCGTGGCCGTGTGCCCTGCATGATTGAGCTACGGACCTAATGCCGTAGCCAGAAACGCGATGCCGAGATCGTAGCACCGCAGGCAATTTGACAACGATGATTGAGCCGGTTCCCTGGAAACGCACTGCTTGCTGCAGGTACCACAACGTAACCTTTCATGTGATCCGCACGTTGAATGTTTGATTGTCTGATTGATCGGCAACATCACTCGTAATGCTCTATTTGTCCCTATCAAATTATCATAGCAGTGTACCAGCACTCTCCGAGTCTGTGGTATCCCGAAAGTACGGCAATGCTGACGACAGCACGTTCCAATCATTTCACAGCTCAGATCTGGATAAACTGTCGTTGCTGCCGATCGGTCGATCGATGACGCGTGTGCTTTCGGCAACAACCTTATTGGGATTACTTGCTGTCACTGGGCCATCGTGGGCTTGAATCCTCACGTGAGAGATTGGGTTCGGATTCGGAAGATACAGATGCCGAATCGCAATAATTTTTTTTTTCGACGCGCAATAAATTTCGCTTCGAGGAAATAGCCGACCTTCTGTGTACTCTCGTCATCATGTAAGAGCTCGACGCATTGGTGACAAAGTGCGAACTTCAGCCGACGACATGAGACGAAACCGCCGGAGCTAACGGACTTTGACAATCCCGGGACCAACCAAGCGCACTTTTTTCCAACAGATCCGGCCAATGCTCTGCCGCATCGTCGTGGTGGGAGCTGTGCACGCGATGTTTTGTGCGCTAGTGCGTTCTGGACGATGAGAAGTGATGAGATCAGAAGAACAGGCGAGCGCGATCAAGGGTAGCAAACGATTCAGCAGCTCCAGTGCCGCTGTGAGATTCATCCCGTTTGTGAGCTGGATCTCCCATGTCAAGTACGATGTCAACGAAGACGAGATGAGTTGAGATGAGACGAGTCTCGCCCGAATGCGTCATCCAACCACCTCCACTTACTCCTGTGTCTGTACACTACTAAATCTCCAGCGCTGGTGGTGGTGGTGGTGGTGGTGCTTCCGTGGCTTCCTTATCGACTACACAGCTGCTGAGATACTGGTTGCATTAGCGGCGGCGGTGTGCGGTGCAATGTTTATTCCGCATTGCTCTCTCATGTGCGGCATATCGAGATGGATACTGCACCCGGCAGAGGAGCTTCTGGAGGGAAAAAGAAATAGAATCGCCCTCCATGTCCTTCACACTTCTGTGATCTTCTTCACTCCCTCTCACCGCTGACATCGCTGCCGTTGTTGTCTTTGTTCCTGTCGTTGTTTTGCTGCGTTGAAGCATTACTGCAGTCGCGTCGTTGATCATCATCACACACTTGCGCCAATCGCAAATCCACCATCTCGTTTTTCTCAACCCAATCGACCCATTGGCGCTCGGAACCCGCGACTGCCGGCAAGTCGCTAGACTTCAATCGCCATCCTCATACGTTATATATTCTTAGTCGCCTCGCTCCTGCCTCGGTGTAGAAATCTGTCTCATTGTTGACCGGCGCCATGACTATCACTTCACGAGCATACGATCTGGCGAATTACGCTGGCTCACTTGCCTGGCCGCCTGTCCTCTCCGTGTCGCGCGGCGCCATTCTTGCTCTGCTCAAGAACATCCAATTGGGGTCGCTTCAGATCACCGACACCGATGGCAGTATCACCATCTGTGGCAGCTCACGGCGATCGCAGGCCGAGTCGGAAGATGAGAAATCGGTCTACTCGGTTCCACACGCGGAGCTCCGAGTCCACAATGACCTCTTTTGGATTCGCATGGTCCTCTTTGCGGACATGGGATTCGCCGAGGCATATATGCTGGGAGAAGTGAGCTGTTCTGACTTGACGAGCTTTTTCAAGCTATTCATCCACAACCGTGCCTACCTCGCCAATGGTGTCACTCTGTCTTCACAGGTGCTTGGCCAGATCACCTCTCTGGTGCGCAAAACCAACACTCTCACCAATGCGCGTCTTCACATTTCCGCCCACTATGACATCAGCAATGACATGTTCGCCGCATTCCTCAGCCCCGACATGACCTATAGCTGTCCCATCTGGCTCCCCAAAACCGACCCTAAGAGCAAGAACGAGTCGCTTGAATCCGCGCAACATCGCAAGCTTGATCGCTTCATCGACAATGCGCGCCTCAAATCGACGGACCACGTGCTCGAAATCGGCACTGGTTGGGGCTCCCTCGCTATGCGTGCAGTGCAGCGCTCGGGCTGCCGAGTTACCAGTCTCACCCTGAGCGCGGAGCAAAAAGCTCTCGCCGACGAGAGAATCGCTGCAGCCGGCCTCAGCGATCGCATCACTGTCCTCCTCTGCGATTACCGCAGCCACCAGCCTGCAAACGGCAAGCGTTACAACAAGATCATTTCGATCGAAATGCTCGAAGCTGTGGGCGCCGAATTCCTCGAGACCTACTTCCGCTGCGTTGATCAGCTCCTCGACCCGACCAGCGGTATCGCGGTTTTCCAGTGCATCACCATGCCCGAATCGCGCTACGCCGTCTACGCCAGCTCCGACGACTTCATCCGCCGCTACATCTTCCCCGGCGGTCACTTGCCGACCATCACGCAGCTCCTCGACAGCATCCGCGCCGGCTCCTCACAGACCAAGCGCGGCATCACGCCCCAGCTGATCCCAGAGAGCGTCGAGAACATTGGTCCTCACTACGCCAAGACGCTGCGCCTGTGGCGCATCAACTTCATGCGCGAGTTTGCCTCCAAGATCCGACCTGCGCTCCTGGCCGAGCACGGTGGCAGCCATGTCAAGGGTCGCCAGGGCGGCATGAAGGAGGAGGACGTGGAGCTGTTCCGCCGCAAGTGGGAGTATTACTTTGCTTACTGCGAGGCTGGCTTTGCGACCAAGACTTTGGGCGACGTCATCATCACAGTTGGCCGTGAGGGTGGTATTGACATGATGGATGAGGTGCCGCTATAGAAAGAGCAAAATGAAGTATATCGCAAGAGAGAGAGATCCAGCGAGAATTGGATCATGATATCGATAGAAGAGCTACGGCGGATCGCTTGGGATCGCTCAGGTTTCGTTCAGGATAGCCATGTGCAGGTGGCCCGAGAAACCGGGAGGGAGCATGCCGCGCGGCCAGACAAACCAGAAGAACGAGCCTGTGTGTGCAACAAGACGATCCCCTGTCAGTCAAGTCATGAGTACGGGCCGCAGCAGACACAGGCTTCGGATCGCGATTCCTGGGTTGTGCCCCAATCTAGACGTGCGCAGTGGAGTCGTACGGAGGTGTACGACGATGCAGGTCACCATTTCAGTGGTGCAAGGACGAGACATTTGCTTTTATGCAGCGCTTTAGCGAAAATTTGGTCCTCATATGTGGACGACTCTCGTCGATATAGATAGCAGTGTGAGCTGATAATCTCGTGTCAACAAAACCCCTGTGTGATCATCGATTCATCCACAATAATTCGCCATTGCTCGCTCTGCCGCGAAGAGAACTTCGACTTCTATTTGCGCTTCGTGCGCTTCTTCTTTTTACGCTTCTTGCCGTTACTCGCCGTGGGCTTAGCCTTCGACAACCCGTAGTCATCTTCCTCGCCAGTCAAGGCTCCCTCTACATACCTCCTATCCTCCTCGTCACCAGCATTATCGTCCTCTTCCTCCTCATCGTCAACAGTGCTAGCCGGTGTGTCTTCCCTCCTTGTCTGCGGTACCCTGCCCTTCCCAGCTCCTCCAGCCCTCGCCTGTCCGAATTTTTTCCGATTCTCCTCTTCAAACACCTTCTTCTCTTTCCGAAATAACATCATCGTCGCTCGTGCATCCTCCAATGACGAATGCTCGCCAGTCTGGATCGTCCATCCGAGCTCCTCCTTGGCCAAGTTGCGCAGTGCGGGCGCTTTGCCTTTGCTCGCGATCCGGAAGGCTGCGTGGCGCGCTGTGTCACGCACGTCCCGTTTGGGATGCGAGAGCATCAGGACGCTGAGATCGTTGCGGATGGCGTGACCGACAAGAATGCGTCCCGTGAGTAGCGAGGATACGTCCTTTTGGACTTCTGTGAAGGGTCGCGCGATATCGGGGTTTAGGTGCTCGGGTTTGATTCCGCTCCAGGTCGTCCGGTAGTCACCTACGATGACTCCTGGTGGTGGCTGGACATATGAGTCGTAGAGCTGTTCGCCGTGGAAGTTTACGACAGAGACCCGTGCGAGCAGACTGTCGGAGTAGTCGGGCGCAGCGCCTGTGCCGACCATTTCACAATCTATCGCGATGTATTTGCCGACTTTGTGGGATGGGTGGAGGCCAGCATTGATATTATCCGCCGCGGATGAGGCATCTCGCTGGGCCAGTGATGCGCCGCTCCGATGTTGCGTTGTGCCATAAGCGGCAACGAGATCTGCTGGCGAGATATCGTGGTCGCGAATCAGACTCGATGCAGTTGTGCTGCTGGTCCGACGATCCGTCGGTGTGCCGGTAGAAAGATATCCACCCATTGCCGTTCGTTGCCTCTTGACCGGGTTCCTGCGCGGTACGATAGCCTCACTGTTGGGACCGGTCACTCTGCTTTTCGAGGCCACCTTGACCACGGGTGCTCTTTTTCGTTTTACTCCGGCGAGTTTGCTGCCGTTCGATTCCTGCTTGGCTGGCCGCTCAGCTTGCAATCTTCGTTGCAGAATCTTCCAATTGCTCGAGACGGACTCGCGATCTGGCATGGCCATGTCGTACTCAGTTTCGGTGCTTATCGCATGCTGCACCTGTGTTCGAATGTTTCGGGAGCGTACAACTCGACCATGGCTGGGGTTTTTTGAAATTCTGGAAATTCTCGCTCACAGGCTACTGTACTACAATTTTCGGCAGACTTTCTAGGGTCTGCGCGCAGACTCATGAGATTTCGCGGTGCAGTGACGTTCGGACAGCATGATTTCAACCATTTCTTGAAACAAAGTTCTTTCGTTATGCGCGGGTGCCGAATTGATCTGCTGTAAATACAAATCGAGAAGCGCGCAAAAAAATTGATTACAAAATAACATATCCGAGAACTCCTTTATCAGGCTGAGAGTCATCAGGTGATTCCTCTAACCTGCCTGTTAAACCGCGATCGCCCCAGGTTCGCTCCGCATCTTTACAACCACGGCGTGGAACGAGACGGATTTGTATTTCATCAACCACATCAGCCCTTTATCGATTTTCATTAATATTTTTTCTTTTTAAGTTTCGCAATGGCTCCACGAAACGAACACAAGGATGGCGGCCATGGTAGCGGCGACATCAAGCCCGAGAGAGGCATTGCGACGCTTGCCACGCTCAGGTATGTTCGCAAGTCGCGCTACGCAACGCTCGATCGGTGCTCACAATATGATTGCAGAATTGGAACCAAGGCCATGGTCGAGAAAGATGGCGAAAAACGGAAAGCCGAAATCTTGTCAATGCAGACTCGCAGAGGCAGGCCTACATTTTATGTTCATTACGAAGAATTCAACAAACGACTGGACGAATGGGTTGCGGCCGAACGACTTGATCTCACACAAGAAGTGGAATGGCCAATACCCGAGAAGCCAGATACAAAGAACAAACAAAAGACACAGCAATCCAAAAACCAGCAGTCGAAAAGCAATTCAAAGGGGCAAACCAACAATAAAAAGCGATCAAGAAGCGGCACAACCACAGATGAAGTGGTCTCGACGCCAGATTCAAAACCAACGCCGACAGTATCCATTACCGGTGGCAAGGAGAATCGTGACCCGACAGTCGCCGTCCTCGCGACTGAGGAAAGTGAGCTCATAGAACAGCCTGAAGATGAATCCGCCATCGACCTCGTTGATATGCAAGAGGCTGCGATCAAAGCCAAAGCTGCCCCTGATCACGAGCCATATTCTCGCGAGGAGGAAATCGAGAAGCTTCGTACTGGTGGTAGTATGACACAAAATCAGACAGAAATCTCACGAGTGCGGAATCTGGAGACAATTCAGATGGGCCCTTACGAAATCGAGCCTTGGTATTTTTCCCCCTATCCGGCTGAATTCACAGATTGTGACGTTGTTTACATCTGTGAGTTTTGCTTGGGTTACTTTGGCGATAAGTTGCAGTTCGGACGGCATAGGAAGAAGTGCACCTTGACTCATCCACCTGGCAACGAGATCTACCGCGACTCAAACGTTTCATTCTTCGAGATCGACGGTCGGAGGCAAAGGACCTGGTGTCGCAATCTCTGTCTCCTCTCGAAGCTCTTTCTCGACCACAAAACTCTCTACTATGACGTGGACCCTTTCTTATTCTACTGCATGACCGCGCGAACGGAACACGGCCACCATCTCGTCGGATATTTCTCAAAAGAGAAAGAATGCGCTGAAGGCTTCAACGTCGCCTGTATCCTCACCTTACCACAATACCAGCGAAAAGGCTACGGCGGCCTGCTCATTCAGTTTTCTTACGAACTCAGCAAAATTGAAGGCAAGCTCGGATCGCCTGAGAAGCCGCTTTCGGATCTTGGTCTTCTCGGCTACCGAGCCTACTGGCAGGAAGTAATCGTCGACCTCTTACTCGAACGCGAAGCTGAGAACCCGGGCTCCAGCGCAGGAATCTCCGTCGAAGATCTCGCGCAGACCTTGGCCATGACGACCAATGATGTGTTGCATACCTTGCAGAACCTCAACATGTTGCGCTACTATAACAAAAACCATGTCATCGTCCTGACAGATGCGGTCGTGTTGCAGCGAGAGCAACGCAAAGAGAAGGAGAAGGTCAAGGGCAAGCGGGTCATCGAGCCGGAGAAATTGCTTTGGAAGCCGCCTGTATTTGCAGCGAGCGCGAGAACATGGAACTGGTAGATGCCTCTAGGCGCGAAGGTGCAATGGCATTTCATCAGAAGCAGTTGAAGATACCCAAAGATATGATTGCGTGTTTATGACTCGAGCCTTCCCTCTGTCCATCTTGCACTGTATTGCTGGCTCCTTTTGTGTGCCTGCGGGTAGAGGTACTCCTCTCAAGGCTTCCGTCGTGTGAGCAAAAAGGGGGGGTGGACATGATTATGTTCTGCGGTATTGTTTGGTAAAGGGGCAATTCCGCCAAAAATGCAAAATGAAATCTGAGGTCTTACCCGGGTTCGAACCGGGGTTGCCGGAAGATTTTGTGCACGAGGCCTCAAAATCCGGAGTGATCACCACTACACTATAAAACCCGAAGCTGCGCTTCAGCGACATTTACTCAGATGTGGAGGCCTCGCCGAGTTTTTGGATATATATTGCTTATCAAAAATGTTAAGATCATGACACCCGCCTCGTCAAGGTTTCTACCGATGACCCTCTTGAAGACATAATATGAAGGTCAGGTATGCTTCGAAACAACGATTTGCCATGTCACAAAAACATATACACCTGGACAGGTAACTTCAGGAAGGTTTGTCCACTCAGGGCCTTCTCTTAAGGCAGATTTTCGACGACCAGCGAATCGATGCAGATCTATAATTTATTGATACAAGTGTACAAGGTTCTTCTTTGCGAAGAGAAATTTTCGCGAGGTCAAGGCGTCACAAACCGCCAGACCGCCCTTCTTTGTGATACTCCTAAAAGAAGACGTATGAGAGAGGGACCCTTCATGCCTTCGGCACCCAGTGCTTCCACGCCGGATCCCTCGCCTGCACGTAATCCCGACTCTCAATCGCCCTCTTAAGACCATTCAGTCCACTCCAGGGCCACGAATCCAATAGACGTTTCGACAACGGCGCGCTCTCCTTCGCTCGGTGCTCCGCCTCGACATCCACACGAACCTTTTCGTACACGGTCGGCAGAGAGGTCGCGTGATATTTCTCCCGCAAGGAATCGTACCAAGTCTTGTCGAAATCCCGCCAGAAATCCGCCTCGCTGAAATATGTCTGTGCGTATAACCATTTCATCCCCTGCAGTTCCTGTAGCACGCTCTCGACCGCGCGGTTTGCGCCGACGAATCCTCCCGGAAATTGATTGTTCGCCGGCGCTCGGCCCCACAGGCCGATGTTCAGCATGGGCTTCGGCGTGATGCCGTCGGCTTCGACGCCAGGGTAGTGTGGGTGCATGGTTTTGTACGGGCTCTGTTTGAGCGGACAGAGCCAGAGCGGCCAGATGCCCAGCATTTCATCCATGCGCTCGACAAACTGAATCGAGGTCTCGTAGGGCAGTGCTAGGTCTTGGATGATCATCTGTTCAGATTTCCCGCTCGCGTGCAGCGCTTTATAGAGCATGCGGGTGTGTAGGAAGTCGTCAAGCCACCATCGCGTGAAGTCGTTGAAAGGTACGGCAGGGAAGTAGTCGAAAGGTGCGGTACCGACCCAGAAGCCGCCGCGGTCGTAGCGGAAGAGGTAGTCGGGGAGTGGGATCGCGTCGGTAACAGGGCCCGTGGCTTTGGATATACGGTCTTTGACGTAGAGGTAGAACCAGGGATCTTTGGCGTCACTGAATCGTTGGATGTTGAGGCCATGTTTAGGGGTGTCGGTCATGCGTCCAGTGACGATGGCACCGCTGGTTTGGGAGTACATGATGCCATCGATGTAGTCGAAGTCTTCTGGGCGCGAGGTGAAATCCTGTAGCATCGTGACCGCTTCCTGCATGCTCTTCACGGGATGATATGTCGTCTCGACGAATTTCGTCGCCTTGCGCAGCTGAATTTCCACCATCGTCGTCACTCCCAGCGTGCCCACGGCGCCCGCCGCACCGTGGAAGAGATCCGCATTGACCGACTCCGAGGCCGTCGTCACCTCACCATTCGCGAGTACAATCTCCACCTGCTTCAATGTCCGATCGAAGAATCCATGCTTAAACGAACTACTCTCTCCTGATGTCCCTGAATATCCTCCACCGACTGTGATCCCGGGGAACTCCATGACCACTGGCGGCACCAGACCATACTTCAGCGTCTCTTCCACCAATCGATCCATTGGCACATTCGGCTCGACCAGGGCGGACTGCGTGTTGGTGTCCACGAGCACAACATGATTCAGTCGGCTGGTATCCACAACCTTGTTGGGGTCCCGACCCATAGCAGATTTCCTCGTTGAATTGGTCGAGCCATGGAAAATGCGGAACTTCTCGCCGCGATCGTAGAATCCCTTGACGCTCTCCGCCACACGATCGACTTCGCGATGATGTTGATCTAGGGTCGTCTTGGCAGTCCCTCCACCATGATGGTATAATCTTGACGATCCTGCCGGCCTTCTGTTACGAATCGGGATGTTGGTGGAGGTGCTGTGGCGAAAGGAATGTTGGCGTCGGAACTGTGAAGCGCATTGTGGTGTGTACGCAGGCGTTGATATCACACTGTAATAGTTTCTTCGATTTGCAAGATCATGTGTTTGTGTTGATCGTGCGCATCGAATAGTAGGAAGTGTTATTGGCCGGCAGTCGTATGCCGCCACGCCATGTATGCGCTCAACGAGATGAACATTCCGCCTCGCCAGCGCCATCTCTGCTGGGACCAGTCGTCGCCCGCTCTTGAACGAAAGAATAGTTCGGAAAGGAAGAAAGAACCGACGACTGGAAAGAAACTGTACAGGACGCAAATAATCAATGTTCCAATGCTGTCTGTGAGATGAAGGGATTAACAATTCCAACTCTCCGTTGTACTCAGGACCCTTCGATATTTCGCCGATCGCCAAAATTTATGAGGTAGTCCGTGCTTGCTGCTCGGAATATTGAGCTTCGGCATCTGTAATCAGACCGCCGTCGCGCGGAGCTGCAAGCTGCATGTGTCGCGTCGATTTCAAGAGTGGTTTGATACGAGCTGCGAGAATGCTTCAAGTCATTCGTCAAGTTTACAGAACACAACTCCTAAGGATTTATTACAGCAAACAATGACATGATGTGTAAATTTGAATGAAATAATGACACAGCGTTGACAGGCTCTAATTATGACGATCACCAACTTCTCAGAGATGGAAAAAGGCGTCTTCTCTATCTTTTGGGGAGAGGTAATAATGGGGTAAGGGATCTATTTCTCCTAACCTTGATCAGAACAGCAGCATTTGTGCCATGTATGTTTCGGAGAGGGGTGTAAGGCGTGACGGGACAGTTTTAGGAGTATCGATCTTGTTGTGTCTTCGTCTATCTTCTCCTCGTTTAGAGACAACAAATTTCGTCTCTTACTCGCAACCGACTGCGATCGAATGCGTTGTCCGACGTCCTGCAGCGGCGTGTGTACACAATGTTGTGCATAAAAGGAGAAATGACGGGAGACACTCGTGAATAACGAGACACCATAGCAGCTGACGGAAGAGAAAGGATGAGTCCGAGAAGTAGGGACGGGCTCGTGAGAGATTCGCGGCCTTGTTGTGATCCAGTGGCGCGAGTCAAGCGGATCCGATGCAATCATTGCGTGAAGTGATAGATGTAAAAGAGTAGTAAAATTGAGACGATGCAGATAAGTCGACAATGACGAGACAGGTCGATAAGAAGAAATGCTCAGAAAATCGCTCGATATGTTATTCATAAAAGTGAGAGAAACGAAAAGGGACGGTCAACAGACGACGGTTCATACTTCCCGTGTCTCTTCTGGTGACTGCTCCTCTTGTCGCTCGAGGACCAGCGCCTTGGAGAAAGGCGCAGTCATGGGTCGCTTCGGCATGGGCTCTTTCATAGTCCAGCGGTCGATCATGCGGAGGGCACCTTGTGTAGGCACCTCCATGAGAGGCGTGAGCACGCTGGCGAGAAGGAAAATCATCGCGTACGTGGTAACAAGGTTGACGATGATATTCGCCCAGTAGGGTGCGCCCGCGTCGTTCATTTTGACGGCGATGAAAGCGCCCCACGTCCACATGACGAAACCGTGGGTAAGGTAGATGGTCATGATGTGAGGGTGTAGCCAGAGCACAAGCGGAGTCGAGAGGAAGGCTTGCACCCAGGTGGAAAGCTCGACGAGAATCTGCAGGCCAATGGAGAAGGTGATGATGGTGAGGGTCGGCTCAAAGTAATCGGGGTACTCTGGGGCGATCTGCGCGATGGACTTGCCGCTCTCGATGTCTGGGTGCAAACTGTTCTCGAAAGTGGGGAATGACCAGGTTTGGTTGAAGACTGCAGACAGAGGAGTACCAGCAGCGCCGATGAAAGCCACCGCGATGACGAGGTAGTACTTGACGGGGCGAGTCTTGAGGTATGCCCGCCACTTGTATGTGGCTTCCAGATCGGAGAGAATAAGACCAGCCCAGTGGCACGCGGCCCAGCTCTATTGTGGTTGTCAGTCAAGTCCGTAGACAGTTTCAAAGCACAAGATGTCGGAGAACTTACCCTTGCGTACCAGCCGGCAACGATCATCGCGGCATAGAAAGCGAATCGCTTCCACGGAGTCTTGACGTTGCGGATCAAAACCGCAGCCATCAGCACAACGTAAGTCATCTGGAGCTGCACGGGCACAGTCCACAGGACACCGATACAGTAGTGAGGAACGATCTCCGGAACAGCGCCGGGGTAAAGGTAGCCTAACTCGAACATGTTGTTCATCCATTGGGCGAAGTTGCCCTGAGGGACGACATATGGCCAGTCAGACCAAGTGATCGAGGGACTCCAAAGCAGGAAATGCTGCAGATCGAGCGAGAGCAGGAAGAATTGCAATAACGAGGTGATGATGATCGGGACGAACAGACGCGGTGCACGACGCAGCATCTTCTTGGCAATGTCCTCGAGGTTGCCATTTTTCAAGAAGTTGGTTGAAAGGAAACGAGTGGCGGTCAAGAAGAAGGGACCAATCCAGAGTTGCGTCAAAGCGTAGCTACCGATGAAGATAGACAGCCATCTCTCGGCCTCAGGGTAATGTGCGGTGTTGCCGTAGCCCTCGGTGATCCACGGCCAGAAGGTTTGACCTGCAGATTCATGTCAGCAAAATTCTCAAGCATTACGGTAAATCTCAGAAAGCAGATGCCACAGCCCAAAGACGGTACTTACACCAATGGTGAAGGGTGACACCAATACATGCCACAGCCACCAAACCGGCCAAATAATCGATTCGCTTCGTCGGTCCCGGCTTCGCCGCGTGTGCATGTTTCACGACTGCAGGCAGTGACTCGGCCGTGACCACTTCTTCAACAGGCTTTGCGGGCGTCTCATCGACGGGCTGCACGGTAATCGATGCGCGCTTGCCCTTTTCAGTCACCGTCATCGCAGGTGAGGTAGGCGTGTTGACAACCTCCGGCTGGTCGAACGCAAGCTTCTCGTCAAGAGTAAGCTTCTCGTCAGACTTGTAGTAGACGCCGCTTGAGCGCGCTCTCGCCTCGGCCCACGGTGCCTCATCAATGATATCCAATCCCTTGAAATCCTTCTCATCACTGTTTCTGCCACTCGTCATGCCATCGTATGGGGTTGGCGAGGTCAGGGCGCGGTATGCGCTGCTAATGCTGGCGGTGCGGGAGAGACCTTCACGCATGCTGCCTTCGTACGGCGGTGCTGGAGTCTGTGTGCCGGAGCGGTCGCCGTAGACGGGAAGAGGTGTCTGGATACCCGAACTTCTGGTAAAACCATCTGGGAAACGGGGGAGTTCGGGCGCGTCCTCGGATGAAGTGATGCTTTGATCGGCGTCGCCAGCGTGGAATGACTGTCGGACGGAACGCCGGAGTTTCTTGTCACGCTTGGCTTTTCGGCTCTTCGAGCTGAGCTTGCTCCAGGGCACACGTCGGAAGAAGGCATTGATCAGAGCGACAACGCCGAAGGCGCTGAATACGGAGGCAACAATGCCAGCCATCTTGTGGATCCGATCATCCTCCGGAAGATCTTCCCATGGCAGTAGAGACGCGGCAGAATTGATCAGGGTGGCGTTTCGCAGGGTGATATCGTCTGTCGAGCATTGGGTCACCGGGTTACCAGCGCAAGTCTTGTCCCAAGCGTCATGGTCGCTTTGAGTCATTACAGATGAGTTGAAGAAGGCTCGCACGAAAAGGACATGACTTGAGGTGCTGGCACGGAGCGGTGGCCCTTCCATGTAAGTGTCGTCGCCAGTACTCCACGTCAGGAACTCCAAAGACTGCCCAGCGGTCGGCACCGATCGGATGTCTTCGTTCACTGCACGAGTCTGGGTGTCATTGATCCAGAACGACATGGCGGTCTGGTTCCAAAGGGCTCGCACAAACGTGAAGGTGTTGAATGGATTGCGACCGCTCCCATCTTTCGCAATGGTGGTGAAATTCGTGATGGTATCGTTGGAAGGCCATTCGCCGTTGATCAGGTGGGCGATACGGGCGTCGGCGGGATCATCCATGTTCATGAAATCGATGTTGAATCCTTCAGAGGAGTTGTATCGCATCAACATGGATAAAGCAGTTCCAGCGGATTGTTTAGACGGCGGCTTCATAGCAGTCTCGAAAACACCGTACTGAATGTCTTTCCGCAAGGTCTGAAGGTTGGCACCAAGCACAAGATGGTCCTGAGTGGAAGGGGCCAGCTGGAGCTCAAGGGCATTCACGCTGCGATTCAAATACATGTCGAAGGTGGTGTCGTTGGCAAGGGCCAAAGAAGGGTCGGCGCCAGCTCGATAAATGGTGTTCCAGCCTTGTTCCTTGATGTGAGCATATTGTGGAAGGCGCCATATCTCGGGATCAATGAGAGTCTCATTGAAGTAGACGATAATAGAGTCCGTCCAGATTTCTTGGGAATCGGGATCTCTGAAGCCGCATGTGCAGTTCTGCGAAACGACTGTGATATTGTCTTTTGGCCCAATGGCGTTCACAAGCCCAATGGCCAGCAAAGAGGCCGACAGGATGGATGTAAGTCTAACCATGTTGTCGAGAAAGCGCAGCAAAGCGCGTGGCGACTTGTAGGTGTATCAAATGTAGGAATGCGTGTATGCGAGCAATCCAGCGAAGTGGTTGGAAAGAAGAAATCGCAATGACCGCTTCTCGGACAAATTTCGTGTCTCGGAAGTCCTCGTACTCCGCTTCTCTGGCTTGAGAATCAAATGTCTCTCCGGCTTTGACTCGCTCGTGCTGTCATACAGGACGAAGTGAATCACCTGTAACGAAGCGGAGAACTTAGTCGACTGGAGACCACACGAGTTGTGAAGTCCACAGCAGCAGCGATGATGGAGTTGATAATAAAAGTTCGGGCGACCCCATGCAGAAGAGCGATTGAGGAACCACGGAACGTTGAGTAGGGCAATGCGCAGCAGTGGTAATGGTGTGCGTGAATAGAGAGAGCAGAGACGGAACCGCTGGTAAGAATCGATCCGGGGAATGGAACCAGACGAACGGTCGACTTTTCCTCGATGTGATGAAGGAGCTGCAACGGTTGTGTGAGGAGGTAGGTCCGTGAGCGTGCGTGGGAGGGATTGTAGAGAGGAGGGAGAAGAAAGAGAGGGTCGATGATGTCGATGATTGTATGTATTAATGGTAGTGATGTTGGTTGGAAACGGTCAATGGTCCCAAGGAGAGTCGGCAACGGGTGGTGAATGGGTAGTGGGCAAATGTTATTTATCAATAAGAGCGATGGATAGAAATGTTCTCACACTACTCTCAACATGATATAGACGGCAGAAACGACAGCACGTTAATGGAGAAGCCCCAACAACAGCAGCAGCATGACATGACAGATTTATTTTAGTCGTCACAGTGGTGGAGGTAGTGGTGGTGGTGGTGCCGGTGGTGGTGGTGGATGATAATGATGGATCGGAATGGTGGTGGTGGGCGCGGAGGAGGATCCATTCATCGTCAGGAATGGGGCGGCGGCGGGATCAGTACAGTAGCGACTACGCGTCCGTGACAGGCAAATTTCAAGATTCATTCGATCGCTCTGCCGCCGACTATGATGATCTCGGTACGTGTGTGTGCCCGTGGGAGAGACGAATCATTCCAGCAGACGGTGCTCATTACGATGATACCTTTGATACAGTCGTTGCTGAACCCTCTACACACAGCACACTGCTTGATTGATGGATTGATAGCGCAATGGATGGGATCTCAATGGCACAGTTGATTGCAGACACACCCGATCGTTTACTAGCCATAATAACGGATGATGATGGCGATCTGGAACGTCAAACCGGTGGTGATGATAATGATGATGCGTGCTGGACAATCGGCGTGGATGGGCCTGCGAAATGCATTGCAGTTGATCGTCGGCCTCCCCAGATGGGGAATCTTTTGCCGCAAACTTTGTCTCTCTCGTCGGCCACCCACGGTGATGTCGATCCTTCGAAGACCGTTACAACAGTACACTCAATCACACACTGAGCCACACATTGGTTGCTGAGCCTGTAATGCCACGTCCAAAGGATCCTGCTTCCCGGCCAGATAGGCGGACACAACCCACGGGCAACCCACGACACTGCACAAGAAAGGACCGAAACGGAGCGAGGATGGAAAACGGGTTCTTGGCATGATAGACGATCGCACCTTTCTACATCTCTCTCAACCATGTCGTGGTGACGGTGATGCATGAGATGTTGTCTGTCGATCACCTCATGCTGCCCTTCGTCCTCCTCCATCGCCCTCGAGAGACGCACCTCGCCTTACCGATGCCATTGATCACGTCCCTTTCATGCACATGTCTCCTCTTTCCGCCGCTCATCTCCCTTCCCTTCTCCAACCCCGGTTAGAAGGGCTTCCAGTCGCACTCTAGTCGATACAAGTTTTCGTCCGCCGTCCTGCGGTCCTGCCTTAACGCTGGCCGCGGACCCCTGCTTAGCGCGCGGGCATGCTTGATGATCTCTCCAACTCGAGGATCACGGGCAGGCCCTTGTTCGAAATCACCGACACAGCTGGGAGCCTGAGACTAAGCAAATTTGCCAAGGCGGGAAGTTGTCCAAGGCCAACGCAGCACCGGTCTGGTGAATGGCAGATGGGGCCACGAGAACGTGTTTTCCTCTCACATGTTTTGCAAATGCTTGTCGAGAAAGGCTGCATGTCGCTATTTGTCTCGGCATCATTACACGCAAACAACATCTCCTGATACGTGAATGTCATTCTTTACTCAATTATCGCCAGAATATTATGGATGGTCATTGATCACCCATCATTGGCACTTTCTTCCCTCCACCTTTTTTCTTATCCCGGGACCTGCATACACACATTTCCCATGCGGGATGGCGCCGCCACTGCCCTCATCTACACACCTCCACCTCCGCAATTTCACGTCAGCCGAAGTCGATGCTTTGGAGAGGAATAGACGCGTGCGCCGGCGCTTTCCGTCCGATCTGGACTTCTCCCTCCCATATTCGTCCATAGCTTGCCCGTCTGCACGCATGCCAAAGAAAACGGCCCTAAACGTGCCGGAAGTGGAGATGGGGCTGGCGAAGCTGTCGCGTGCATAGCCAAAACACACTTTTTCTGTGACAGCGGCGAGAGCGGGGAAAAAGATGGACGAGGCGAGAACAATGAATTAGCACGTTATCAGCTTAGTCTGTTGGGATTCGATTGAGGCTGTTCTCATCATCAATGCTGTCCCGTAGCAGAGAATGGTGCGCGCACACATAGGCGTCAAATGCCTCGCGATTGCGATGTTTTCGTCTCCCGTCCAGACCACGGTGCCGAGGGTGGGGCACAGAGTATTGTGGCTTGATTTAGAGAAGACATGGCCTCAGGACGAGCGAAACCTTGGCTAGACGGCATTCGAGAAGGGAGACAACAGCGCGACACTGACAGCTGAAGACCTTGGGACAAGGTTCTGTCAATTTGGTAAGTTACATCCCCCAGCTTCGCTCAACGTGTCGGGTCGTCGTCGTCCTGTCCCTCATCCCGAAAAAGGACAAATTTACATGGAGCATGGGTCCCTGTGAAAGGGCCCGTGATGGCCTGTGACGTCGATCGTCGATCGTCAAGAGAGATATGATATGATATGCATTTTCCAGCGTCGCGCAAAGAGCGAGGCTGTGTTGCCGACCCCGATTTGTCTTCACGCCTGATATCATGATCATCACCAGGTTCAGCCGTGTGCAGTCAGACGACGACGACGACGCCCACGACGATCCCCCTCCCTCCGTGCGCGCGGAGGCACGCGTGCATCTAGACACAGGCATCGTACAGAGAGTGATGAAAGAGAGTTTTGCCTGTGCACGAGTCATAGCAATCGGATGAGGTGATGAAAGTCTCGAGGGAGGAGAATCACCATTCGTCGGCGAGAGCAAGCAAAAGACCGACGAAGCCTTCATTGCAGCCGAAAGTTGGAAAGCCACAATCACCTTAGAGCATGTCGTGCACACCCTCTCTCGCTTTATTCTCCATTGCAGTAGTGGCAATGGAGGGATTGTCGCTGCACGCGTGCGGCGCAATAGAGGCGAGGCAGTACACAAGAGATTCATAAACGATGCAGGTCCTGTCCTGTACCGAGGAGCCTTGGCATATTCTCGAGAGAGCGAGGGTGCTGACAGACGATTCGGGATGTTTTTGGCGTCATACCCTACTTTCACTGTAGCTCCATGCAGGGCGAGAGCTGTGCTTGCCTGCCTACGGTAGATAGCTGTTATCATCTTTGAACATACCATTCGGATTGTGTGTCGAACGGAAACCACAGTTTTTCCAGTTACGAATATTGTAATCTGATTCTTGCGTGGGATAGGGGTCCGAGATGTCACCGACTGCCGCTGATTGTCTTCGGAGGCATGTCTCCAACGGCTCGCGTAGAGATAAGAGACCCGCGGGAGAGAGAGATGTTCCGTATGCAGTTGCTGCACCCAAGCTGTGAACAAATTTTAAGGTTGCAGCTCATGATTTTGTGGCTTGACCTCTGCTGTGTGTGGGTGTAGGTGATTTTTCCTCGGGAAGGATGGATTGACAGGCACAAGATTCCGGGGCCGAGAAATGGTGTGGGTGCATGGGTCTGCGGGAGGGCTGCATAGTGCATCTAGTTGGACATGGACAATGGCATAGACACAAGACAAGATGGGAGTGTCGTGGACTTGTGGATTTGTGGACGTGCCTTGTCCACGATGTCCCACGGTGGACATGTCCCTTCGCCAGATGTACGTACAGTAGCTTAATTTTGCTCGTACATTAGAGCCGTCTCGGCGTGCAGGCCATTCAGCGCAGGTCGCCTCAACGGCGGAGATTTGTCCATCTCTCAGCCCATCGAAGGAGAAATGTCAGGCGGAGGCACATATCATGCATGCTACGTGCGATATCCGAGTGACATGTGGGCGGCTAGGTGGCAAGGCATGAGAGATCATGCTTTTCTGATGATCTGGCTGGACCCCTTCTCTCTCTTGCCCACGCCCGAAAGAGGTATTGCAAAGGGATAGGTGGGTTGTATGAAGAAGAATCCCTCCGGAAATGTGTAAGGATTCAGCAGCAAAGCCCCCACTGGTATTGGGGAATGTTATCGGGCGTATCGCGGTGAGACCAGGAAGACCAAAGCATTCCAATTATCTGTCCTTGTCTCATCGCATTGTTGGTGTCTGTCCTTGCATGCTGTTCGCCTATGAACACGGCACGGGCGATTGACATGTTGCCAAGACCGTCCGCTGTGTAACAGGCGAGAAAAACCCGTTCTATCTACCGTATCTTTACTGTATGCGGCATACGCCCAACGGGAAAGCGAGGATCTCTTTCATCTGAGTGATAACAAATTCTAACGGTCCCGGGGTCCTCGAAATCCCTTGCCGCTGTCCTTGCGCATTGCATTCGCTCTCTTGGCAGCAATATCGTCCTTCCTCATCCATCGCAACCTCCGTTGAAACATGTGTTTCCCCAAATACTCCTCGCATCGAATCGGTCATCGCCGTAGACGTTCTATTGGACGGAGTAACGGACCCTGCGATGTTTTCTTTCCCTTTCGTTGAGATGGAATGATGTGGATAATTTCCCATTGGTAGGATTGCGTCATGACCGCTGTCCGACGGGAGGATTTCTTGGCGGTCCGTGAAGACGCAGTTGTGTGTGCAGGAGTGGTGGGGTGGTGGAGGCGGTACTACATGGGTCTTGCATCAAAATGATCGACGCCAATAGGCACGACAATGCTGTGAGATCGAATACCTTGCACGGCATGACTCGCTTGCATGGCATGAAGATAGGATAGTATTGACAGCGGAGTAAGTCAAGCGCGATAAAAATGTACTGGTGGTAATCATGAACAATGACGATCATATTCGTGATCTACAAATGCGGAGAAAGAGAATTAGATCATGTCGCTCTCTTTGCACGTCTATTTTCCTATCTAGGTTTTTTGCGATCGACAAGGCGAGACGCATATGCGCGTGCTTGCCTGGACGCAACGTAATGGTCTGTGTGTATGTGCTGAACCTTGCAAGGTCCACAAATCGCGCAACTGGAAGCGGGACCAGACGCTGTGATGAGGTGGGAAGTGATTTGTAAAATTTTATAGTAATGGATGATCGTCAGGCGGTACGGCGGGATGAGAATGGGAAGCATGAGAGAGAGGGGTCGAGAAGAGGAGTGATACGAGACGACAGAGATTTACTCCATCAGCCACAGATAGGCCGCCTTCGCGAATCGTTGCGATGGCAGATCGATAATGTACCAGTAGGCCTGCGCAAAAGTGATGGTAGCCAAGGTGCAGGCGAAAAAGACGGCGGTGTTGGCCGCACCGATGGAGGCGCCCCGGTCGTTGCGAAGGTGCAGGAAAAGGCTGATTCCTGCTGTGTAGAAGATGATGCTCTGGGCAACGAAGAAGCCTAGATATGTAACGTCAGTGTACTGTAGGCATGTATGAAGAGACATCTAACTTACTCAGTGATCGCCTGCCGAGTTCCGTAAGCCATTTTGCAGAGAGGACATTCTTAACAGGTTGGAGTGTCTCAACAATGAGCATTATGCCGTAGATGACCAAGAAGTTGTCGACACGAGGGAAAGGGTCGGCAGCGGCGAATTGTGCCCGGGTGGTGTTCTCAGACAGGTCCAGGAAAGGGTGAAGCAAAAGCTCCTTGTTGACGAATTGAGGGAATACCGCCCAGCAGTACTTCATGGCGGCACCCGCCACAGTCATGAGGGCACCAGGAACGATCCACGGAATCTTGACATTTTCGTTGATCTTGAGGCCTTCGGTCAGGGTTCCCTGCAGCTTCGGGTTGATCACGTACTGGGCGAGAAGGAGCCCCGCCGCATCGTACCAACCCCAAGAGCACATCCAGAACGAACCGAAAGCAAAGAAAGCCAGGCCCTGTGCATGCCAGGTGACACGTGTGTAGGGCAGGATAACCATCAAAAAGTAAATGGTCCAGCTTTGCTGGTAGATCAATGACACACTCCACAGAGTTGCAGTCGGCCAGAAACGGTTGGCTGCCTGGTGGTAATAACCGCGAACGACCCAGAAAATGTTGAACACCGAGTTGAAAACTTGCAGAAAGCTTTCCGGCACGGCGATGCTCTGCGTCGATTCGTTGGGCAGTTCCTTCTTGAGGGCGGAGATCTGCTCCGTGCCGATTGCGTGAAAAATGCCTGAGGTGATAGCGGAGGCAATGCCAACGGCAATGACCATGCGGAAGATGCGGCGGATGATACTGCCGGCAAATGTGGCCGGCTTGGGATCCTTGAGGAAACGAATGCCAATGGAGCGAGCGCTCAGAGCGAAGAAGAAGGACTGGATGAGCGTCTCATCCCAGAGAAGCGGCGAGAGGACAACGCGGATGATCTTTTGGTAAGTCGGTCCATCTGTCTGGAATCCCGGGTCAAAGACGACGGTCGGGATGAAAGTCTGGAAGAAGATCCAGAGCAGAGCCGAGATGGTCAGCACGCCTCGCAGACCGTAGATGTGGGCGTGAATCTCATGCTCGGTGTCGGGTTGCCATTTGGTAGAGGCAAAGACCCTCCGCAGCTGCTGTACAGGCGACGTCTTGGACATAGTTGTGGTTGTCGTAAATCCGCGATTGTTGTCAGCGTCGTTGTGATGTGGCAGACGGACGGCGTCGTGTTGGGTGGAAGTGAAATGTGACGACAGAATAAACCGCAGCTAGGCCACTCCAGGTAGCTCTTATTGCATGAGACCCGGACAAATCACTTCGTCGCGTTGGGAGGACTGCAGTGACACAATCGGGACACGTACTGCACACGTGAAAGTAGGGATGGCTGTGTAGAGGTCTAAAGACAAGCAGCCAGCAGCAGGCCGATGAATGGAAGGCAAAGAGATGGGCAGATTTGAAGGGGGAGTGTATGATGATGAGATGGAGCGGGCTGGGTGGTGGTGGCAGCGGTGGCAGCCTTTGCCTTTCGTCAGGCGGAGGGAGGACAGCGCAGCCACTGTCCGCACCGGGCCAGCTGGAATTATCACCAGTGGTGACTACAGCGCTCAGCACGAGCGAGTCCAGTCCAGGCCACCAGATCCGTAAAACGTGTGCCCTCAGCAAGTAAATTCACGGCTGTTAGCATTGGCCTTGAGACCCCCGAAACCGTCGATCCCAGTGGGGGAAAGTGTTGAAATTCCTTCTGAGATGGATGCAACGGCCCATGACAGACGCTTGACCATTTAGGCCGATCGGCACCCGCGACGATCATCTACTGTACTGTATTCACCCAACCCAGGTGTGTGGTGACAACAATATTTCCACTCACGCCACTCTACGTCCCAAGGTTGTCATCGTCACATAATTGGGGATTGATGAGTCCTTCTATCAGATGGGCAAGCCTCGCCCGCTCTGAAGCTCTGACAAGCTGTTCCATCATCAATTTATCGCGGCTTCCGGCCGGCGTGCAGCCCAATCTTCACCCAAATAACGTAGGCGTAGCGTGGATGGCAAACAACCCTGGAAGCCACCTCTGAATGGACCTCAATACTTGTTTGGGTGTGATGCATCCCATCCTACTGTGCTCTCCATGCTCCATGCGGGACTTTTCGTATCATCAAGATGACGGTGACGACGACGAGCTTCTCGCACTCGTCGAGCCCTGTGGGAATTTCCAACAAAGGGTGTGATGAATACGCCGGCACTGTAAACTGTCTCACGCGGCAATCATTTGCAAGGACTATTGGAATATCCCTTTCGTTTGACTTGCTGAAGACCAACCTGTGCACCCAGATGATGATGAATCATTCCGCTGACCCACGTTGGCGCACCGATAAGATTCCAAACGTCCAAAAGTTTGTTCCCTCACCTGCGTCCTTTCTGATGATGTCCTCCTGCCACGATGCTGTCCCATAGGGTCAAAGTCAAGGAGACCGATTGTGCCGTTCGTCAACCAACTGTCCCCCCGCGGAAGCCGTCCGATAACACGCCGACGGAGGTGGAAGCTACCGGATCTGTATCCTTCACGAGCTTCCAAATTTATTAACGGCGCAAGTTCAACACGTTCGCACGCCAATTTTGCCTTTGGTTCGGTCGATCTCGAAATGCCTCCAACACAAACGTGGGGTGACAGATGACAGAACTAACTCATCAGACCTCACGGCAGTTGAGCCTCAACACATTCTATCTATTGGATCAGAATGATGCATCAGACGCTTCTCAACGTGATGCTATCTCCCTCCGCCACGAGTGATGATACCTTAGTGACCATTCGCGAAAGTCTATCGATTCCAGACTGTTTACTACAGTATCTTCGGTCACATTAATCGTTTCAAGTGGCCGGCATCAATGCACGCAGTGCCGTCCATAGTGCTCAGCTCACCAAACTATCACTGCAGGGCAACCGCCGGTTTCGGTCCAGATAGCGAATCCACTTACGACCATCTAGACGTGCCAGAACACGTCCGACGAGGACGACAACTTGACGAACTCTACCTACATGTGATTGATTCGCATTTTCCCACTTTCCCAGCTCTGTCCCGTGGATCGCTCTGGTCGTCGTGGACAATGTAATACACATAGTACACACACGTGAGAAGTTCCGCCTTTGCTTCTAGTGCTGCGTCACTATCAATGCTACTCGGCGCCACAAAGCCACCCGCCAGGTTGTCTGTCACGGAAAGTGACAACCTCACCGCCAGCCGAGGTCATCGCAATCTCCAGCATCACCAAGTCTCTTCGCAGAAATAGGCACAGGGAAATCATGTGGTGAACGCCTCGATTCCAGAAATGTCATGTCCAATTCCCTTCTGACGAGCTTTGTAAGGATACAGCGCCTAAAAACGGATAATTTCACGTGCTCTAGCGACTTGACCAGGATTACCGTAGCCGCCGTCTCCAAGAAAAGATGCTTCTGGGCGAGTTTCTCTAGCAGGATCTCGAAGTGACTTGCCGTGGCCAATTCCTCGCCAGAAAATGCATCCTGTTTTCGCGGCAAAGCGACCTGCGATATCTCTATTCACTCGCACATCATGTACAACATATACATGCATACGAACATAAGGCGTGCACCACCCAAAGGTGAGGTCAAGCACGCCCACGATGATCTTTGCCTGCTTCTATACCACTCCTCGTGAATTGAACATGCGCCGAACACTTGCGTATCGCCATACGGATTCCCTCCTGTGTACAGCAAGCAGAATCTGCACTCCACCCCTCCACATCGGCGCCTTCCGTAGAAGCCGAATGGGCACCAGCAGGAGAGTGGCGACAGTGTTGCTGCTCGTCTGCTGCAGGAACGCTGCACGATAATGTGCCAGAGGCGGTCTCATCGCGTACCTAGGATCGTCTAACAATATGTGGTGCGATTCGGCAAGGCTGATGGAACCGATGAGTGAAGAAACGATTCTCGTCACCTACAACAAGCTGCCATCACTTCCAATGAGGGGTTGCAGACGCCTCGTTTGCTTGTCGCGCCAGGTTCCTGGACGAACAAGGGTCTGGACAAGTCTGTTAATTCCATCCCAAACCTGCCAACCATTATTCTCCCGTCACAATAAACATGTTTGTTTCTGAAACTCTTTCCCTCGGCTTGCGCAATTCAACAAACACGAGCGATGCATTTTCAGCATGACGGGAGAGTATTCCTATGGGGCCGCGCGGCTCACCCCGCCGCTACTTCCCCCGCATTTCTGCGCCTAATTGATCGATCATGAAATTACACGCTTGTTCCTGAGATTCCATATCTGGTACCGACACCAGGCGTGCCGCAGGATAGACTTGTCGGACAAGGAGCCATCGACGCCTCATGTCATCTGGAATGCACCTAACGACAACGGAGATTTTTCTGGTATGCGTGCAACACCTTCGGCCGTTTGCGCAGGTCGTGCCGACGAAGCATCGACGATGGAGAGATTTGATACTTCGCTACAGCAGAATTGCGAGACCGAAGTCTTTAAATGCTTGTGTTCCTTCGAATGGCAGGTTCTAGACCTGGCAGTAGTGCGAATCTTTACCGTCTCAAGACTGCTGCTGCGCTGCTGCATTGCGGCGTAGTCAATCTGTAACTACTTGTAAGGCTTGTTCAGGCTTTGACCGAACTCTCGATTGTACCTGAACATGTACCTTGAACAGGTGTATCTTGACTTCTTGGGATACATCCATCAAAATACACAGAGTAGCACGGTGGTTCTCTGTTTGGAAGCTTTGTTTCAGAAAGCCCGTCGCTATCGGCGTCCTCATACAGAAATGTTCATCCTGTAACTTTTGACTTCAGACTCCTCTCCGTGCCGCAAGGAGCGAACAGCATACCGAACCACAATCACTCGAGAGCGCGGAACGATCAAGCAATATCAAGCGGGGTCCTCATGCACATGCTGAGCCGGTCCTGTCCGTAAAAGTGTTATGATGATGCTGCTAGGATACTCCATCCATGCTCCGTAGCCTTTCCCTTGTTGACAGGCATCAGGGTCTATGAAATGTGGAGATCACGGCCCTTTGATATTGTCCGAGGATATCATCGTCTAGGAACCAACACGTGCGCCAAGGGTGCCACTTGATCATGGCAGGCTGGGTGGAGGACCTTCGGAACTCCAGTCACATCTCATGCCTAGCCGGCATTCGATACGTACGATTGCGGGATCCCTGCTCAGGTCTTATCGGATAGGTGCCAATGAAGTCAATTTCGCTGGATTGTAGTGAGGTGCCGAGATGCTCGGTCATGAAGCATATTGTGATTTGTTCTTGAAGAGCTGTTGGTATTCCTCGTCCGCCATGGTCGGACTACCTTGCTATGGGGCAGGCCTTGAAGGACATTCATCGTTAATTAGCCGGGCTCAGTGTGGGCCGTGATGCTGGCATTCGATGATGCAACGAGTCTTCAAGAGCACCCTTGATTGCAAGCGGAGACGCCCTTGATTTGGTCCATCTATGGGCAGACGTATGCGACAGGGCAGGTTTGCCAGATATCACGCCAGTGATTATGTCCTTCGTGTTTGTTTCTTGAGCTCACGATAACGTTTGCGGCTAAGTCGTCCTGCTCATGAAGGAGGACATACGGTCTCGTTGTTTGACCGACCATCGTCATCATGCGTATCACCAGCAATGGAGTCGGCGTAATGATTCATCCGATTGACGGAGTTAGGGTAAAGGATTGAGCCCAAACCACAACCCTTAAATCCGTGGCCCCAGCAACATCAAGACAGTGGCAGCACATGGAGCTGATATATAATGAAGTAGTGATAACCAGTGTTGGGTGTGACTGATATTAAATTCATCCAAGACCCCTCGAACCCTCTTGTGTACAGAAGTCGATAGCCTCATCGTGCAGAAAGGTTTTCAAGAAGTGAGACAAGACCGTCAAGCTCGCGGCAAAGATCAACATGTCGGGGCTACCCACAACCACGAAGTCGTGGCAGTACGCCAGCGTTGCAGGAGGCCTAGAATCGCAATTGCAACTCAAGGATGTTGCTATACGAAAGATCAAGCCCAATGAGCACCTCATCCGCATTTTGGCTACGTCCCTGAATCCTGTGGATTACAAGGTTGCGGAAGCACCAATCGTTGGCGGCATCCTTGTTCGCAAACCCGCAGTGCCCTGCTATGACATTGCCGGAGAGATTGTACAGGCAGCGTCGGGCTCGAAACTCCAACCAGGCCAACTTGTCTTTGGTGGCACCGGTGGATCTCCGTTCGCTGGCGGCGGCTTGACCGAGTATGTCGTTGCTCCAGCCAATCAAATCATCGCCGTCCCAAAGGGAATCTCAGCAGTTGAAGCTGCATCAATCCCCATTGCTGGCATCACCGCGTATCAGAGCATTAAGCCTCACAGCAAGGAAGGCGACAGGATTCTGCTCAACGGCGGTTCCGGCGGCGTCGGACTCTTCGGCATCCAAATCGGCAAAGCTCTCGGCCGCCACGTCACCGTGACATGTTCCACCCGAAACATTGAACTGTGCAAGGCCGCCGGGGCGGATGTCGTCGTAGACTACACCAAGGGTGACCTCATCGACAACCTGAAAGCCCTAGGCCAGCCCTTTGATCTCGTCATCGACAACGCAGGCAGCAACCACGACCTCTACTGGAAGTGCGACCAGTTCACGACCGCGGACGCCAAATACGTGAACGTCGCCTCGAGCCCGGCGTGGAAAGACGTTTCCTTTATGCTCAAAGCCAATGCTGTGCCTTCCTTCCTAGGCGGACAAAAGCGGAAATTGCAGGGTCTCTTTGCGCAGCCCATTGAGGCGGACCTACAGCAGATTATAGACTGGATGCAGGAAGGCAAAGTCAAGGCTCATATCGACTCGACATTCAGTATGCAACAGGCGCCTGATGCCTTCCGCCAACTCAAGACGGGTAGAAGTCGAGGCAAGGTTGTGATTCAAGTCGCTGAGCCCAAGTCGGAAGCGAATTGAAGATGCGTGCCAAGTCACTGACAGGAGAGGGTGGTTTGTATTTTCTGCTGCTTGACCACGTCGTGTTCCGTCGTGGTCAGGGCAATTGTATATCCAATAGTCACGTTTAATCAGGTTGCAAGAATCATAAAGAATAAATAATATATCCTTTGCTTTGACTATCTCTATCTATGCACCGCGCCCGCCCGCTGGTGTGTGGTCTGAAAATGGGGGTATAAATGCAACACAGAAACATCGTCCTCGCAGGACAACGAAGGGGGAGAAGAAGAATCAAGGAAAAACGAAAAAGACATCATTCATGCAACAGCCGGCTGCTGTGACTCATCCTCATTTGGTCTGTCGATGACCAGAGCCTTCGTGAAAGGTGCGGTCGTCGGTCGGTGTGGGACAGTTTCCTCGGAAGCCGACCGCCAGATGTTCTTGGTGGCGCTCTTGGTGACGAAGTCGGTCATCGGAGTGACGATGACTGCGCCGAGAATGATGACGGTGTAGCAGACTACTGCCGTAATGAGCAGGATTGCCCAGTACGGCACGGCCATTTTGGCGAGGGAGACGGCGATCCATGAGCCTAAGCTCCAGAAGACGAAGCCATGCATCACTATAGATGATAAGTTAGTGGTGAATACAAGTCAGAGCTTTGAAGGGGGTGATCTTACGGTAGATGGTCATAATGTGAGGGTGGAAGAAAGTGACAACAGGTAAACTGAGGACCCATTGGATCCAGGTTGATAGCTCGACCATGACTTGCAAGCCGATGCTGAAAGTTAGGACGGCGAGCGAAGGGTTGAAGTAGTCCGGGTACAGGTTGTAGACGTTTTCGGCAATCTGGATAAGCGGGAGACCAGTGTTTGGGTCTGGGTGAATACCATTCTCCCAGGACATGAAGGGGAAGTAGAAGAAGTTGGAGTTGAAGAGGAGGACGAGTGGCGTCGCGCCCGTGATGAGGAACGCGGTGATGAGGACAGGGTATAATCGGTACCATTTGGCTTGAGTGTATTTGATCCAGTCGAATGTGAGGTCCATGTCCGCAAGCATGAGACCCAACCAGTGAGTGGCGGACCAGCTCGTGGCATACCAACCGGCGAGGACGGTAACAAGGTAGAAGCCGATACGCTTCCACGGTGTCTTGATATCCCTGATCATGATCGCTGCGACAATGGTCACGAATGAGAATTGCAGCTGAACTGGGATGGTCCACAGCACACCAACACAGTAATTGTTGATCACTGAAGGAGCGGCGTTCGGGAAGAGGTACGCAAGCTCAATGGCCTGGTTCAGGTAGACGCCGAAGTTCTTCTGCGGCTCAACATAAGGCCAGACACTGAAGCTGACGCTTGGAAGCCATTCCAGCTCGGTCGTTAGACCCAGCGAGATGAGGAAGTACTCGACGATCATGAAGAGAAAGCAAGGGATGAGCATACGAGGCGCTCGAAGCAACATCCTGTTGCCCATGTCATCAAGTCGGCCGGTTTTCAGGTATTTTTGCGCGAGGAAACGACATGCAGTGACGAAGAAAGGTCCAATCCACAGTGGCGTGAGGACGTATGGGCCCAGGATGTAAGACAATACCGAATCAGCGGCAAAGTGTTCGTTCATGCCGTAGCCTTCCGTGACGTGTGGCCAGAAGGTCAATGAGAAATGACGGAGCGTTACCATGATACACGAGATTGCCAACAGACCAGCAAGATGATCGATCCGCTGCTGTGGAGCAACTTTGGCGAGCTTTGTATCGACGGTTGCGGCGCCCGTCATGGCGTCTGGAACAGACTTTTCATGAATGATGGTATGAAGCGATTTCTCGTGAGGAATCTCCACCGCCGGAGTCGCCACCTCATCAACTTCGCTGTGCAAGGTCTTCTTCTCGTCTGAGCTTGAAATCCAAGCTTGCTTGACGCTGCTCGTTTCGGAGGACGCTTTGGATGACAGTTCCGAGGACTCTGATGTGTGTACATTACTCTTGCTGTTTTCACCTTCCGTGGTACTGCTGCTACTGCTTGCATTGCTTTCTCCGCTTTCGAGATGATTATCAAGGCTCAGGTATGCCATCTGGCGCGATCCTTCGATGTCCAACTCTTCAGCCTCATCGATCACGGGTGGTGGCTCGAGAATGTTGCCTTCGATCGTTGGAGATGTCGGAGCGCTCGGCGTATTACGTCCGTCGGGAATTCCGGAGTTGTTACGCCTGACACTCCCCCTGCGAACCGGCACGAGAGCAGTCATTGATTGTCTCGGTGTGTTCACACGAGATTGATAGACGGGTAGCGGAGTCATCATGCCTGATGGTGTGGTGTAGCCAGGCGCCGGCGTTTGGCGCCCATTCGAACTGCCCGATATGGAACCCATGTATGCCGGAGCAGGGGTCTCAGGTTTGCTGAAAATCGGCATCGGTTCGTGCACTTGAGGCGGGCTTCCGATGGGTCCCATCGAGTTGCGAATGGAACGACGCAAAGCGCGATTGGACTTGCCTCCCTCTCCTTTCCAGTACAGCTTCTTGACCTTTGACCAAGGCGTGCGACGCACAAACGCATTAAGCAGCGAAGCAACACCGAACGTGCTGAAGGCCGCCGCAATATAACCTGCGACCTTGCGGATGTAGTCCTTCTCATCTGGTTCTTGCCATGGTTGGGTCGCCGCAGCAGAATATTCTGATGAGCCACGAAGCATGACATCGTCGATCGAACAAGGGTTGGCAGACAAACATCGCTGATCGTAAGCCTGGTGGTCCGCCGCGCTCATGGTAGAAGTGTTGAAGAATGCCCGCACCCATCGGAGGTTTGCAACAGAGCGTTGCAGAGGCGGACCTTGCATGAAGTTGGCGTCTCCCGTAGACCAATGCGAAAAGGCCAAAGGCGCTGGAATGGTCGGAATAGTTCGGTCGGTGCGAGTGGCATTGCGAGTGTTGTTGTTCGCGATCCAGAACTCGATTCCATCGATCGTCCAATCAATGCGAAGGTCGAGGAAATCCCAAGGAGATTGAGGCTGTAAAGCCGGCGGTGCGCCTGCTGCGATAATAGAATAATTCACAGCAAGTCGGTTTTCAGGCCATTCTCCGTTGACGGTCTGCATGATCTGGGCATCGGGAGCCGCGTCCTTGTTCAACATATCCATCTCGATGTTTGAAGAAGTGTTGTACTGCAGGATCATCGAAAATGCACTTCCTCCGCTCCATGGCTGAGCTGATCGCATAGAGGCTCTGAACGTTCCGTAAAGGATATCCTGACGAACGGATCGGAGCTCTGCACCGACAGAGTCATGGTTCCAGGTTGGTTCATCTAGGAACATTTGCAGGCTTGAGTCGTTGCCATCAATGGCATTCTGCCAAGGTAATGATGCGTTGTTTCCGATATCAAAGTTGGATGGGCTGGCACCTTGACGGAAGATAGTATTCCAACCTTTCTGCACTCTTTTCCGGTAATCGAGGGCTTGGAATGTTTTTCCGTCTAGGGCATTCGATTCATTAAAGTATGCAATGATTGAGTCGGTGTACAATCGCTGATTTGCCGGATCGATGAAGCCACAGCTACATTGTGAAGAGGGCGTGATGTCTTGAGCATGCACTGCAGTCAACGCCAGCAGGCCTGTAAGAGTGAAGAGGATCGTCATGATGTTGAGCTATCCTGCCACATTGGACGTCACGAACAAAAGATGATCGTGATGTTAAGATAGACAGGGGAAGGAAGGCGGATGATCTGAGGGGATCTCGCGTATCGTGAACTCCCTTACATACGCGTACACGATCTGGCGGCACGTTATAACAAGATGTAATCTCAGATGCATTGAGGACCCCATGACAGCATCATCGCCACGTACGCGCCAGCCGTGAACGAAGCACGAACGAACATGCAGGCGTGACGTTGAATACTAGACCGGCGCGATGCCTTCGCTCACTGCTTCAACCGCCACGGTCCTGCATGACTGATCTTCTGATCGACTCGATCCTCTGGCGCATGCTAACAGCGCGATTGATGAGATGAGATTGCGTACGCATGGGGCTAATAGCTTCTTTCACCATCGTGGGATTCAATCCGTTGAGAGCGATCCTCCACGAAGGACACACCAATGAACAGCCATTCCGTAAGCATATCAACACTGCGAGTCACACTAGACTCATGTCCTCAGCTGCAGGGTTCAGCCGCAATCTTTGGTGTAGGAAATGTCCTTCGCTGAGGTCCCAGCTACAGTGACAAAAATGTCGCAAACCTCCCGCCACGCCGTTGGATCGACGTTGTTGGCGCCAGAATTGGTGATCCATCATTCAACGCAACGTGTTAAGGTTCGCGATATGCTGTTACTGCACAAGCAATGCTGGAGAGGTGGATACTGATGAGAACACTGCTATACGATCCCGATGTGGCCACATCCCACGGTCATCTGCGTTATCTTAACGTCCGTACCACCTTCTAACCCGGGCAGAGGGGCGAGGCCGGCAATGTCTGACAGTACCGTACCAGCCCTTGATAACGACAGTTTCGTGTCAAAAAGGCATCGATCTAGACCAGTAAGCTGGGCCGCTCACCCAAGATCTCGGTCCTGTCATTGAGGTGGAAGCAGTGGGCCGTTCCCTTCGGAGCTGATGTTCGGAAGTCGGGTCTCGGCTCTTCGAGCTGCAGAGCCAATATCAAGCTCTGAATAAACCACGAGCATACAACTTCGTGCGCAGATCGTGTTCTAGTCGATCTATGAGCCGTTTCTTGCTGTCCCGACGTCGCGCCATATTTTCCATAGATGTGATGATGTGCGTGGGTTTTTGACGTGGGATGGTCCGAAGCTGACATTTGTAAAGCGCAACTTTAATTTATCGACACCAGGCATTTTGACAGGCGAAGGCGGCAGAAGGTTTACACAGCGCCTACGCTAGCGATACCTTATTGTGCCCTCGACGGGCCTAATCGCATTCCTCGACCATGTTCACATTTAGCGCTCAATCACACGTTTGATGTGACCAACGACCCAAAACACGGTACCAAATGGCTGCTGGCGCGGGAGTGTCTTCGAACATGATGATTGGTTCGCTTTGCGACCTGGCAAAGATTCTTGACCACGCAAACGATTTCGAGGCAACAGCATTTGCGTGTCCTTTCAAGGAGGACGGGTCCTCCCGTTGTGGATCGCGAAATTGGCGGAGGACGGCTGCACGGCTCATCAGCTGCAAACGTGACAACTGCCGCTAGACCAACGTTCTGTACCACCACGTTCGCGGTGTGAGATGGAACGAATCGCAACCTTCGTTCACGCCTCCACACGCATGCTCTGCAGTGCGTGAGATATGATGGCCCAATCGATACTGCACATGGGACGCGCATTCCAGATATCCATCAGCTTTGCTGTAGCGTGAACTTTCTCAAGGTGGGGATTGTCCCTCTTGGGTTGTTTATGGATCCTGCTACGATAAGCACCTTTCAAGATCGCGACTACTGTATGCTCGAGAACAAGCGTTCGAGTGCAAAGAGCCGACCCGTTTTCCCTGAACCTAGAGCATAAGTTGTGTACTGCTTCCGAGGAGCGATCAGGCCTTGAGAGATCATTCACGGCTACATATCGCAGGCGTTGTGGTGACGTTTTCGATCCACCAAGAAAATTTTGCCAGATCATGTTTTATCTATATGAGTTTGGCATGACCCATCAATGTCCAGGCTGGTCATACAACATGTAGAAGGACTCCTCGTCGGTGCAGATCAGCTATGCTAAGAGCAGGTGGACGTCATGATGGGGTGATGCACGTGCGAGAGCTGCGTGTGATTACTGCTGTGAGCTTGTGGTCTACCACCGGTGATTGCTCCTAGCAGCGCGAGCTGTGAATGCACATCTGAAGGTCTTGATGCAGGATCTTCCGGCATGGCGAGACCTAGTCCACGCCTTGCATATGCAGCGGCATATTACCTTTCCTGGCTGGTCTGGACGTGCGAGCATTGTCGACTAGACGACTCGACAACACGGGAAGTGGACAATCTCGAGTGAAGCGTACTGTGTGATCATTGCCTCATTCGCAATTCGGTTGAGCCGCAACTTGAGCGATCGTGCCCATCCTATTTGATTAGACGCGGTGAGGTTGCACCACGATCCGAATAGGCGTGTCCTGGAAAATTGTGGACCAAGCCACACGATAATGGCGATAATCACTGATACCACGACCACATTCGAAAATGCGAGTATCTAATTCGTATGTTTGCTTGAAGTCCGAGCTTGTGGTATTGACCGATATCGCATCATCATAATACGCTGAGATGCTGAGAGCTTTTTAGGTGGGTCATTCAGGTGGATCTGCTAGGTGACGATCACAAACTGCTCTGGCGTGCTTGCTTTGAATTCGTTCTCTGCCACGGGAGGCTAACCCATCTTCTGGCCGCAATGTTGCCGCTTTTGTTCTGTTGAGGTGCTCATGGGACACTTAACGCGAGAGCGAGTCGTTGTACGAAAAACGCTCTATAGAAACGTGCGAGGCTTCGAGCTGAATTCGGCCAGAGTAGAGATAAGCATCAAATCTATCGCCGCTCGAGGCCGATCGACCTGGGGTACGAAATAACGGTTGAGCGATTACGTCGTTGTCGATCCCACGTTGTGACGATCTTGCATGTTGGGCCCATCGATGCGGCTTGGTACTCGTAGGACGAGTCAACAGTGTTTCTGTATCACAAATACACGCAATTGTGGATGAAACACAACCCTTTCTAACACATGTGATGCGTTGTGGATATACTGCTGGTACCTATCAGACTTTTGTGAGGCACTGGTCATCTTTCTCGGCGAATGAGGCAACGCTGGATAACGGAACATTCACATCGTAATTGCTTGATTGCGAGATCCTGATATCGAACCCTAGGTTTTGCTCGAGTGCGGACACCGCGGTCAAGCGCGACACATTTGTTGTTGCAAACACAGACTCATTAGAGATTGAACGAGTAAAGTATGCTTACATCTGTGCCGATTAGTCCGCCCAGGTGGTGAGCTATCGATGGCTGTGTCGTTGTCACGGAAGAACCCAAATGCGAAGAGGGACGACAACCCAAACCCTAGCAAATGATGTTTCAACCCTAAAACACATTCCTTCCACGGTTCCAAGGTTCCAAAGTTCCGAAGGTTGACGTGACAAGCGTTGGATAAAAATATTGGAGTCGTCGGGTTGACACAAATGCGGATAGTCACTCGACAACGTATTATCATCAGGCGATTCCATAGTAATGGCCTGCTGCATCAGGCGATGTTGTGTACTGGAGACGATGCAGGTCATGAAGCAATGTCACTCATCAGTGCCATCCTATGTCACCGATGCCATGCCTACGCAGCTGGCGGCACCTCCGCATTTCGGCAAACTTCTGGGCTTCGTCCGGCGGCCTTCCCGTCGGATTTATGCCTCAGTCACCAGCGGGACATCCAATCTCTACTGTGGCTGACCCCGGAATTCCATGACGTTGAAGGCTTGCGGCACAGGAGTAATAACGCATAACCGACCCGTAGATGAGCACGAGACCAAGTGCTGTACCTGGTAAGGAGAGACAGCGGAGAATGACAACTTGTGCGGAATTCGTCTGGAAGAGACAATTGGAGGCCGCGATGGCAAGGCTGTGCAGGTGAGTGTTAAATAATCTTTGACGGGTTGCGACATGTCTCAGCGTGTGTACGGTGCGGCCGTGTGGATTTTCCGCGCTATGCGATAAAGTCAAGTCAGTGACAGAGACATGCCTTTGACTTTACGGCCACGTTGTTTTCTAACCGGGCCCCAACGTGGCATGTTGAGAGGGCCACTCCGCGGCTGGACAAAGTTTGAATATAGCAGGCAAGGACAGAAACGGGACATCACAGGACAGTCTAGGACCAGAAAGCGTTGAGGTCGGTCAGATGTAAAGCACGGATTGGCCTTGGACGAAGCGGCGGGGTTGATGGCGAAGACCGTATCGAAGCACGCAAACATGCTTCAGAATGATCCTGTCCTCTCCGCTGTGGCGCTACCGACTATTGACATGTGTTGGAGACCGAGCTCTGGTCTTCTGCAAGATACCGCATCTTCCAGACAGCTTCGCAGACCGACCGAAAGTCCATAGCGTCGGCGTAGCCCAAAGGACGGAATCGATGTAGCAGACACACAGCGTGAAGCGCGTGGTTGGTGGAGAGGGGTGAGCGACTTGCGACAATGTTGAGCCGCGGGATGGCGTTTTTGTTACGGGCGCCATGATTGGTGTGCACTGTGCAGATGTGAGTTTTGTTACAGTCCAAATCAGACAATTCGTGGGTTTCGGACGGAATTTTCATGCCGAGCGGAATTTTTTGGTAACAATGCCCACGCATTCTCCAGGCATGAAGCACAGTGAGACAATCGCCTTGAGTGAGACACGCCCAACAAGCAGGGTCACATCGTGGGAGAACGGCGTGATCGCCGCGCGAGTTTCATCATTGATGGTTCCCTTTGTTATTTGGACCGTCACCGTCATGATCGTGACTAGTATCATTCGATCATTCGATCATTCGAATGACTGCGTTCCAGAACAAAGAATGTTCCATGATGCCAATGCGTTGGTTTTAATCATGTTTGGTGAAGGGATAATGAGAGATCAGGCGTGCCTATAGACCACAGCATAGCCAATGAGCGCGCGTGTGTATGCAGCAGAATGTCATTTCACCGCCGTAGAGAGGAAGACCACAACGACGAAGAACATCCACAGCCCGAGCAGGAAAGATAGCGAGGAGAAAACGGGAAATGCACGGGACAACAATTTACCAATTCGGGAAAGTGGTGGCGTTCTCTGATCGCTGCCCGCGTGCCTTGTTCCTGTCGCTGGTTGTCGAAAGTGGAGGTGGAGGAGGAGAAGACCAGAAAGTCGGGTGTGTGTGTGTGTGTGTGTGTGTGTGTGTGTGTGTGGATGTCATTGTGTGTGTGAGTGTGTGCGCGCTGTGCGGTATGTGAAAGCTGTGGGCCTCGTTCCTCGACGGTGCCTGACTAGGAGCGCCACAATCTTCAAGAGTTGAATTCCACAGGCACATTCAGCTTCCCTCGGACATCCACAATCAATCGTAATACACGAGCAAATCCACGATTGGCATTGAACTCTGAAGCAACGGCATCACACCAGCACCACCAGAACGACACTGGAGGGCACGACGATTCGACAGTGTTGATCAAAACAAATCCCATCATAACATCAAGATGCTGATGACGCTCCTGTCAGACAAGTATGCATGGCAGTTGAAAGGTATAACGACGTCTCTCCCAGCCGAACGGCCAAGATCGCAGCTGTGGATAGATGCAGCATGTACACAACAATGTGACGATGGGAGAATGGAGGCCTCAGGCACAGGTCGTGAGTGAAACAACGACAATTTTAATCCCGACTGTGCCTGAGACAGGTAAATTGTATGTATGCACTGTCACTGTAGTGGAATTACACTTTTCAAATGTCCTACCCGCATGTGCTTGTTTGTACCCAACTGTGTACTGGATTCCACCATCACCATCTCCACCACTGACTGCTACATTATTATCATCGCCATCGATTGCAACGTCCACAAGGACCCACTCATCACAACGCTGCATGTGTTGATGTCTCGAATCTTCATACATGCTTTGCCTCTCCATGTGTCGGAGTGTGGGCGTGGATGTGGGTATGTGTGTGGGCAAACTGTCCGAGGGATCTTGATCGCTGACCTGCATCCCAGTATCGTTCCGCGCATACAATGTGCTGTTCTGTGCTATGCAGCTCTCCATCCCATGTCATTTAGAGTTCGACACCAAGCATATCTCCGCCCGCTCACACCACACACGGTGACACACCATCTTGATGACCATCATTTAAATTTTCATCCACACACACATCCACACACACAGACACACACATCAAGCTTTCAATCAAGTGCAACTGCCCGGGAGCCTGCCAATGATTCAGCCGAGCCAATCCCTCCTCCTTCCACCTCCATAGCGTCGATCGAGCTCAAACCATGCGGCCTTTAGTGTTTAGTGCCCTCGGCCTATTTTGCGCGTTGAGGACGATCCATCCTGGTACGAGCTATGCCTTCGTTGCTCAACCTGGACGCATCGGAGCACGCATCTGGCCGCGCTCGGTACATGTGCTGGCCACGAACATCCGTGGCGACGGTGAAGCTATGTTGATACATATAACGGCCGCCGTCATGGCTTTCATGAAAGGGCCTCGAGGACATAGAAACATCAAGGACTTCCCCAGTCGTTCATCAATCGAGGTGCAGCAGCAATTTCCCATTGTCACCGTCGCTGTCGTTGATTCTGTGATTGATCTCTTCTCATCACCATCGATCCAACAAAGTCCTTCCTTCCTTCCTGCTCGGCAGCTCATCGTCCTTCGCTTGGCGAACTCCTTCTCGTAGTGTCCTTTGACCTACTTGTCGGCATCGTCGTCGTTGACGCCTGTCGTTCCCTTCCACCACGCTCACTCGACCAGTCGATCCTCGACGTCTATATCACCATGTCGTCCTCAAAAGATTTCGAGAAGAGTGGATACTCCACCGACATCACTCCTCTGCCCAGTCACCACGCTCCTTCAAATTCTTCCGTATCCGGCTCAACGATGTCACCCAAGAAATCGAGTGTTACCAGCTTGACGTCCAAGATGGTCCGCAGCGTGCGAGGCTACATCATGGCCGCTTCAGACTGGTTGCTGGAATGGACGCCCTTCATCCTGGTGACGACCTACTTCATTGTCAGCACAGCGATCTTCGTGCTATGCAACGCCCAGACGATCAAGGTCTTCTACTTCTTCTACATGTGCACCAACTTCTACATCGCAGCCACCTGTGTGATCGAATCTTTCATGGGAATGACTCCCGTTCGGGAAGCCCGTAAACTTGCTATTGAGGTCGACAAGAAGGGCGGCAAGTTCCCCAGCGACTTCAACGGCACAGCCAAAGACCTCCCCATCATGGACATTGTGATTGTTGCGTACCTTCCCAACGAAAAGGACATTATCCGCAACCAGGTCCTTTACGCTCTTGAGGAGTTGATCTACCCCGACAACAAGCTCCGCATCAACCTGGTCTACAACACCCCCAAGGCCATCGAACCTCTGGAGAGCGAGCTGGCGCTCATGCCTGAACAGTACAAGAACCTCCGTGTCATCAAGGTCCCCGGCTCCAAATCCAAGGCCGACAACCTGAACTACTTCTTCAACATCGAGTCCGACGCCGAGGTGATTGCCATCTTCGACAGTGACCACTGCCCTCACCCGTACAATCCTCGCTGGGCCGCCGAGCGCTTCCTCGCGGACAAGACCGTTGACATCGTCCAAGGCCGCTGCATCGTCTACAACACCAACGAGGGATTCTACCCCAAGATGATTGCCGTCGAGTTCGACAAGATCTACGCCATCTCTCACCCTGGTCGTCAGCGAATGTTCGGATTCGGTCTCTTCTGTGGTAGCAACGGATACTGGAAGGCGGACCTCCTCCGAGGCCACAAGATGCACGGAGAAATGCTTTGCGAGGATATCGACTCTGCGCTCCGCGCCTACGGCGAGGGCAAGAAGGCTGTCCACGACATGAATGTCACCTCCTTCGAGATGGCGCCCGTTTCCTTCGGTGCCTTCTGGAAACAGCGACTGCGGTGGGCGCAGGGCTGGACGCAAGCCTCGATCGTTCACATGCCTCTCGCCTGGACCAACCCTCCCGGCGGCAAACGCACCATGAACGAGCGCTTCGGTGTCTTCTCCCTGCTGTTCGTCCGTGAGATCTCCTACTACCTCGTCACCCAGCACACCTGCCTTGTGATCAGCTTCATCATCACCAGCTGGCCGCACAACGTCCAGGAATTCGTCAAGCTCATCTTCTTCCGCTACCCCATGGCCGAATGGTTCTTCTTCGCCACCATCGCCGCGCTCGCCATGACCCTCTTCTTCACCGAGAAGGTCCGCTCCGAGTTCACCTCATGGCGCTCCATGACTGTCTTCTGCATCATCTACGTGCCTTACCTCGTCTTGATGGCCGTCATGGGTCTCTTCGCGCACGCACGTGAGATTTGCAAGTACACCAAGTGGAACCCGACCGCGAGAAAATAGACATTCCCTCATCGGAAGTACTATCGTTTGCGCGTTCAATTTGACATGGGTTTAGCGACGGCGTTTTGGACGGATCTTCATTTTCTCATCAATAACCTTTTTCGTACTCTTCACATTTCGTAATCGTCGGCACAGTCGCCCGACGCCCGAGCACACGCCCGGAAGGAGTTTTCTCTCTGATTCTACATTTCATGACATGCATTGCGCATCGTCCCTGGGCCGGAAGCTCTCGCAGGCGCTTCCATCATTACGGCCTCACATAGATATATCCCGCATTAGACAGGCATACTTAACGATTCTATGATTCTATCAAATTATTCATCAGACATTTCCTGACACCTCCATTTCACTCCATAGTTATCTTCACACTAGCTATTGTCCATAGTACCCGTGGATTGTTCGCATCACATCCGAGTCATCCTCCTCCTCTGCTGTGTGAGCTTTGAGATCGGCAGTCGACTAGTCGCAACGACTATAGAGCTGTTGGTAACCTAGCACAACGACTGGAAATTGGACGTTGCCCATAGATCAACGGCGTCACAGATCTGGCCCGCTGCTCATACCGTCGCCCGCAAATTTGACAAATTGCGCTGGATTATAATAATGAGACATGCCTGCCCAGTGCACGATTTAACTTCTCCCTCTTTTGGCGATCATGATGATGATAATGATGGAGTTGTTTCGAAAAAAGTAGTGTCGTCATTACTGCTCTGATGTATGGCTCCCTATCGTCATCATCAAACACTGGTGATTTCACCATCTCATCACAAATTCATCAACTGCATAATCAAAGCACTTCATTTGGAAATTATACTAGATGGACAGAATGTGAGAATGCACGATGGGAATGCATCCGATCTGTGATTGCACGTGTGTGCACCGGACCACAGGTAGGACAGGGCGTGATTGCATCCGGAAATAATCAATGCAGTGTTCAGCGCACAACATCCAACCCGGGCGTGTTTGTTCCCTGTCCTTATCGGTGCCTGAAGGACCTTCCTACCACAGCAGCGTGATATCACAGACTTGATCTCGTAGGATTGATTCCTCACCCACGTAAAATTCGATCGAAATGAGGATCTTCCCATCAATGACGCTCGTCCTACGCGCATTCTTCAGCCCACAATACGTGGGCGGCGGTGCAACACTGCAGCTCCTACCGATAATCCCCTCGTACGACTACAGTCTGGACCCTATAGTAATGGAAGAATTTCACCATCTTGGTCCCTCCTGCTGTGCCGGAAGACGCGAAGTATGGACTCCACTGTGAGCTGGATTCCAGTGGGGCCTTTCGTTACGCGTGCAAAACATCTCATAGGGCAGATATTGCAATGACAGATAAAACCTCGCGACGATTTCCTACCGCGCTGCGGACGTCGCGAAGACACGTGCTGCGTGGGGAGAGTACTCGGTCCCGCGGTGATCGTCGCTGCACATACTCGATATGGAGTCTCTCGGCCAGCGCGCGCAACAAGCCTTCGTCGCCGAGAAGGCGAAATCCCACTCCGCGCCGGGCGATCAATCCTGTCAAGCTTTGATCAGGCTGGGCATATGCAATCGAGTTTGTCAAAGATGGTGCTTGTCTGAATATCTCCGTGTACCATCGTGGACATGTGCGTCGTTGGCGGTATGCATAGATCCACAGTGGACACAGTGGAGATGGTATGCACTGGAGGAATAAAGTTCTTACTGCAGTTCTTGAGTGTGTGTTGTCGATCCGGCAGCGCCCACGGCTCTCGGTCGATGCCTTTGTCCACACCCACTGCTGCCGGGTCTTTGTCCACTACCACCACCACCACAACACCACAGCACCGCCGCAGGAGCGCCGACGACGACGATCACTGACAAAAACATCCATTCCACAAAATCCACAACCCAACGCCCAACACCACCACAACCCCATTCCTGCCCGCATGAAGATCATCCTCAGCTGCATTTACGGTCCTCGGTCGACTCCGAGCTGGTGTCTGCACGCATCCTCACTTACTATCGCGATGCATGAGATCGTCAGAGCCTTTGAATATAGTGAACCAATAGAGCCGCCTTTTTTCCACAATCGTCTATGTACATGGGACGCCATGGATGTCTAGAAGAGGATCTTCAAGCTCCGCTCCTCAACATTTCGTGCCGTCTTCACCTCTATCTTTCGCGCGAAGATCTGCAAAAAGACATTTTCTTTTCAAAATTCACATGAAAGACCGACGGCCGTATGCCAATCAAAAGTTCATCACTAGATTTCACTTTTTTTTTCTCCTCTTCTTCAAAGATGCCATGATCATCGCCACGCGTGGAGAAGTTGCGGAGTGCAGACGAGACTTTCCCACCACCAACGTCTTTTTCGTTAATGACACTTTACTATTCACTCCGCCTTCTTTCCCTGCTTTCTCCCCCCTCACTTGATGAATCTTCCCGTCTTTGCAGCGTCGATCATCTGCAATTGTCTTCCGGGCGCATGAAGCCGCATCCGGCTTTGGCGTGCTTGGCATACTTTCATGTCGTCGGCCCTTCACGCAGCTCGGAGAAACAGATGACGAGCTACACCGCAAAACGATAGCCTCGCATATGTTCCTGACGGATAATCGATCATGGCAAAGAGGGAATGGATATGTACAATATCGTGGATGCCTACAACGCAGCCATCTCTTCCGCGACCGAGGCTGAAATGGCGACATTAGAACGCCGCCGCTCTTGAATATGGATGCCACTGCAGGCAGCCGCTTCACTTGTCTAGCAAGCATCTTGCATGACACTGCTCTCGTGTATCATCACCCAGACTATTGCAATGCTTGACATTGAAGCTCTATATGGCATCCTTGGCAGTATCTTAAACCTTGCCAAGTGACCAGGGTCGTCGAGAAGTGCAAGCTTTGTCGAAGAGATCTCCCATCAACCGTGCACGCTTCGCTCCGCCCCTCCAATGGGACGACGAAGTAGGTCCTCTCTCGTATGTCTGAACGTTGGAAAGAATGAGGGGAAATCGACAACATTCGCAGATCTTCCCATCAACATCACCATCACGGACCATCACGGACCATCTTGTCATCCTCGTCTTCCATCGTCGTGGTGTTGGAGAAGAGGGCCTCGGAAGCGCAGAACGCGGTTCTGCGACTCCACTTCTCGTGTTCCTCTTGCGCGATTGAGGAGAAATTTGAAGTTTAATCATTCTGGGATTGATGGAAGTGTGGAGAAACCATGTACGTTGCATCGTGACGTCGAGCCACTGCGGTTTCCGTCTAGAGGCAAGGAAATTCTCCGTCCCGCTAGTAAAAGTACAGTACCTTACCGTCCTTCAAGCGCGCAGGCTCGCCAAGGGAAATTCGTGCCGCGAGAGAAGGCCCGCGGCGAGAATGTGGGATTTTCCCATCACCGCCTCCCATGGTGCCCCTCCGAATCTTCCGTTGAGTGGCGTCTGCTCTACGCTCACCGAGCCTCGCGATCCTTCGACTGCGGCACTTCCCGTATGAAACGTGCACCGGAGCTGAAACCATTGCTTGAGGTTTCAACAAGAAGGATGCTTGGCGTGAGTTCAAATGGTATGTATGTTGATGAACATCGGCCCGACCTATGACTGTCGAGCGAAGGACTTGTTGGCGTAAGCATTAGTCGTTCAACAGAATGTTTCGGAAGCAACACGTGTATTGAATTGCGAGCATCAGATGTCCTTCACGATCAAATATCGGAACGACTGGACCTTGTGGGATCTTTGGCCGGGCAAGCGCCGTGTTGCGTTCGATCGCAGCTGAGAAGGACTGTTCGTCAGATCTTCCTCTAGCACGGAATTCTCCGAATAAAGCGGCTGAGAATTGTTGAGGACATTATCCCTGTGATGGAGCTTATCAAGTGCCGGCCGTCGACCATGAATGCACCGGTGCTTCGGAGAATGTTCTATACTTGAAGGACTGCATCTAGTTGCGAGTTGGATCTGCTCCAATGTCCCGACTATGACTTGAGCCGCATGAATTTGAAGTAGAAACTTGGGGTTTGAGGCTTCCCGCTGTCAACGTGGAGTGGTGGTGTCCTGCAGCGTGGAGGCCATGCGATGGGCCGCCAATGTCATGGCAGAGGGTTCAGCACCAAAGATGAGCAGATCTCGATCGAGTGGATTCGACCCCTGATTCAGCCCAGATACCCCCAGCGCAGCCAACAGCAGGCAAGTCGCAGTGGTTCTTCATCAGGAATTGAGTACACTTAGACGTGTCTATCAATGAGCACTCAAACTCCACAAGAGACTGCCCGACGACTGTTCGTCTGAGAGTCGATGTAATCTTGACCTTTGAGACATATTGGAGCTGCAGTGAACCATCATTGGTTCACTCTGGGATATGAAGCTCCGATGGTCGTCAAGCGTGATTGTTGGAGGCGATCTCAACCGGTAGAAGGAGCTCGGTCAATCGTTTTGCTCCTTCTTGATGACAACTTCCTTCTTAATATTCGATGAGCGCTCATAATCCTTGAGCTCCTTGGTCCAGATATGTTTCAGGTTCACATATCCTTCATCGTCTTTGCATCGCATCCAGACCGCGCGGAAAATGTCACTCGCTTCTCGCTTCTCCTCCTGACCTTTGTGACCTTCGGTCTTCGGCAGCAGGACCTTCTCGCCGCTTCCATCGGTACTTTTCTGATACTTGCGTCCGCCTGCACGATTGGCGTACCTCCCCGCGCGTGTCATTCCCATCTGGATGAATTTGCGCGCCATGTCGGCGCCCACGAAATCCTGTGCATCGATATAGAAGTCGAATGCTTTGCGCAACGTCTGTGAGGATTCACACGCGATCGGAACAGTCTTGAAGCGCCAATGAGGCAGCAGAATGGATTTGTAGGGTTCGAAAGTCAAGACGCCTTGTTCTCCTCGACCGATGCGATAGGACATGCGTATGCTTGTAGAAGTCTTGGATGGCGTCGGCCACATTGCCTCTGACGATGGGTCCTCTTCATCTGTCGTCCTTTCTTTCTTGATGCTCCAACCCCTCGTTTGGTGTTCCTCGCGCTTCATTCTTCAATTTGTTTGATCATGGTTTATTGAGCAGCACATCGATGACCGCATCCTGTGCCGATACTTAGGTACCAAAGTATCCAGGCCAGCGAGGGCGCTTATGTAACATGACGTGTGTACGTAATCAACAAGCTCCAGCCGGAGCTTGGTAGAACCACTGATTATATGTTTCAATATTCATTAAGGTAGAAGCTTAGAAGCTTTTGCTTAAAGGGCAAGCATCGTGATTTCATCAATCGCAGTGCAATTGTCGTGCTGCACGTTGGATGCGCACAGGAGCATGTTGTTGGCTTGCAGAAGCATTACGCGTCAATCGGACATGCGAGATTGCCTGACAGATAAGACATGATGGCCCTTGCCGCCGAGTACGAACCCTGGTCGCAGATGCCCAGCAAATGCGCGCTTTTGGGTCGGCTTGTCAATGGCAGACACAGATCTCACCTCACCAATGCTGTGCCACAAACCTCAAGTCTCTGTCAACGAGTGAACGTCTTGTCGATGATACCTTAAATACCTAGGTACATTCGAATCAGTGGCTGTTGCTGCCCTTTGGAGTTCTCGTACAAGAAATCTCTAGTCGGTGGCTTTTCCATAGAAGATAGAGTTCGACGATACACTCCGCATTGAGCGAGCGAAGACCTGCGTTCGTGATTGGAGATGGCAGGCTCGAAGTGGTCGATCTCTTACGGTCCGCCAGCGCTTGATCCAATCTGGGGTCCTCAGACATCAGCTGTAAAGTACGGCCCAAAATGACATTTGATCTCGATCGAGTCGAAAGGCTGACTGCCATATAGCTTCTGCGAGGAGGTGCGCGAACGTGACGTCCAAGTTAGTACTGAGCGGTGAATATTGACGATGGTGGGCAGGACTACATCGTCACGAAATACATTGGCGAGTTCTGGAATACTATCACCAGCGCCATCTACAGTCAGCTGAAATAACATCATCATCGCCACACGATTTCTGACCAGCACCTAGTTCTATACGGCATTCATGGTCTTCGACGCTTTAAGCGACAGGATGTCACCATATTCGATGTCGTCAATCTGCCATACTGGGGTCTGATTGGCGTCGGAATCTTCTCCGGCCTGTACCATACCAGTCTCAAATACCACACCCAGATGAGTACGAAGCTGACCGAGATCTTCTGCATCTACCTCTCTGACACATTTGTTCCATAGGCGATGAGCTGTCTATGCATCTTGCCATTGGCACCGTGATGCATCGCGTCTTCACTTTTGAGCAACCTCTAGCGACCCAGCGCAAAGTTACTGCCTTAATCCTCGGTGTCCTCGTACCTTTTTTCATCTACCACTGCGTCGCGGACGAATTTGTTTTACATGTTATCCTCTTCCTTGGTATGGTCATCCTGATTACCTGGAAGACAAGGTCCATTATCTCAGCGCGCGTGCCCTCTGAGACCGACCGACGCAAGCTCGCCAACCTAGTGCATTTTGGCTCCTTTTGCGCTGCGCTCGCATACGGTCTCTGGAATATTGATGTTAACTTCTGCGGGACTTTGACTCGCTGGAAACATGCATTGGGTATGCCATGGGGCATCGCCTTGGAATTCCATGGTTATTGGCATATACTTACCAGTATCACGGCGTATAACTCAATGGCGATCATCGAGTACCTCACCTCTCAGTCGGATGAGAGTGCGCAGGGAGTCGGCTTTGCGTGGCCGTCGAGACAGGTGCTGAGGAATATCGCTGCTGGTGGAAGCGCCATCGGCACAACGAGCAAAAATCAGCAATACAAGAATCGGTGATTCGAGATATCCGTGCCATCCTTGGTGAAACGGAAATCCTATCTTATCTATCGGTACCTCTTAGACACTGGCATCTGCGTCTACATGACGAGCAAAATCATTCTAGAATCACCTCATCATGTCGCCTTAATTCTGGACCTTTCCAAGCGTTTGGCACATGTCACACTTCCAAAGCCGAACAGAACAACCACTGGGATCTATATTGTGTTCAAGTGCTGTGGATGCAACGGAGCGAACCCAGCTATGCCATCAAGATTTCAGACGACTGTCTTTGGAATGCGACAGAAAGCAAATGACGTTGGCGCATCCAGACTTACGAAGACGAAGCGGAAAGGAGTGTAGCGTAAAGCGGCAAGACTTGTATCTCATACGGTAATTGGAGTTTGGAATGTAATGCCTACCGTATAGGAGGAGGTTCCGAGTGATACCTAGAGCACTTAGATGTATCACAAATGCCAGCGCTGACGACTACATATGCCTTGAAACCTCCACCTGACAAAGATGTATCAACAACGATCGCAATTTCAACACAAATATGGACACCAAGGACGTTGACGTCAGCGCAGGAGTGCTGGAAGCCTTTCCAGTACATGTGGTGGAAGTTGCCGTGGGTGTATACAGTCTTGGCCTTCCCGCTGGTCGTACAGGCTCTTTGAGCACCAATCACGTCGCAATTTTTCTGATACTCGCAGGGCAATCGAGCTGCGTGAGATTGGACATGGCACCAGACGAAAATCTCTTGGGTGCACTTGATGTTCGCTTTTATAATTATGCAAAGTCGAAACATGTCATAGAGACACACTCATTGAAAAGTGCATCTGATCAAACGGTGCAAGACTTCTGGCAAGCCATCGAGCAAGACTCACGGCACATGTTCCGGTTTGAGCAAGTCGATAAAGCCACATACGGATCTCGCCACTGGATGTACGAGACCTTCTGCCTCCGAGTACCCACAAGCCTTTTCTAACAGAACATAGAATAGAAACTCTGAGGAAATTTAAGAAAAGAAAAACCTACTCGATACAGCAGAAGATCTTGAAAACGCCAGAGATTTCCTCAGCCAGCAGGGCGACAAACGTCCTAAGGTTGAGCATGAGCTCATCGATGAACCATTCCGTGGCAAATTCCTCAAAAATCATACTACGCCGCGGAGTAACGAACACTTCGAATCATTTTTCCGGAATCTGTTGAATTTGTACGCCGTGTTTCAGGACAATCACTCGACGTTCTGGGATCTATTGCAATCACTAGGATCCAAGACTGAGCGAGCATGGGATTATCCAGCAAGCGAGGACAGCGAAACTCAATCAGCGTCTGACCACCACAGATTCATCGCGGAGGTCGCTAGAGCCATGACTGATCAAGGACTTGAGGCGGAGCACTTGTAAAACTCCTAGCCCAAAAGTTTCGGCTCTCGACTAGCGTAGGTCAGCATCAACTCAAGACTCATTGGCGCGTGGACTGGGTAGAATCACAAGTGGCGACAGATACTTAGAGAATGAGCTGTCTATAGACATCTCAAATCATAGTCATTGACTACGTCTTCATCCGTGAGCAGATATGCATCGCCGCAGGACGATAAGCTGGCAAGCTCGAATATCGACGGATAGAATGCGGCGTTCGCCCAGTCCAAGAGGACAACCTGATCGCCTTCGTCGATCATGATGTTTCGTAGATTCAGGTCGAGATGGCAAAGGACATAAGGTGCAGGCGCCAGGGTCAACGTCAGGCGGCGAATGCGAAGTCTCTGATCAATGCGGGCTCGTAGTTCTGCAACAGAGCGGATGTAAGTTCGATTATCGCCCCACGGAAAGCCCCCAACAAGGCCATCGCTGGCAAGTGAGCCGGGTATGTCACTCTTGACCATCTACAGACTCTCAAGCGCTGATCTCACACGCGGTAGCAAGGACGTTTTCGAGTGCGAATCGCGTACGAACCGTTGCTCTAGAGTGCCGCCTTTGATATACTCCATGAAGAGATAGCTGCGAAGGCCGCGGACGAAGTGTCGAAGCGGCTTGGGTACTTTCAGCTTGGTCCCTTGCAGCTCTCGATAGGCTGCCTTTTGATTCATGTATTCACGATCATCCGGCATCACAATCTTCACTAAAATAGAGTCTGTGATTCGTATGACTGTGGTTCCGCCTTTCAGATTGAAGATCACTTCCCCAACACTGCAAGCGACCAGCAATTCGTACTCTGACCATACGTCGAGATTCATCTTGAGCTCACAGATGGGATCGAAATCCAAATTTCCAGCGTACGGGGAAGAGAAAGTTGTGGGAAGATGTACTGAAATACAGCTTTATAACAATACAAGACCATGTTTCATCCCTTTCTTGCTCGAGTCCTAGGCATGAGCGCTGGTAGCAAGTGTTTGTGCGACGTGAGTGCAGCTTAACAACTGGTTATGGAATGTAGCTAACCCATTTGGAACACCTCCAGCAATACGTGTAACACATACCTTGGTATCTGGCGACCAGCAGGGAAATGATGCGTTCGCATTGATTATGTTGTAACTCTTCAAGACGGTACGCCGATAGCATCTCTGTTGTCTTTGCACGACATTTCACACGTTCGCTTTGAACTTTCAGAGCCTATCAGACCGGATACTTGTTCCACCACGCCGACTCATTTCGTAGCTTGTTTGCTAAGCGATACATCTCACGATGTATCAGGACCGTGACCACGTCATGTGAACAAAAGAACCATCGAAATTGAACATGTCGGGACAAGGCATCACAAAGTACACCCTGAGACCTCGTTTAGCAAGTCATCGCCAACCACTTGGGCTAGACGACGATGTGATGGAGGTCGAGATAGTATATTGAGGACGCATTAATATCAAAGACTGTATAATCGTAAGCAATGCGTCAAATTCGCAGATATCTATTGTTGCAGCGCCTTCATCTACCATGGATGCTCTTCTTACCAGTCCATTTGTCTCGATTTCGATGGACGCTCATGATCGATTGAGGGAGACCGTCAGCCAATCTGCATTGGCGAAAGCCAGCAGAGGAGCAAACGTACAAATAGCGGCAAAGGCTCATATATTGTACTTTGTGTAGGCATTTGATATCGTGGTTGTCCTGTTGATCGACTGTAGATAACAAGTACTCCTCGCCCCAGTAGGACAGGCCAGCAAGCTCGAACATCTACGCCGACCGACTCTCCACCTGCCTTTCTCGCCAAGGAAGACCGCAGACCATGTGATTGTCTACTAAGGGCCCCGGAAGCTCGCTTTGATGCTACGAAGACAATCCAGTGCTGTTCTAACCTTTTCCAACATCGGACCTCGAAGGTTCGGTTGTCCCTTGAACAGCTGGTCTAGGGTCGATCCTTTGATGTACTCCATGAATGAATATCCAGTGTACTTGTGTACGATGCATCGGAGTGGCCGGGGGATTTAACAGGTCGTTCCTTGGAGTTCTCGATATGCAATAGTCTGATTCAGGTATTCGTGATCTTGATATGTCCCAATCTTGACGACTATGGACTCTGTGATCCTCTTGATAGTTTTTTCAAATTGACGGCCGCAGATGATCAGGGCGGCATCGCATACAACCAATAATTCATAGTCGGTCCATTCGTTTAAATGCATTTTGTTACGCGGACTGGTGAGTTGTCACTGTGTTAATTGCACGAATAGTGTGCGACCTTTGTGGCCCGTGAAGGTTTTGAACCGTCGTTTCTACCGGCGGTGGAGTGAGTTCAAACTGCCCATGTGTGCTTCTATGCTCTCGTCGCACGGCCAGGCATGGGTATGTGTGTAACACAATGTACACCAGGAATCTGTGTCAGAAGGCACGCCGCTAGCTTGCAGTGCGGGCATCCTCCCGAAGGAGCAAGTGTAAATGCCTCTGACAAGAATGTGATGCATTGGGATCACGATCTTCCCAACTCTGCCGTACTGGCTCGAACGACATCGAAACCTGAAATACCGATGTTTCAAGCTTCGCCAGATGTCAGTAGCGCAAGGCCGGAAAATCTTCGAGCGATCGACCATCATAAATCGCAAACAACTCGCTCGTGGAAGGAGAGTATCAATAGACGAGATGAATTTCTAAAATCAAAAAGTGCAAATCTAGTAATGCATACCGCCTGAGAACAGATCCAGAAAGCTGGTCTTGTGGCAAGCAGACGGTGCTCAACCATCCAGCACGAATTTGCAACATCCCCACAGCTTACATCCCCCACATATATACGTACACTTTTGTTACAGAGCTGAGATGCAGAAGATTGAGCTTCTGAGAACGCAATCGGATCCGCGCATCTGGAGCAGTTCAATGCAGGTCTCAACGCATCGACAAACTTGCTTCTCAGGGAGCGAATGGCTCTTACAGCTCCACAAGCTTTGGACAGTCCAGCATTAAGCGGAGTCGTGTGGCTTACTCCACGTTGATCGAACCGGCGTCGGATGAGCGCGATGAGCCTGTAACCGGGATCATGGGATCGATCGCAATCATCTCCGCAAGAATATCCAGAATTGGCTGCAAATCATGTTAGTAACCCACCCAACATCCAATCCCGTTTCCGCACTGCTCACCTTTGGTACTGTCTTGTCGTAGATGCTGATCAACTCTCTCGGGGTGGGATAGACCTTCAACGCCTTGTAGAAGCACAGCGCGGCATCAACGGGGTCTGAGCCATCAGTGCTGGCGGTTTCACCTCGTGCGACCTCCTGCATGAAGTATTGTTCGGTATCTTCGGGATCAGTCGGGAAACCGTCCTGGTTGGCTTCATCCACCAATCGTCGAATCTTCTCCTTTTGTGCTCGTTCATTCGCCCGAGCGTTTTCCTCCAGCGACTTTGATATCTTCTTTTGCTGTCTCTTTAAATGTTTTCGGAACTCCGGGTCTGATCGTCGACGATGGTCGAAGTAGACGGCATATGCGACGACACTCGTGGCGATCACTCCTGCAACGGAAGCGATGACGGCCGTTGTTGAGATTGATTGAGATGGTGTAGTTGAAGCCATGGTTGTGCACGGTGACAGAAAGAAAGTGTTCAAGTGCAGTCGAACGGTAGCAAAATCTTTCCGAGCGAAGTTCCGAGATCACCAGTAAAGAAAGTGACGGTGACGAGATGCAAGGTCGATGGATGTAAGAGTTGCTTGTGATGTAATGAATATCGTCGAGAGCTCGTGAACGCGAATCTCGAAATTCTGAGGCGACCGATGGTCCGTGCACACCTCATCATACCCTTCATGCACGACCATGGAGCTTGCGGAGATGCACCTTCCGAACTATCGGGATACCTGGTTGGTTCGGAATATTGCATGAATTGGAGGTGAACTCAATTATTCTGGCTGCGACACGGGATCAAATGAGAGAACCTTGATCCGACATTCGAGACTGCGCTTAGCCACAGACACGTCTGGTAGCGCAAAGTCATGTCCGAAGACAAGAAGGGCATTTCGCTCCGGCGAAAGAAGACGGTGCGACCGACGATCTCTGCTCCTCGTCAAATCACCAGGGAGCTCAGTGCCGATAGCAGATGGGATGCGCAAACCACACGCTCAAATAATAGCGCAGCCACCGACGCTACCGGGCCTCAACGTCGTCCTCGTCTCGGCGGTGAACAGACCAGCGATCTGGTCAAGCGAAGATACAGTACACGTTTCACTGGAGGCCTGCCACAAGATGGGAACACTCCACCTGTTCCAGATGTGCCCTCTTTGCCCGCGCAATATGGCGCCCCAACGAAGTCTCGCGAGGCTGCAAGAAGTCCGGAAAGAGATCGGGACCGGAGTAGAGGCAGGCTAAAGGTCGACACACGAGCTCTAAGAGATCCGAATCTCCAGATCGAGAAATACGTGCAGAGCATTCTCGCCGATGCTTCAGAGAACGACATTCATACCTATCAGATGGATCTGCAGAGTGTCAAGGCGCATACAGATGCTGATTTGCGACACAACGTCTACCAAAACCGAACACAGTTCATTAAGATCTCCAAAGAGGCAGACAAGCTTAAGTCAGAGATGCGGACGTTACGAACACTGATGGGCGAGCTGACAGGAGCTTTGAGTCATGCCACAAGTGCTGGAGGGTCGGAATCTGCGACAGACAGCGCGCTGACTGTTGCCGACAGGAAACGCGCCAATCGGAGCAGTGTAGCGAATCTCGAAGCAATGTGGAGTACACATCTGCAAACATTGTGGAAACGTGTGGAAGGATCACAAAAATACTTGCCTGCCCTACCTGGACGTCACATTATTGTCGAGAGTCAGCGCTGGATTGAGCTCAACGCCGCCACTTGGAAACCGCGCCGTCGCATTGCTCTAGTCCTCCTGAACGATCACTTGCTCGTAGCCAGCGAAAAGAAGCGGAACGATCAGGTTGCTGGGGCGGCAAGGACCAACCGGATGAGCGCCTACAATCCGCAGTCGCAATCGATGTATACGGCAGAGCGCTGCTGGCCACTGCATGACGTACAGTTGACCGACATCAGCACGCGTCAGGGCCCTACCGTAGGCCACAACAATCGATCAAAAGAACACGCCATTATCAGCAATGCGATCAACATTCGTGCGGGCAATGAAAGTTTCACATATACTACTATCGATGCAGCGGACAAAGGAAGCCTACTTGTCGCCTTTAGGAAAGCACAAGAAGACTTGCGAAAGCTGTTAGCCGCTGAGAATGGTGAGCGGGGAATGGCCCTGGACTCATCTGTGCTTGGCGGTAGAGACACTCGTTCATTGAAGAGAGCGACGGCGAATGGCAACGATGCGGTTGCTGAAGAATACAAGCTGGCCAGTCTGAACAGAGCGGGCTCCATCCTGGTAGACGCCGACGGACGGCCGCAGACTGTGCGTTCGATCGAGGCTCAGATCGACGGGCTGGACATCGACATTGCTTTGCAAAGGTTCGAGAAAGCAGTCGCTGGGGTGGAGAAGCTAAGAAAACTTGCGCGTGGCATTCGAGGAAATGCGACGGCTCAGGAGATCATTCTTGTCAAAGTCAACGAACGAGCAAGCAGACTTGCCAACAGCGTCGCGCGGCAACTGAGCCAAAGCAGCGGCGGGGCCGAAAAGACCAAGGAGAATGTTGGATGGTTGCTTCGATTAGGATTCGAAGAGCTCGCTCGTTCCACCTATCTATCCTCTCGTACGGAGACCATCCGTATTCGCACTCGACAGCTCCCATTCACGGGCGCCATGGAGCCGTACATCCATGCTCTGGCATACACGACCTTTACACTGATTCTGCACACCTTCCGCACATTCAACCAGTCCTTCCTCACCACTAGCGCCAGTGCTGTGGTACGCTGGGCAAAGGAGCGAGTCGACGAGTTCAATGCTGTCATCGATCGTCAACTGAGCAGTGTCGCGCGTGGCAGCGACGTCTGGAACGCGTCTCTCCACGTCGTCCGGGAACAGGCCGCCACACTCCACGAAGTAGGCGTGGACTTCAAAGATCTTGTTCTACAAGGTTTGACGCAAGAGTTGGCTCCAGTTCCCGCAGTTTCCAAAGTTGCAACCACAGCCCCGGCCACAGGAACATGAAATGTGCCGACAACCAGACTGCATGCGCCGATCACATACTTTGCACAAGATCTCGATATAAAAAAAATGAACACTCATAGGCGATCTTTTGCCTGGATCTGCTGAGGATCGGATGACGTGTAGGATTGATGACAGAATTGGCGTTATTATGCGGAATTTCAAACCTCGGAACCGTTATCACAAGTTATCCGATTTCGGCCGAAATTAGCTTGCCAGGGCTGCCGCGGTCCAAATGCCAGCACATAAAGCACGAAAACGAATATTTTCAATGTGACGGGAATTATTGACGACATGCAGGATTCCCTGAGGCTCTCAGATCTTCTTTGTATTGACGCTTATATCTCGCGGCGCAAACGGATCAGAAAGCACGACCGCGTAGGCTAAGATTAAAGTTCGAATCCGAAGCGACATCATGTATGGACATCGGGGACTGCTTCAACATGTCTCAGATTCAAGGTTCCAGCCATAGGACCGCTGCAGATGCAGAAACGGCACACATTACGCAGTCCGAATTCTTGCGTTTGCCTGGCGAGATTCGAAACATGATCTACAAGCATCTCTTCGAAACACACGAACCACGGATAGAACCAGGTTACCGCTTGCCAGGTCTGCTCACCACATGTCGGCAAATCCACTTCGAGGCAATCAGTCTGTACTATGGCCTGACTCCTGCATTCCGCTGCCTACATGAAGCGAGCACGATCTCCTGGCTTCGCAACCTCCCGCGTGAAAATCTCAGACTTCTGCGTCATTTGAAATACGATACCATGTGGATCATCCTCACCCAGAAATCTCTAGAGCAGAGCGCAGATCTCGAATGTCAATTGTTCCGCTCCTTACTCAAGCGGTTGGCAGAAGAGGCTTGTGTCGATCTTTTGCATCTGTCGTGGTCCGTCAGCTTCTATTTGCCTTTTGGCGGCAGAGGCCGCGGAGAGATTAGGTGGACGGATCAGCCCGATGTAGTGATTGAGTTGATGCGCAACTGGCGATATGGGCTGGCGACCTCAAATCATCAGTCCTCCGATCAACAACAGGCTATGGTGAGCTGAAGTTGAGGATTCCAATCGCTGAACAGCATCGATGGGACGTCGAATCTTTCCCGCCGACCTGCACAGTATTCAACTCTGTATCAATAAGGACGACAAGACTGAGGATCTCAGAAGCGATGGACCATTCGTCAGCTCACCCTGTCCGGGTCTCCAGAGGAGTAACAACCTTCCCAGTTGAACTTGATACACTCATCCCCCCAGCTCCACCACCCCGCCACCAGGTTTCGAGCAAAGATTTCCAAAGCACGATAGTTCGTCGCATCGGGCATCAGGGGCTCGATCAACTCCTTCAAACACGGCTTTCTGGAATGTAAATCCGGAACGCTAATGATCGTGCGATACACGACCGATGGCGAAGGTGCTTCTCCCGACTGTCCCAAGTCGTGGTAGCCATTCCGACGACGTCCCAGGAGGAGAACTTCATAAGGCTTCCGCCACGCACCATCCAATTCACTCACCGGTTCGCCGCTCTCCGTCGTCTTCAACCACAACCACTCCTCAACCAGATCCACGCCCCACGCCGCGAAAAGGCCCTTTTCGGAATCCAACACGAGTTCGCGGACCGCGGGCTTATTCGTGATCCAGATCGCTACCACGCAGGACTCGTCAATTAAAACGTCAAGGTCCATTTTCAGCAGCAGGCGGCGGAGCTCGGGGAGGGTTGTGGCAGTGGAGTAGGTTTTCCCGGGAGTTTTGTGGCTGCGTCTGACGGAGCGGTTGGGCCAGGGCGGGTCGAGGAGGACGAAGTCGAATTTTCGACGCGGGAGGTCATGGTTTTGGGATTGGTTACGGAGGGATGCGTGGAAGGCGGAGGAAGCGGTGCAGCCTGCTAGATAGAAGGAAGATTTGGGAGGGATGAGGAAGGTGAAATGATCTTCTTTCTCTACTGTTGGGTATGAAGCGTGATTCTGTGATCTGTAATGGATGCGTTGGGTTGTGAGGCTACAATTAGTCATGAAGGTACGATCATCAGAGAGGCATTCTTCACAGACGGAGAGGCGATGTCCCGACCAGTCTCTGTCTTGAATGCTGCTGTCATTACTGAGCGACTGCTTGGCATCACTGTCATATCCACCATTGTGGATCTCCTCTTCAATAAGCTTGAGCGGGAAAATTGGAGACGAGGCTCTTGGCAACGGACGGAACTCATCTGGCGAAGTAGATTCGTCTATAGCATCAAGTTTGCGTTTCGGATGATCGTCATTGTCAGCATCGGTCAAAGAAGGACCTGCTCTCGTAGCATCTACCACATTTCGCCGGGGTCGACACCATTTCCTGCCTGACGGGAATGCTCGAGTGGTTTCGTCGAGGGCACGTGAGAGGACCTGGCGATAGGTCGCATGTTGGTGGAGGAAGAATTCGTCAGAGCTGCAGGTGTGACGTTGATTGAGCCTAGCGGCAGCGGCTGGCGTCCTGGGCTGGTTGGAGGGGAATGGACGTTGCAGCGGGCGGACTGAAGCAATTTCGCCCAAGACGGATGATGGATCGAAGTCTTGTGCACGGGCGATGGAGGTCGGCAGGTCGAGGACTGTTATGGAGCGGGTGGCATTTTGCCAGAGAATAGCTGACGATGATTGTTGATGGGATGATGGAGTTGTTGTTTCCGGTTCTGGTTCTGGTTCTGGTTCTGGTTCTGTTGGTGGTGATGTGTGTTGCATGTCGCACGTGATTTGGTTAGGTTTAGAAATGTGTGTGCAGCGATGATGATGCTGTGCTTGGTATTTTTTGTGCTGGTAGAAAATCTCCATGAGACCATGTGATCGAGAAAAATACTACGACAGTTCGCCGGGACAGCAGAGTCCTGTAGATGCTGCGTCGATAACACGCGACTTAGGGCAAGGATTCCTTTACAGAAGATGTCACGATTGATCATCATCACCTGGGCACCTGCACAAGGGACGAACCTACTGGGTTATAATTTGGAAGACAAGCACAAGACAGAATCCGCCGGTCCCGCTTTATCTCCGATGCCGAAGAGACACTGTACTGTACCGCATCTATTGTCCGAGACAGTAATGATAACCACATCTCACATCGTACCGTAATGCGGGTTTGTGGGATACATGCAAGGAGTGCCAATTGAACTGTGTACTGTGCCTGGGTAATGCCCAAACAAGCACTCGGGCTTGTTCTTCATGGTCTGGGTCACCGGAGGCTGACGTAGGTATTGCATGTATTTGTACCTGTATCTCTTGATTGCCGTGCAAATCTGGGGGAAAAGAGACGGAAGAATAGGATAATAATAAACCTTCGTTACCCGCATTTCCTCGGGTGCGAGGTGTGTAGGTAATCAATCATCATCGTCAGAAGTAAGTCACGCACACTCCCACGCCCACCCACTACTGTGTGATACTACTGTATTACCGGACTGACTCTATAGGTAATAACATTTTCAATACATCCACCTGACATCCTCGTCCTTCTGTTCCTCTGTGTATTATTCCCTCCAAGAACAATCGCAATTGGCCTCCTTGCGTGATACCTATCCTCTTTCGCCAAAGCCGGAATTCCTGCGGACTCGCACCCTACGACTCCTACAAATCCTCCTCCAATCTCAAGCGCTCCGCGTCATTTCTCCTCCACCCGACGGCTTTTGAGAACACGCCGATCGCGGACGACCACACACGTCTTCACCTCACCGCGCGTTCGATGACCAGCCTGGCAGACGGGCCAGCCAGCCATGTCGCCAACACCTTCACACCTCTGTCGCAGTCTCTTGCTATGACACCCGACTCCAGATCCGCAGCCGCCGGCAACCAGCCTGCCATCTGCCCACACGACCGCGAGAACATCGCCCCTTTCCGCACAGAGGCTACTACAGCGAAGCGGAAAATTGAGCGTCAGAGCTGGGAATATGTCGTCCGCAGTGGAACGGCTGGTGGAATTGCTGCGTGTGCAGCCAAGTCGGTGGTCGCACCGCTGGATCGCGTGAAGATCCTCTTTCAAGCCAGCAACCCACAATTTGCAAAATACACAGGCTCATGGGCCGGCGTTGCGAGAGCTACGCAGGACATCTACAAGGCCAGTGGCACCGCGGGTCTCTTTCGTGGCCACAGCGCTACACTACTTAGGATTTTCCCATACGGCGGGATTAAGTTCTTGGCCTACGAGCAGATCCGGGCCGTGGTGATCCCCACTAAACATGAAGAAACTCATGTGCGGAGGTTCGCCGCGGGTTCAATGGCGGGAATCGTGTCGGTGTTCTGCACCTATCCCCTCGAAGTCATCCGCGTGCGGTTAGCCTGGGAAACAAACCCATCGAAGCGAATCGGCGTAAGGGACATATGCCGCAAAATTTACAACGAACAACCTCCACCACCGGCGAACGGCAACGGCCTACTACAAACTGCAGGGCTTCCTAAGACTGCCACAGCGACCCTCGACGCGGCACAAGCTGTCATCCGGACCGTCACGCCTGCGACCGGACTCTCGAATTTCTTTCGTGGGTTCACCCCGACGCTCTGGGGCATGATCCCTTACGCCGGAGCCTCCTTCCTAACCCACGATGCCGCCGGCGACTTCATGCGTCTGCCCTCCCTAGCACCTTACACCGTCCTCCCCGCGAGCGAACTCTCCCCCTCCCAGCTCGCGCCAGGCAAAGCCCAACCTCTGCGCTGGTGGGCGGAGCTGACCACCGGCGCCGTCGCCGGCTTCGTCAGTCAAACCGTCAGTTACCCTCTCGAGGTGATCCGGCGGCGGATGCAAGTTGGTGGAGTGATCGGCGATGGACACCGGATGACCATGGTCGAAGTGGGAAAGAAGATTTTCCAGGAAAAGGGCTACCGCGGCTTTTTCGTCGGGTTGAGCATCGGGTGGGTCAAGGTGGTGCCCATGGCTGCGACGAGTTTCTTTGTTTACGAGCGCATGAAGGTCACTTTTGGAATCTGATCTTCTTTTTCTTTTCTTCTTCTTTTTGCTTTGGGGGGGGGGGGCGAGTACATTTTTTGAGCAGTGGCACAGCGGCAGAAAATTTATATGACCGACTAGAGCCGGCTCACGCTGGCGAGGGCATTGGCGACGACGTCTGATCAATTCGTGTGCCCTGATCTTTGGTCTCGGAAGGTCGTCTTTTTCACCCCTCTACGAAGGGGAAACGCATCCGGCGTTGTCTCTCACGCTTCGGTTCCCACTTTCAAGCCTTTTCAGCGCGCTGCCTCTTCTCTTTTTGCGAGTCGGATGTGGGGCAGAGGGCAGATATATATACACAGAGTCATCCTGCAAAGCGAAACCATCCTCGGTCGAAGTGCCGACCGAGAGAGACCGACAGTCTAGATATCATCACTGCTGCTAGATAGAAATATACCCAGGTATGTTTGAAACGGATCGGAGAATCATATGGGTTGTCGTCGTCGTTTGTTGAGCCCGCCTTGCTCGAAGCCGCCTTGTCCAAACCCGCCTTGCCCGAACCCGCCTCGTCCAACTTGCCCAGCGCCACCTTGCCCAAAGCCAACTTGGACAAAGCCACCTTGTTCGGCCCCGCCGTCTGATCTTATTTGAGGCCATCTTGGCCAAGACTACCTGTCACCTTGTACAGTGCCGCCCTGTCTGGTGCCGCCGCCTGTGATGCCGCCTGTGATGCCGCCCTGGGACCACATTTCTTTACAAGTATCTTGTAATTATTACGCAAAACACAAACGGGAGCGAAGCGAAAGAATTTGTGGTCATTGGAGAGACACCAGGTTTGAGTGGATATTTGTATGCCTATGTTCTTACGATTCAGTGCTTCCGACACGGTGCAACATCTCGACGTCATCCTTTGACCGTTGCGTGTCTACGGGTACGGAGAGACAGCGTGATCGTTCGGATTGAAGGTTCCAGCGATCATCAAGTGGACAGCGTCCATACACGTGTTGATTGGTGGGAAGGGAGAGTGCTTTGATGGAAGGAATGGAGAGACGTGGACATTCCGGAATGGATATGTTTCCCACCATCAAAGCATTTGCTATCAGCGAAAGGTCAAGCAACGCTCTGCAGGCGGGTTAGAACCAAAAAGGTTCTCAAGAATCAATCTCCGCTAGTCGTATAACTGCTTGTAGCCATGGGATTGTAGGCTGCCGAGTAGATATCCTAGCGAGGGGGTGGGGGGGGGGGGGGGGGGTAGACCTGCATAATAACGTTAAACGAGGAGGATTGCATAGAGCATGGAGAAATGTGTGTTGTAGTTTCTTTTGCAAGAAGACGTTGAAAGGTTTGTCCTCAATCACCGCCCTCGCTATTCCCTGATCATTGTAGCGCCGAAGAAAAAGTAAGCATGCGTTGCGAACAGATGGCTCATAATCGTCCCGTGCCAATCACCAGCGATCAGCATCATGCCTTCCATGGCAGAACGGGCGCTGCCATCTGTCCGCCTACGACCTGCTCTATGCAAACTCCACCCATCCTTCCATGAATTTCACAAGTCATTGTCCCATCGGAAACCCCTCTACTTCGACGACACCTTCTTCTTGTTGGCCTCCCGCCCTTGGCTGATTCGCTCGAGGATGCTCTCGCGGTCCTTGTCAAGCTTGAGCTTGACGATCTCGACCTTGGAGGGCGCGATTCCGATCGGTACAGACTGGCCGTTGCTCTTCTCGCGGCTGATGCGCTCGATGTGAATGACGTATTTGAGACGGTAGACGGAAGTGACCTTGCCTTCGCGGCCCTTGTTGGATCCACGCTTGATGATGACCTCGTCGTCCTTGCGGATGGGGATAGATCGGACCTGTGCTATAGTTAGAAATGAATGTTCATGATGGCGGATGTTGCGAATGATGTACGTTGTGCTTTTCCCGAAGTTCTGTGAAATCATCAGTCTCTGTGATCTTCATATTCTCGCATTGATTCCTTCCGTACCCTTGGAGAGAGGCGCGCTCATGATCACTCGGCGAACGCTTGAAGGGGCCTCGAAGTGGGCCTTGCGGGCCTTTCGCCGGCTGGAGTGCAGACTGGTGTTGACCTTCGTCATTTTGGCGGTTCGATTGACAGGACGTGGATTATCGTGATATGGTCGACTTGCGAATTTCTATTTGACGAATGCGACGTTGTCGTGTGTACCTAAGCAAAAGTGCGCATGTCGAATTCGTGAGTCTTGGCACACACGCCTGCCGAAGGAACGTGGCGGGCAGTCCCGTCTCGAGCTTTTACCCTAAGCAGACGTATGGACTTTCGGCCACGGTGCGGGAGACGGAAGTCTCAAATCACGTGCATGCGCCTGTTGTCCGCCCGGGCGGGCACGATTTATCACTGCATTTGGACAGTCGCGACAGTTGCGACGCGCTCTCACCCGCTTGCAGCCTACGAATTTCACGTCACAGGGCAGTATTGGCTCCAACGTCAAGCCCGCGTTCATTCTGATGATATCTGCTCGCGTCGATCAAAACCCACAATCACCTATCCGAGCATTCGTCACCCGCTTGCCATCCTCATATGACATTATTGCCACTTCGTATGGCCGTGCATAATGAGACGCGCGATCCGAAAAGTATGGTTGAGACAGGCTGAGCCAGCAAAGAAACTTGCTTGCATTTTCGCCGAGTTCAAGCAGCCGACTCTAGCCAGTACTGGGCGCGATGAGCAACAACTACAATCAAAACGGGGCCTACTCTGATGCAAACTATTCTCAATCGCAAGGGTACTCGTATCCATCAGCGTCTTCCAATGCTCAATATGCGAATCCGGTAAATGTCAATTTCCAAAGCTATGGAGGTCAATATCCCAGTCAGCAATATGGACCTACTTCGCAATCGCAAACAGCTCAGCCATACGGTCAACAACAATCAAGTAGCAGCACCAATCTCGCGGCAGCCGCTTTGAGTAGTCTCAGCAATCAGGAGTACGCGCACAATGGTACAAGCAATAGCAAGGACATCAATTCTGGTCAAACGCACAGTGGTGACTGGTCACAGACATCGTTTGGGCAGAGCGCGTACAACAGCACGTCGGCTAGAGCCCAGACAGATCTTGCGCCGACATACGGAGCCAGTAGTACACCGGTGAGCACGTTTGGCAGGTTGACTTTACCAGAGCAGAGGTCCACAAGTTCCAGGCCAAACCCGACACAATCCTATCAGGCCCCTCCCTCTAACACAGGAATACAGCAATCCTCCCAAATTGCGCCTGTCAGCTCAATTTCAACGAGCGGAACATACACAAGCCAGGGATCGACGCATCAACAGAATATGCAGCGTTATGCTAGCCCACTCCATGCTGTACAAGCTCAACAGCACTACCAAGGAATAAACAGGCCAGCATCCCGCACTGCGACAAGCAGCGCTTCTCCTCAAATGACTGCGCTGAGCGCGCATCAGACTCAGAAACAATGGATGCCATCTGAATCCACTAATCCCGCGCAGGTCACTGTCGATCCTTCTCAAGTATATGACTTTCGAGCAGAACAACAGCGAAAGGCCAGGATTGAGGCAGACCGGCGAGAAAAGCGTGCAGCGGAAGAAGCGCTCCGGCAAGCTGAGCGAGATCGGCATGATGCCGAGAATGTTGCAAAGAGAGCCGAAGAGCAGCGTCGAGAAGCGGAAGCGCAGCAGGCCGAGGTCGAGAAGCAACGAGTCGAAGCCGAAAGACAGCGTCTTGCTGCCGAACAGCAGATGGCCGACGAGAATGCCCGCAAAGCCAAGGAAGGGGCTGACAAGAAGGCTGAAGCTGCAAAAGCCCGGAAGGCTCGCGCACAGGAGAAGAAGGCTAAGGCCTCGACGGCTCAAATCCCCACCGCGACAGTGGCCGAACCTGCTGTTCAATCTACAGTGCTGGACGAGGAAGCACAGATGCGTGCAATGTTCGCAAAGATGCGTGAGTTCAATCAGCGAAATCCGGAAATGCTTGCAAAGCTCTGGGATGAAGAACGTTCAGCACACGTGGAATCGGTCGTAGAATCTCCGAGCATAGTAGATACGAACCCCACAGAACCAATTTCGAGATCGACACCCACAGTAACAGCATTCGTGCCAAAGCCAACTGGAAAAGCACAGTCGCAAAATCGCCCGGCTCAGCCGAACACCAGCGCTGCTCGTAAGGTTTCTGCACAGCACAACAAAAGCTTACAATCACCCACGCCTGTTCCCTTGACGAATACGAATGCATCGACCCTGACAGGAACAGGCTTCCCCACACAAACGCCACCCACTTCAAACACTGTGGGCAAATCAAATGCCATAGGCTCAAGCTCAAAGCAAACGGCGACGTCCGCAGCCGTACAGAATCCTGCAGCAAGCTCACCGATGTCCAATCTGGCGAGTTCAGAGGCTCTACGAGCTGCTGGCTCAGCTTCTGCTGAGAATACGTTATGGCCATCGCATAAGAAAGGTACCTTGTCCGAGGTTGCCGCCAAATGGCTCAGCGGCCTGCCTCAAAACGCTCACGCTGGTAGAGCCATTGGCAAACACGAAATCTTGTCAATGTTGGAAACCAATCCTTCCTATGTGCAGCTTTGCGAGCTAATTGAAGCGAATGGAATAAAATTCGAGAGATCCGCATTTGCTAGAGAATTGCTCAGGATCATACCCTCCGCGCCGAGCTCCAAAGATAAGCCCAAGACGAGCACTCCGAAGAGTAGTCAAGCTGCAGCACCTCGAGTGTCTCAGGCTCAGCGATTGGACAGCAAATCCGTCAGTTCCTACGATACTTCCACTTCGCTGACCGCTGCTGCGAGGAGCATCAATAACATGTACAAATCACCGGCTGCTGCAACGATAGCTTCACCAAGCCCGTTCGTAGGCACGGCCTCGCAAGAAGCAGCAGCTGCCCATCAGTCGCTCAAAAGCCCTGGTCAGACGCTGGGAGAAGCGCCATCCACAATACAACCTATCGAAACACCACGACCTCCGCCCACTAACAAAGAAGAAGCCGCGAGAAAGCGCACTTTTGGCGACCTCGTGGATCTCACAAACGATGAATCCGACGATGATGCACCACCTCGAAAAATTGTGCAGCTAGGTAGTGTCTCCGACGGACCCAAACCTGAACACCTTTCAAAGCCGATCTCCTACAGCAACTTCATGAACCCAGTCAAACAAATCCCGTCCGCTTATGTGCCTCCAGGCCAATTTAATCCGCCTCAACCTGTGCATCATCCGGGAGTCAAGACATTCAACCCTTATCTTCGTCAACCTTTAGCACAACCGCCATTGATATCAACACTACCATCTCAACAAGTTGGTCCATCGAATGCGCTTGCTTCCACACTCACGCCGGTTCCTATGCCTCGGAAGCCCACCGCAAAGCAACTCGAGCTTGAGCGCCAACAGCTACATCGAATGAAGGGTCAAATGCTTGTGGAGCCAATCATGCGTGACCGAGTTGCACGGAAGTCCAAATACGACAGCAGGTCCATTGCGCGGGATGTTCTGCTCGCGACCGGCCGTCACCCCAACATGAGGCCTCTAAATTTCCATCTTGGCATCATGCAAAAACTTTTGGGAGATCATGGTGGCATGGCAAGAGTCGGAGAAAGTGGTGCACGCGAAGGCAACCGCAGTGATCTTAGCACTATTCGGTGGAACATTATCGATCCTGGGACGCCGTCCGAACAGGCACTGCAAAAGTTCAACAAAGCTTCGTCACGCGCTGAAGAAAGCGATGGTTCCGACGATCATGATGAAAATACAAACCAGGCCGCCAATCGTGATCAACAAGAGCAGCGCTTGTCCAATGACGTTTATAATCCTCCACAGCTGAAGCATCTTCAGCAGCTTGGACAAGGCGGTGCGGCCACACCCGCTAAGCCAACACCCGCTAAGCGTGGCCGTCCACCAAAGAACCGTGCCGCGTCCATGAAACCTTCGCCAGTCGCGACACCAAAACCAAATTCATCTCCAAAGACATCATCCGATATGCCTTCTGGGACTCCAATAGGATACGCAGCCTTTGCACAAACTGTCGTGGATGAGAACGGTAATGTTGTGAAGAGGAAAGGCCGACCGGTCGGCTGGCGAAAATCAATTCATAGCCGCGAGGCACAAGGCTTGTCACCTCACTCAGGCCAGAAACCAGCAACTACTGCAGGGCGAGCACTAAGGCAGCAATCACAGCCCAAGTCAGACCGCGACTCATTGCAGGAACCTCACTATCAGGTGTACGCTTGTGGCTGGGACGGATGCCGCGCCGAATTGCACAATCTTGACACGCTTAAGAAGCACGTCGTGAAGTTGCACGGAAACCCTTCAGCAGACGGTGAATTTGAATGTGGCTGGGCTAATTGTAACATGGCTGGCACTTCCGTTGATCAACGAGGTCGTCAGCAAAATCGTGGCGACCAGGACGGCGCACGCTTCGCGACAATCGAGCAATGGGTGCAGCACATTGACAAAACGCATCTACGGCCAGTCGCATGGAAACTGGGTGATGGGCCTGGTGTGAGCGAGGAAGGTTAGTTCTATCTGTTGGTGACCCTTGACTGTAGGCTGGTAGAAATTCATGTCACTTTGGCAAATTTTTGGGTCGCCAAGTTTCCACACCTGTCATTCCCCTGTTCGCTGATCACCATGCTTTCGTTCTCCTAGGCAACTCGTCACCTGCCAGCTATCTGAGCGATTTCCGAGGTCGTAGTGTGACGCCAATCATCTACCCAGCTGGTGCAGAACCTCGTGACCATCCCAGCCAAGGAGACAATATGCGAGCGATCCCTCGAGGATACAACTCGAAAGACGAGCGAGAAGCCCTGGCGGAGCTTCGGAAATTGGAGGAGTACAAGCGCATCGTAGGTGCGGTGTTTGGTCCTGAAGGTACCATCTTGGCGAACGCCAAACGAAGACGAGGCTTTCTGCACGATGAAGACTTCGAGGATATCGTGGAAGACGAGGATGGATTATAGCTCGCGCATTGTGATGCAGTGCAATGAAGCGTTTGTAATTTTGTGAGGGACGGCAATCAAACCCGCTACCACCACGGCTCTATGCATACTCTGGCATGCTCTTAATTTGCAACTCATATAGTATGATTGCCAAAGGCTCTTCGCAGCTGAACGCAATATTTCTCAGTGATGGGGGCAACTCCACGAAAGGGTGACCGCGGTGGGCAAATCCATCCGTTCTCTTCGTGATTGTACCTGCCCGAATTGCACCACGACAAGCAACTCTTTGGCAGCCTCGCCCTCAATCATGATGTTACATTCCAAGATAGCCCCGGGCTTTCAGTGCGCTGCGCGAGGCTTCTATCCATGCGTTCCGTGTTTCTGCGCACTGGTGCTTCATCGCGCTTTCTCGGGAAGGGCTTCGGCTTTGCGATCGTTGCTCACAGGTGTTGCGCCATTGTCGTCCTGCGCATTGATCTCGAGGAAATGATAGAGTACAATCAATAGCATAGCGAGCGAACCCAGGAAAACAGCGAGCGAGTAGAGTCCATTGTCCGAAATCATTGTGACGTTCCGATACGCTTAGAGCGCGAGACGATGTGACAGAGAAGTAGCGACGCGGAGAACCTATTCATTCAATCAGATGCGTGTAGTGAGTCAACTTAATGCGCAACGTACGAGGAACTCCAAGTTCATTTGTCAAGAGCTTCTGTCCAATCTGAAACCCGAAAGCGATTGTTACGTCTCTGCCCCGGCTTAATATTCCAACCTGTTCGTGAGAGCTGTCCTCCAGGGCTCGAAACAGCACTTTGCGGACACTAGGGCACGCTCCGCCGCACGGAACAATTCAGAACATCGATGCCCGCCGCCAAGATATGGAGCAAGTGGCGGGTGGCCGACGTCACGGCTCGAATTCGACTCATCGTGATATTCTCTTCGATATTTGCACGTGAGCTTGTCAGATCATAAATACACACATTTGAAGACGCTCTGCCGTACCATACATATGGAGAGCTTTCCCTCGCCTGCCGAGTGAAGCCTTGCCGTCTGCCTGTTCTATTCCTTCCGCGCAACAAATCTCATACAGTCGCCGCACGAATCGCACGGCCAACAGAATTTCAACCGGATATTTACACCATCTCTACCACAACCGACCGTGATCGCCCACCATGGCGCCCAAAAAGGGAGGCAATGAGCCAGCGAAGAAAAAGACGACCGTGGAGGACAAGACTTTTGGTATGAAAAACAAAAAGGGTGGTGCCGCACAAAGACACATCAAGCAAATCGCTGCTTCTACCACTGGCGGCAAGTCGCCCGAGGAAAGGAAGAAGGAAGCGGACAAGCTCCAGCGAGAGAAAGAAAAGGCTGCTGCGGATGCTGCAGCTCGGGAGACTGCGGAACTGTTCAAACCAGTCCAAATCCAAAAAGTGCCGTTTGGAGTGGATCCCAAAACCATTCTGTGCCAATTCTTCAAGAAGGGACACTGTGACAAGGGACGAAAATGCAAATTCAGCCACGATCTCGATGTGGAGCGAAAGCAGGAGAAGAGGTCACTATACACAGATACGCGAGAAGGCGAGGGTGAAGGCGACGAGAAAAAGAAGGATGACATGTCAACTTGGGACGAGGAGAAGCTACGAAGTGTGGTTATGAGTAAGCACGGCAATCCGAAGACCACGACAGACAAGGTCTGTAAATTCTTCATTGAGGCTGTCGAGAATCAAAAGTACGGTTGGTTCTGGACATGCCCCAATGGAGGTGATCAGTGCATGTACAGACATTCGCTGCCACCTGGTTTCGTGCTCAAGACCAAGGAACAACGCGCAGCAGAAAAGGCTCTTATGGACAAGTCACCTATGGCCACTCTCACCTTGGAGGACTTCTTGGAGAGTGAAAGACATAAACTTACTGGCACCCTCACACCTGTCACACCCGAAAGTTTCGCAAAATGGAAGAAGGAGCGCTTAGATAAGAAGGCCGCGGAGGCAGAGGCACAGAAATTGAAGGAAGCCACCGGTAAAGCCCTCTTTGAGAAGGGAGACTGGCAAGGCAGTGATGATGAAGGCGATGATGACGAACCTGGTGCCTGGAACTTGGAAGCATTGCGACGCGAAACCGAAGCAGCCCGGCAGAGGAAGGAAGAAGAACGATTGGCAGAAGCTGCCGGCGGCACAGTCGGGGCCGGCGAGGAAGGTACCTCGAATGGGTTCGGCGGTCATGAATAATGAATACAAGGCGTTGGGGATGGCGTTGCACGTGTGGCGAAATTGTTTTTCGAAACGATCAGATCTCGTTTTCCTTCCAGGTCCTGTCATGATTGCCGGTCTGTTGCATGCATCTGCCAGGATCTGTAAACATATTTATCCAATGCAATACTTTGCACTTCAGAAACATAGCCCTTTCACGTGTCATATCCAAATTCACGCTCTCGCACGGTGCAACACGCACAAGCTCAATTTCAACTCGACTGCTCATTGCCGGCCTTCTGAGCGAGCGTCCTGCTTGGCTTGTGAATCGCACATGTCAAGATTGCTCTGCTGGCCCAGAGATGCGAATTGAGATTCGGCTCATCATCGCCATCGTCAGGCTACAAAACCCACCTTTGTGTCTTCGGGTCTGCATGCTTTTCTTTCTCAGAACACCATCTCCAGTAATAAGTGGGTTTACAGTCAGCGATCAGCTGTAACGGAATGTATTCAGATTCGATAGTGGCCTTTCAGCGGAAATTAAAAATCCAGGAAATTAGTACTATCACTTCCCGCCGACGAATTCGTGATGCGTTCGACGCTACGCTGGCGCTGCGAATGTCCAGACGCTCGTGCCAATCCAGCCGCGGGCGATCTGACTTTCTGTAGCTCACGCGACACTCCATCAAAAACAGGAACGAACATACCTAGATACTCACGCAAGATGGCGACAGCAGCAATTTTTGGGTGCACTGGTGCAATTGGCAGCAACCTACTTGCTACTACCATTGCACAAGATGCATATACTTCCATCAAAACCATTTCTCGACGACTGCCGAAGCAGGAATCGGCGAAACTAGATGCGACCCTGGAGACCGATACTTCTAAATGGGCGCCTGCGATCGCAGGTCTCACGCCGCCTCCATCGGTGGTTTTTAACGCTTTAGGAACGACGCGCGCTGAGGCCGGTGGGCTCCAGAATCAATGGAAGATTGATCACGACCTCTGCATCGAGCTGGCACAAGCCGCCAAGGCAGCTGGCGTCAAGACATTTGTATACATTTCCAGTGCAGGAACACGAGGCCTTCTGAGTCGCTATGTGCCATACAGCAAGATGAAGATTGGTGTTGAGGACGCTATCAAAGAGCTCGACTTCGAACAAGCGATCATCATGCGTCCTGGAATGATCCTTGAGCGAGAAACACCAAAGGCCCCCTTCTTCGAGAACCTCGTGTCCAATCTGCACAAGATTAGCCCTGCATTCCAGGACTCCCTCGGTAAGCTGCCTCTAATCTGGATAAAACCTCGGCATTTGACTCACATCCTCTACAGGTCAAGATCAGAAGATCATCGCGAGAGCTACCGTCGCTGCGGTAAAGCTCGCGAGTGAAGGCAAGGCTCCGAGCAAGTACTGGGTCCTTGAACAGGCCGATGTCGTCAAGTATGGGAGGACAGAATGGAAGGATTGAGGATAATACCCATGCATATTGGTACTAGTCAACCTTCCTGACTCCGTAAGGTCTCGCTATGTTTTTTTATATTTCTCAACCTTAAACAATATTCCCAACAACCTTGGAAAGTGATTATATCAAGTCCAACCTAGGAAGTGCGTTGAACTCCAGCGCACATCCAACTCCAACGTGGCCGATGAGGGGCAGCAATACTTGGCATCGCCATTCCACGGTCCTATGATACACGCGAAATCAGTGTGGATGGGGTTGTATCATTCCATAAACGCACGTCGCATTGATATTGGAATGACGTCAATTTGTGATCTGCAAATGTTCCGCTCGAGATTGTGAATGCAGGTCAAATGCGCAATGAAAATGGCCGTCGGATCTAACCGACCCTTGCGTGGAGACGCGCCGGCTTCGCGTGCTGCATGAACGCCAGCGTACTTTCTGCACGCTTTGACTTTGGAGCTGTCGCACTCATTCGATCCAGGTCTGAAGACGTTCATGCTGAGCAAAGTCGCTTCAATACACCAATCGATATCAACGAGATATTTCCACGCCTGAAGATAGGTAGCCAACAAGTCTGACCACGCTCGTGGCTCCGAGAATTCGACGATCCGCGAAACCGTTTCGAGACCCTGGAGCGCCACTTTCCAAACCAGACTGCTATCGAAATATCGCATCGCCGAGGAATACGAGCCCGAGGCAAGACTGTTCTTCGACCTGAAGGAGGTGGTCAGGATATCACAATCGTCTTTCAGGCGAAGCGCCTGGAGGCGCATATCACAACATGAGCGACTTGGACAGGTAGGAGCACGCGACCACATTGTCCTGGCGCAAACACTGAGAGGAGCTAGGGCGATCGAGCAATTGCGGTCATGTCGTCCGATACCAGAAGTTCAGGTGCGGGAACTGTGCTATAAGGCGAGGGAGCTGCTTCTTGAGGAAGGCAATGTGGTCATGGTAGATGCGCCGGTGACGGTATGACTGAGGAAAACTCCGAAAGGAACAGCAAGAAAGAGTAGGCTGACAGAAACGTCAATTTAGATATGCGGCGATATCCACGGACAGTTTCACGATCTCATGGAGCTTTTCAAGGTCGGAGGCGATGTTCCTGAGACAAATTACCTATTCATGGGTAAGCAGCACCGGGCATGTTCGGCTCGTGTGCATTCGACTGATCTCCTTTAGGCGATTTCGTCGATCGAGGATTTTACTCCCTCGAGTCTTTCCTTCTTCTCTTGTGTCTCAAGGTGCGGTATCCGGATCGGATAACGCTCATTCGAGGCAATCATGAATCTCGACAAATTACGACAGTATACGGCTTTTATGATGAATGTCTACGGAAATACGGCAGCGCGAATGTCTGGCGGTACGTCGCTCTGTCTGTTGGCATGCCTCATAGCAGTGAGAGAATGCTAATCTGCTCGTTTTAGATATTGCTGTGAGGTCTTTGACTACCTTGCTCTCGGCGCTCTGGTGGTCGGTGCTGCTAAACAGCTCAACCCAGTCGATGCGCCGTTTGCAAATCCCGAACAGCCACATCCCTCAATCGAAGAGACGGAAGTTGAAGTACTAGATACACACAACAGGATATTGGCGCGGTATTCGCGGAGTCGATTGCAGAGTAGTCGCGAGGATTCCCAGCCACCGTCATCACCTTCGTCCGAGACTGACGCGGCATCACCCCCACTTGGTGCACCTGGCACAGGTGCCACATCCTCGAGCAATGGCAGCACGACACAAAATCCCGATGGCGCCGTGTTCTGCGTGCACGGTGGGCTCAGTCCTCTTGTCGATACACTCGACAAGATCCGGGTTATCGACCGGAAACAAGAAGTGCCCCACGAAGGCGCCATGTGCGATCTGCTCTGGTCAGATCCGGACGACGTCAAGGGTTGGGGCATGTCACCTCGCGGCGCTGGATACCTCTTCGGAGCAGACGTGGTGAAATCGTTCAATTGGAAGAACGATCTCTCGCTCGTCTGCCGTGCACATCAGCTCGTCATGGAGGGTTTCAAAGAAATGTTTCACAGCACGATCGTCACCGTTTGGTCTGCGCCCAACTATTGCTACCGGTGTGGCAATGTCGCAGCAATTCTGGAGATTGGCGAGAATGGCGGGAATGCCGGGTATCATCCTCGCGCACCGCTCGATTTCAGTCGGCGCACTGATCTCGTGGACGGCGAGGTGAGGCGTGTGACCTCTGACGGATCGCTTGCGTTGATGGATCTGCTTCCCGGACCTGGACGACGATATCGGGTATTCGAAGCTGCTCCGCAAGACTCGAGAGGTATGCCGGCGAAGAAACCGGTAGCAGATTACTTCTTATAGATCATGGCCATTCATATTACCTTTGAAATGCTGGTCGCAGTCAGGTATTGACAATCGTGATTCGTAGTTCTCCTGAGACCCAAGTCGAAATTATGTCATCTAAAATAGAGACAGATGTGCGTTAGGGTTCCTTTGTTCGGAATCTGGCTCCGAAGTCATCGGAGCAATGAACGAGGCGCGACACGTGGATTTACTACAAGAATGATAATGAGTGTGTGCGATACCTGCCTAGTCGGACAGGAGATTATATCCAATCTTGTAAGGAACAGGAAACGAGCAGGGGCATGCTGTCGAGTGAACAGTACAGATGGGCTCCGAGCCTCGAGCGTTCGGCACTCGGTTTTCAAGCCAGCGCACACGTGCGACCGTTTAATGTTGCGTTCTATCCCTGGCAATTGTCATGTTACTAACGTCGGGTACTTGTGTATAATATTAATAACGGACACCTGCATACCTACCTAGGTAGGTATTCATGACTCCGTCAATTTGCCTCACATGCCTGCGTCCAGGTCCTCCCAAGGGCCCCAGCTGCCATCGATTGGCACATAGGCTGGGCTCGTACGCGCACATGGCACCGCTTGCCCGCCCATTGCGGCCTGACCGATCGTTCCATTTGCTCTTCCCTTGCATACCTAGATAATCTCGGTTTTCTTCTCACCGATTCTTTCCTCCAATTGAAAATCCGTGCCGCCTCTTTATCAACCTTCCAAGGTTGGAAGCATTTATCTTTTTGTGCCAACATCTCCACGGTTCGATACTCCCGCGCTCCCCGGCGGCCGCCCTTGAGATCCACATTCGGTTCGATTTTGACATCATCAGCCGGTTGCTTGTGTCATTTCTATTACGTCCGTCCTGCATATTTTCATGAACCTCGCAGAAAGGCAAGGCTCGAATCCGGTGCCATTCCGCCTGTGCTGCTGTCCGTCGCGCAACACAGGACACATCCGTTGATCGTGGATTTGCTCGAGATGGGCTCGTCGCCAACTCGCCCCTTCTGCGCCTACGCCTGCAGCTCGAGCCACTTGCAGCTCGACACACGAATAGACCTACACCTGCCTTTAATCATTTCGATTTGATGATAGGTCACCGGACAGACTGGCGAATCACCACGCCTCTAAACTCCTCCTCCCCTCGCGAAGCAAATGATTTATATCCGCTCATGTGAACGCTTACACATCCCATTCCTTGCAGCAGCTCTCGTGACCTCCCAAGTCCGTTCACTATTTAGCCGATCGTTCCTCTGAGAGTGGCACTATATCTCTTTCCGCTCTCCGTGACATCTGTCCGCTTCATGGAGCCTGTCACCTCCGCAGACCGCGTAGTCATTGATCTTACCAGCGATGACGAAGAATCTGGTGGGATAGAGATCCTCGGAGACAACGTACAAAGATGGAATGATTTCGCAGACGCGCTCAATCGCCATTCCTTTGCTCAATCATTCCATGATCCTATTATTGACCAACCACGGCAATCACTGGACGCATCGATCGAAGGTCTGAACATCAACGCCATCCGCCAAGAAAATGAACAGGGTCAAGTCATTGAAGAACTTGCCTTCCGCTCCACTGCACGACAAGGCCTTTCCCTCGGCAACGACAGCGGATTTGCCCTCGATGATGATCAAATACTCGACTGGGGCGCGCCTATGCCGGTTATGAGATCTGCTACTCCGCCGGCTCGCGCGCTGACGCCCGAGCAAAGCGAGATTATTGATGCCGATGACTGCTTACGTCACGTTCAAGCCATGTTTCCTGATATCGAACATGACTTCGTCCACAGCCTCTGGCTTGTGGAAAATCCTGCCATAGTGACAGGACGGGCCCGCTTTGAGGAAGTGGTTAATCAAATACTTGCAAAGTTCCCCTATCCTCGACAACCCAGGATCGTGCCGAGCGATCGAAAACGCAAGCGATCGAATAGCTCCGAGTCGGCTATAGCGGCCGCAGACGTCGCGAAATACATGGACCCACTACGTTCATCCGCGAGTAGTCGTTGGCTTGTCGCTCTTATTTTAAAAGCAGAATTCATGGAGATGACCAAGGAGTACATCAGCAGAATAGTAGCTCAGCATCACCGTCTCTTTCCAAGTTACCTTGCTCTAGCAAGAGCAAAAGAAGACCATCAACTTGGAATGCATCCCGTATTTGGTCGGGGTCGCGTAGCTCGTGGTAGAGATGCTGACATATACACTGGTGACGGAGGAAGTCGTCCAGATCTCATCGCCGAGCTACAAGCTGCTCGAAGGCACGCAGATTACCTTCGCCGCCAGCGCGAAGCACAAAATGCACGTAAGCTTGAAGAAGAGCAAAACATCAAGGCAGCAACTGCGGCCGGCGCGATAGCTGAATGTCAAGCATGTTTCGATGAGATGCCAATGAATCGTCAAATACATTGCGATGGTCCCGTCGCTCACTTCACTTGCTTCTCTTGTGCTGAAACTTATATCAACGCCGAAGTCGGCCAATCCCGTTGTCGTGTTCTGTGCACCGCTGGCTGTGGTGCAGGTTTTGCTCCTGCGCAAATTAATCTTCTCGCTGACAAGGACCTGCTGGCTCGACTGGCGCGGATCCAGCAATTGGCCGATATCCGAGACGCTGGTCTCGATGATCTCGAAGAATGTCCTTTCTGCGAATACAAAGCTATTATGGATATCAGCAAGGACGAGGACAGCGAGTTCCGATGCGCAGCTCCAGACTGCGGTATTGTCAGCTGTCGACGATGCAACAAAGGCAGCCATTTACCCCAGACATGTAAGGAAGCCGAAGATGAGCGGAGGCTCGATGGCCGGCATCGAATTGAAGAAGCTATGTCGGCCGCCTTCGTTCGACGTTGCAACGGTTGTCGTCAGCAGTTCATCAAGGAGAGTGGCTGCAATAAAATGACCTGTCCTGCATGCGGTAATCTACAGTGCTACTGCTGTGGAGAAAATGTCAAAGACTACCATCATTTCGATGATGGGCAGAGAGCGCGTGGCGCTCACATTCCACCCGCTGCCGTCCCATATCGCTTCGATCAAAATGCACAAGCCAATCGCGCTGATCCTGTACCTCGTAGAGCAGTTAATCCCGACAACGGGGCTGGCGCCAACGTCACTGCTGCTGCGGCCGAAGCTTCGAAGCGTAAGGCCAAATGCCCTCTATATGACAATGCTGAAGATAGACACAAGCGAGATATTGAGGAAGCCGAGAGGCTCGCCCGTGCAGCAGTGTTGGCCGAACTCCCGCACATCACCGCCGAGGAGCTCGCCATCGAATTACCTACCGAGCGGGCTCAACACGGAATTGCAGGGCCTCCAAATGAGATACAAGGCCAAGCGAGAGCACACGCTCATCGTGGTGGGGCACTCCGTTACGTTGACGCCCAGGATCCTTGGAATCAGCTCCATCAGCCGCTGCTCCCGATCCAAGATCGTGCGGCACAATTTCCCGCAGAACAAGCAGTCAATGTACAACGACGATTGCTAGCAGAAGGACAGAGGAGGACCTTTCAGAGAGCGAGAGAATTATTGGAGCAGCAGAGACAGCGACACGAACAATGGGCACAAGCACATCACCAACACCAGCAGCAAACGCGTGACATTATGCAGGAATATATACTCCGGCAACAGCAGCAGGAGCAACTACAGCGAGAACGGCAGTGGGAGCGACAACAGGAGCAACGTGCATTCCTGGAGTCCAGGAGACAGCAGCGGCAGGCAGAGGCAGGATTTGCGAGACTACAATTGCCACTGCGGAACGGACCAGTACCAGGATTGCAGCAGGCAGAGCAGATTCTAGGACAAAGACAACAACAATGGCCTCACTTTCTCGATGGAGCTGACGATGGGGCCGATCAACTTGATCAGCACAATGGCGCTGCCGCTCCTCTCAATGCAAGAGCCGGAGGTGATGGCTACAATTTTTTCCAACGAAATCGGCCCGAACGAGTTGCCAACGGTGACTGGAGAAATCCTGTCTTAGACCCCGAGGCAGCCTACACGCTCGACCGCGAACTCGAAGAGGCACTCGGTCCAGATAACGTCGCAGTGGCCGCTCGCCCTTGGCAACCAGCAGACCGTCCCGATTATCATGACGATGGAGTTGGTCACCATGAGCATGCCTTCCCTTACGGCGCAGCTTATTATACCAATGTGGCCGACAATGACCGCGCTGGCCTGTTTATCAACCACAATCCCGCCATGCCTCTTCACATGGGATATATTGAGCCCGAAGCCGTGCGTCCCCAAAATGAGAGAATCGGCCAACTCCGGCAGCAGCTGCTGCAGCAGCGTCGACAGCAGGCGCAGGAACACCAAGCGGATTTGTGGTAGACCCGAGTCACGCGACCCGGATAATCGAGGATGATGGAACGCTGCGAGGGGGAATGCTTCTCATGCGGCGACCACCGACATTGGACCATTGACACAGGAAAGTCAAAAGGATGGCTGCACATTTTTCCCACCATTCATGAGGCTTACGATGTTTTCTCACCTCGCTCTGTTTGGTGTCTTCGAGAATGCCTTCTTGTATTATTTTTCTTGCATCGGACTTTTGATACGGTAGCAATTGATCTTTGACCGACATCGTCAGAGTCGTCTGGTATGAGAACTTGGACGAGCTGTGTGCAGCGAAAAACGATATCTCGGAGCTTCGCAGTCTAGCACTGGTGCAAAAGAGATTCCAAATCCAACCCAGTTGCTGCTCCTCCTGTTCTGTCTCACTCGACGATGACAAATGTGTACCTGCCAAGGAGCCATGCCTGGGCCTTCGCCCGTTCCCTTGTTTGGCCCGCCGTGAGCTGAGTCAGCGATGCAATGCTCCCGCTCCCAGCGCTGGCCTAGGTCGACACAGGCGGGCGTGAATATTTAGCTTCTTGTGTCATCGGCACGAGAACATCATAGCGTCCTTGGACGAGTAGGGCGCAGCAATTCGGCATTTCGTCATCCGTTTTCCATGATGATGTTGCCTCTACAGTGGGAACAACCACCTCCTCCACAGCGATTCCGTTGCACTGCACTCTGCTTCAATCGCCAGATTTTTCGCATGCGGAAGCTTGACGTGGCGCCGAGTGGCTGACGACCGACCATTCGCTGTAGTCAGGCACATTACTTAGCTGGGTAGATTCGGCAGCAGGTGGTGCGATGTTCATGATCCCTCCGCATTGGTTTCACTCACACCACCGACACGCGCAAGTGCTGACTCTTTGTGCTTCCCGGTCTATTTCTATTTCTCACTCCTTCAAGACCATCTTTCCCTCTTGTATACCCACACGCTTGCGCGATATTGACACGGGAGTACAATATTTTCTCCAAATAAATCCACCTGCAAACCACTCGCTCTTCGTCCCCGGCAATCCGCCTCGCCAGCTGTAGACCCTGACACCTGAAAAACTGGACCGCGTCTCAGACGTGCCGGTCTCTGCTCGAAATCCAACCTGCGGGACCGCTCGTACACACTGCAGCATCAAACGCTCTCAGTGCGACCAGCACCATGGGCAAGACCGTCTACACGAAGATCACACCTTTACCCGCCAACATACCACGCCAGCTCGCCCTCGAGCTACTGCACAGCCATGAGGAGGTCATACAATTGAACCCATTGGTGACGGGTGTGCGCAGTATCGAGGCGCCACGGAACGCCTCGACTGATGAATACTACAGCAGCTGGTACGAGATCTCGCAGATCATCACCTGGGGTCTTGGTATCAAGTCCAAATACTCCTTCAAAGGCGTCTTCCACGACCAACCATGGGGACTGCAGACGCACGTCTATGCGCCACTTGGCGTTGATATGCGCAACAAATACCGCATCGGCGGCAACCAGCCCGGTGAGCCGCGTGAGGCCCGCGAGCTAGGTGTGGACACTCCAGTGGACGGACTATACCTGCGCGAGGATGTGGAGATCACATGTAACGTTGCCATGATGGGTATTGTCAAGAAAGAGGCGAAAGAGGCTACGGGTATCATGATCAACCGTCTGACGCGGAAGGCCGAGTTGCTTGACGAAGGAAAACTCCTTGCCATGTTTGAGCACGGCAAGTTAAAAACATCCAAGCCACGCGGCGGCCTGGATGAATTCGGCGTCAGCCCGCCTTCCAGCCCGACCTTCATGTATGGTCCCAATGCGCCGGCCAGTCCAGCGTTGTCTCAGGCCAGCACGGTGGATAACAAGGGTTACGGCAAGTACCATGATTTGGCGCACAGTCACAGCTATCGTGGGAGTGTTGGCAGCATTGGCAGCGCCAACAGTAGCGCCGTGGGTTACCAGCCTTCGGGAGCTTCCAACCTGGTGCCTATCCATGAGATGCCAATCTCACAAGACTCCGGGCGAGTTTTCTACTCCGAGCTGCCCGGTGACCAGACATTTCAGCCAGGTCAAGCATCGTCGCCGAAACATTCGACGCCGGTCCCGTATGTCGCATATGCACCACGACCATCGTCACAGCTATCACAGCAGGCGAGCGAAGGATCGTGGTCACAGACACAGCAACAACAACAGCAGGAGGCTCATCCGGTACCTCAAGCTCTACAACCGGGCTTCCAAGTCTCGAAGTAAGCGTCGAATTTCTCGAGAACCTCGTCTTCTTTCACTAGGTTCAGGCTGATGAACCTCGCAGCTCCGATGCTGCTCTTGAGAACACAACAGCTACCGAACACACCGAAAGCATCGTCGATCCTTTGCGACAGCAAGAATCTGAAGATCACGTAGCCCCTGCAGAAGAAGGGCCAGAGATGAGCGAGATCGATCCTTCCGACCTCCTGCAACCTCACGGCAACGATTGGCCATTACCACTACGCACCCGGACTCCTTCTCCCGCTCCGCCACAGCCTCCCGCTACCCCGGCGCCAGCCAACGCAGTGCCTGTTATCGTCTCGCCACCTGCTGCTGCCGCAGAGCCTATTGTAGTCCCTCCACCGCCATCAGGTCCGCCACCTCTCCCAGCGCGGAACGACAAGCGACTCTCGTTCGTCCCGGCAGACCTCTCACCCGAGACGGCGACGCCTGCCGATCGGATGAGCATCATCAGCGCGTCGGCTTCGGCCTCGACGGCTGTAGCCAAGTGTCCCGTATGTAACGTGTTCGAGGGCGACGAGGCTGCGGTGACACACCACGTTGCGAAGTCGCATTTTGATTGACGAGGCGAGAATATGGTGGGCTGGAGTCAGGCGCATCCACGAACTCGCAACGACAGCAGAGATGATTTTATGAATGAGTATGACTTTTAATGTTTTGGGCGGCTTTGATATCCTTCCATATAGTTTCTATCGCGGTCGAAACGATTTCTTTCCACCTCTCAACACACAACTTTACCTTACCTAGGTGCCTAGCACGAACGTATTCGACCTTTATCGATCTCGACATGCACACCTGGGCAATGTCTGAATTTTCTACGCACACAAACAACACACCCTCTGATCCGTCGCAGATCTCCCGGTATGAGGTCATTCCAGAATTGCACCACCTGCCCAGCCGCAACTTTGACGCTTTACATAATCGCTCAGGCTTTGATGGCAATCGCCAGGAGGGTCGACAATTGCCACGTGCTGGCCACCCACCCGATGTGCCTTCTCCTTTGTTCTCGGGCTCCCAAGAGCTCTCATGGTCGGGCAAAACGGGCACACAGCTTCCAAGATTTTCTTTTTGTTTGTTGATGACACAGAGGGTCGAATGCTTTGGTGGCGGCTTCTTCGGGGAGAAGATTGTTGGGAGTGGTGGTGTCTATAGCAATAGATGTCAGGCTGGTTCAGCGATCGATGTTGGATGTTCCTTCCCTCGCTGCCTTCCTGCATAGCGCGCGTGCATCATGAGGACAGCGTGAACCATTGCATTTTTTCTCGCGAATGACAAAGCTCTGCCTGATTAGTGGAAGGAGAAGAGAGCCATTGGCCCGATCAGAGACCATCATGCCCATCGGCTGCGCTGTAGTGAAGGACACCCACTGGTGAGGAGGTTCATGCCGTACATACACAAAGGCTACAGTATTTCGATCGCATCTCCGATGTCCTGAGTTTTACATCCGGCTAGCACCCACTTCCAGTATACCACCACTATTGCTCCTCCCTCCCATATTTTTTATTACATCTAGAATCGTTTTTGCTCTGCTTCGACCCTGCTTGGCGGCGTTTGGGACTCAATTAACCCGCGTCTTCTGCTGGTCCACATCGCATATCCAAACATCACGTCCAGCGACAGGCACACACACACACACTCTCTCTCTCTCTCTCTCTCTCTTCGTATTCTACTTTATCGTCCATTCTTCCCGAACCACCAATAGGCCTCGAAATGGCATGACCTTATCGTTATGTTGCATGTCGCCCATCGCGGATCGACTTCCACCCGCCACTAGAGAGAGTTCGAACCAAGAGGAATCGGAAGGGAACCTTGGAAGACGACAAAGCGTGGCGCTTGCATCATCATTGGACGCGGCCCGCGGTTTGTCGACATTCGCGTCCGCCGGCGCATGCTTTGTTTTGCGCTCGGTTCATCATGCACACCTTGCCCTCCACCCAACAGCCTGACATATGTAATCCACTACTGTGCTGCCATCTGGCTGCCCCACCCCCGCATTTCCAACCTCTCTTCGACCACCCCCACTGTTGTTGATGTTATTGTTGTTGGCGTCTGTCGCAATCGCATGCGCTCCAACTTGTCCCGGACTGTACCTATTTCCACAACTCGAACCACGATTGCGTTGTTCGCACAGAGACACTCACAACAACGCCCTCAATAGCGCGCTCAGAAGACGACGGGAAGCTTTGGGAGCTCATCGCCAAGGTGGGCTGCTCCGGTCTAACAACAATTCCAACATCTGCGGGACATCTTCCAACGTTCCCCAAAGCTTGACCACCTAGCTTTCATTATCCATCACTCCCATTTCCCATCATCTCACGAAGCCCCGTGGACTAACAGAGCACACGTCGGCAACACCAGCATCCACCGCCAGCGGCACTTCCAACCCCGGCCGACCGAGGATCCTCTGCTGACTATTCCCCCCGATTCTCCGAGTTGGCGCGTCCAGCCCAGGACAGTAGCAGCAGATAAACGACAGAGAGAGAGAGAGAGAGAGGTAGAGAGCGCGTGCGAAGGGACCGCGGCCTGGCCTCAACGCCAGCCATCAAACGCACAGTCGCGTGCTCGTCTTCCTCATCTGCACATCAACTGTCATCGCCCATTGCCCGCCTACCTCGCCCACTGCCTGTGTTCAACATCTCTCCCTCACGATACTGCTTCTTGCAGCACAACATTCAGCACCTCCTCCCACGGATCCAACCCTCCGACGCTCATACATTCCACACCGAGCTCACCCACGTCTTCCTCTCTCTTATCCACTCCACTCCTCGCCGTGTACATCTCGGATCGGCGCAACATTACTGCCATTTCTTTCTGCCTGTCGGGCTTCACCAATCTCTCCCACGCAAAAGCGCCTCGAGGTGCCCATTGTTCGTAGTGCGACCTCCCGGGCGCGGCTCCGTTTCTCCTCCGTGTGGTCGAACGTCATCGCGTCTTGTTAGCTGCCACATTCCTTGTCCACTTGTAAACGCCGATCGCTCCACAACATTGCATTCACACAAATTCCACCCACTGAGAAACGGTTGCGCCGACAAGCTCACTGTATTTCAATGGCTACACTGTTCGCGCGCCCATTGGCGGTCTCAACAATCGCGCCCACCTCACCTTCGTCCCTCACGTCAAAATCACCCTCAAATGCCTCTGATGCTGCCACTGCTGTCACGACCAGCGCGCTGCCGACTCGCCATCTACCGTTCTGCTCGCCCGGACCGCATCCAGCCTCACGCCCACAACTTCACACCCCACCTTCCACTCCACCAGACTCCATCTCATCCTCAAAGGCAATCACCTCACGCTTACATCCTGTCGAACGATTCGACCGCATCGTGAGCGATCCGCCCATCTATGCGATCACCTCCGAGGCCTTGTCGCAAGCGTATGCACATCTAGCAAATCAACCCCTGCCGGCCACCCAACAGGTCTTTCCTTGGCTCCATGGCCTACATCCGGACAACTACTTCCAACTCGGCTTCTTTGGTGCTCGTCGGGCCTCTCATCGCAGAACACCATCATGTCTGCGTACAATGACGGTTGTCAAGACCGGCGGCGACTTGTCACATAGCAAGCTCAAAGGCGCCATCGCTCCCGAGGAGATCTTGAAAGTCAGCGATGGTCCTATAGGTCCTGAAGATGATGGCCCTGTCTTCACGCCGGACTTTCTTGACAACGATCCACATGAGGGGTTCGGGGTGCGCAACTTTCAGATTCAGACGGCGAAACTCGCGACTGTCAGTGATATTGTCGTCTACGCCGACCCATCTGCTACCCAGACCGAAATCGTTAGCGTCGCCATGACTATCTCACAGGCGCAGGAGCGTTGGGCGAATCGACTGGATCGATCAGAATCTGAGACAATGCGGCAATTCAACACCTTCATATTAATCGGTAAGTGGCTCGGCGCTCTTGTCTTTTCTCTATTACTAATGCGCTTTCAGATGACTTCCCCACATTTCAAGAGCGATGTCCTCATCTTGTTGCCGTTGGATCAGACGGATGCTTGACAGGTCAGGTCATGGACTTTTTCCATCGCGAGCGATATGAGATGTACACCATGTCCACCGCTACCGAGATCGCAAACAATGTCTGGCTCGGGCCTACCCCGGATTCGACTTTAGATGGTTCTTCCGAGAACCAGAGCGATCGCCCTGAATTTGACATCCTGATAGGCTGTCATGACGGTGCGGCAATGCCACGAGGTGTCCATTTCAAATTGGCCGAACGCCAGCTCGAACAGAGAGAATCCTGTTCCAGCAGCGACAAGGATAACGTCGTCGACGACCTGGAATTCCCGGCTTCGGGTGCTATCCTCCCGCCTACTTGGGGCAATGACGAAGTTGGCCGTCTACTCGACACTTGCCGGTGGATTCACAACCAAGCCAACCGTCGTTCATTGAAACGCCGACGTGACAGCAAGTTTTCCGCAGGTCGGGATCGCCCTTTCAGCAGCAGCAGCAGTGATGTCCCTGATGCCGACGGCGACCGCCCAATGACAGCAAGTCAAGACAACATCAAAGACAACCAATCTAGTGGCCGACAGGTCCTCATTCATTGCTACGACGGCTACACGGAATCTTCGCTACTGGCACTCGCGTATTACATGTTCGCGCATGGCGTTCGTGTACATGATGCCTGGCTCCAGCTTCATCGCGAACGTGGCCGAAATTTCTTCGCGTATCCCTCCGACGTCCAGCTGTTACGCGTCGTTGAGCATTGTATCCTCTTCGCTTCGCCTGCTTGCAAGCCCAACAACAGCACTTCTGTGCCCTCGAGTCCTTGTGCTTCACCTTCCCTCTCCGATACCACCTCGCCTCCTCTCACTCCTTTCGGAACATCATCGTTCTCAGCAGATGCTGCCACCACTAACGATCGTGTGAGCAAGTGTGTCTCATCTGTAAATCAGAGATTGTCAGCCATTCCATCTTACACATCATCGCCGACCCCTGCCTGGCTCGATAAGATGGACGGTTCGCTACCGAGTCGAATTCTGCCATACATGTATCTCGGAAACCTCGCTCACGCCAACAATCCATCGCTGCTAAAAGCTATGGGTATCGGCCAGGTTCTAAGCGTGGGCGAGAATATCAACTGGACCCGGCTAGTGACACCTACGGAAGACGAAGCTTCTGATGACGATGAACACGGTCAGGAAAACGGCGAATACAACGGCTGGCTCCGTGAGAGTCTTCGTTTTGTGGATGGCGTACAGGATAACGGCGTCGATCCGTTGATGGAAGAGTTGGTGAAATGTCTGGATTTTATCGGTGAGTCTTCCTCTTCCTTCTTTCAACTTCCCTTCTCCAACTGCGCAATCGTTTCGTCTCGGTGTACCCTTCCTTTCACGTCCTCTGCAAGACTGCATGCAGTTTCGAGCTCGAGCGGAGTCTTTCAAGCTCGAACTTGCGACAAAAAATATCTTTATTCATTTGATTTATCACGTATTTTTCGCTATTGCCTCCAAGTGTGTCAGTGTTGTCGAGTTTGCATCGTGTCTCTTGCTGTTGCCAATTTGGCGTTAGATTGGGCTATTAGTCTACTGCCACTCTTTGCTTTGCCTCTGACGCTATGCTTGTTTGTCCTGCTGCCCGTCCTATTCTGCTCTCCGCCGCTGCATTCGAAATCACATCATTTGTTCAGAAAACTCTCGTGGGAAGGATCGTGGAGATGGGTTTGCTTCCCTCTTGCCTGATCTCTTTGCTCTGCGTTCTATTCCACAATTTCTTTGCCCTCGTTCTACATTCGATGACAGTACATGTCAACATGAAACCTGTACTATCGCAGATTGCTGACTTGTTAATCTACAGAAAATGGTCGCAAGCAGGGCATCGCCACCCTCGTCCACTGTCGAGTCGGAGTATCCCGCTCTGCCACCATTTGCATCGCCCATGTCATGGCCGCGCTCGATCTCAGCTTCCCACGTGCGTACTGCTTCGTTCGAGCAAGGAGGTTGAACGTCATCATTCAGCCACACTTGCGATTTGTGTAAGTATTATCTTCCACTGCATATCCTTTTCCAGAGGAGAAGCACGTCTGCGTTGTATGCTTCCATGTTCAGACATGCTGACTCAACATCCTTCACTCCAGCTATGAATTGCTCAAATGGGAGGAATTCCTCGGCGAGAACCGACACAAGCGCGAACAACAAGATCGCGATGTCGATGACGACGGCAACGACACTGCCCCCTCGAATGATTCCGTCGCTCTTCTACATCCGCGTCGAGAGCTCGAGTGGGCTTCCGTGGCGAGGGAGATTGCTGCGATGAACAAGCCTTACGCCAAGCAGTGAAAGTCGAACCGGAGACATGTACACCGGTCATCACCTCAAACATGCGAAGGTCGACCGTCAGTGTCAAACAGGACAGAAAAACCACAGCCGCTCTCGAACCGAACCTCGGGGCCCCCGTACGGATCTGCTATCACCATATTCTCATCTCTTCTATTGTCTAATTTCTTCCATCTTTGTTCTGGCTCGGGCCTATGTGCGACGACCTCACCACCTTTTGTTTACCCTCCACTTTGGTGCTTGTGCGGGGAATATTCTTGCTTTGCGCATGCTTATGATCGATGACGAGACGGGAACGACTACGATATGATACGATTTTGCTTTGCTTTCTTGGAACGACTTTTTGTTCTGCTTTTATTATGATTGATGATCGCAGGGGCGTTATGAAGGCGAGATCGGCTGTCTTCTCATGTCGGTCTCGAGATATGGCCGCTTCATTCTGGAATTTGCTTTTGGGCTCTCCCTGCTTTGATTCTGCTTTTGCCAGACCGTTGTTTGGGCGCAGAACTCGACGGGAAAAGGAGGGGTTGTTTTGGACAAACACGCTTTGTGCCGCAATTCGCATGATGATGGAGAGCCATCCCTGCGGCGAGAAGGTTGCCGCTCACGCATGGCCTGGACAGTCCCCAAAAGCAAGAGGCTCCTTTACATTGTCCCTGACATCTTGGCGGTCCTGTTATGTATGCATATAGCCCATGTTAAAGTCTTTATTTTCACTGGGATTGGTTTCACGAATAGGAGGAGTCCTGATGACGTTCCTTCTCGCGTTTCACTGCCACATAGAGTGATGTTCTTCTTCGAGGCCAGATGAAAAGTTGTAATCGGCGTTCATTTGCTCGTATCACAAGACTTTATATTATCATGACGTCGTTCGTTCGTTTCCTTAGAGATAAAATACATTCCGCGCAGAATCCGAGGTCAAAAGATCGGACAGGAATAATAACAACAAAAGTAGCCGTGAAGTGGGCCCAAAGCCCACACAGCGATCCGAAAAATATGCCTCTCCGCCGAACTCGATCCCATCACGCCTCCGACGCGACTTGACCTGATTTCCTCACGATTCCCAACTCCATCAACCGCGTCCAAATCTCGTCCTTGACCATCGCACTCTCCTTGTCGAATGGCAAGCCGTCCGCCTGCGTCAGGTCCCGAGAGCTGGTCGCCAGGAGCACCTGATGCACGCGTCGCCTCAGTTTCGTCTCGGCGTCGAGGCGAGCGTGATGATGTCTGTCGGCCGCGGGGTCGGCGGGGGGCAATCGGAACTTGGCCGCGGCGGTCGCTTCGAGAGTATGTTCTTCGTCCCGGACATCTTCGGGCCCGAAGGACTGGGCGTGCGATGACCGCGGAACGATGCTCGACGGCGGCTGGGACGGTGGAGACGTCGAGGCGACGGTGCCGTGGGCGGCGTAGAAGCCCTGCGTGAGAGGATTGTCCCGGAGATCGAGAGTGCGGAGGGTCGGCAGGCGGGAGAGGGTGGCGATGCTCTTGCGGAGACGACCCAGGCGGTTCCCGCAGAGTTCGAGTCGTTCCAGGCGCTGGATGTTGAGGAGCGGGCGGATGTCCCGGAGGGCGTTGAAGTTGAGGTTGAGCGTCTTGAGGTTGGGCAGGCGGATGCCGAAATCATCTGGGAGGACTTGCAGGCCGACTGAAGCCATTTCGAGGTGCTGAAGGCTGAGCAGCGGTACCAGGCCCGAAAGGGTCGAAATGTCGTTGCCTGAGAGGTTGATGGTGCGTGCGTGATTGGCCTGTTCGAGAATCGCGATGGTCACGTTTTCATCTAGGGATTGGCTTCGAATCGAGACCACATCCAATGATTTGAGAGTCTCCATGCCATCGATGCGTTGGAGAGAGTTACCGTCCACTTGGACGACGCGAAGCCCGGGCATCCTGCTGACATCTAGCTCATGCAGACCACATTGCCGCAGAGACAGCGTCTGCATGTGCTGCAGATCCTTCTCCAAGACGGGCGCGCGATCTAGCTGGTTCCCGTCCAGTCTGAGGCGGTTCAGCGCGATCAAGTTGTCGAGTCCATAGACTGAAGTGATTCGGTTGGAAGAGAGATCAACTTCTTCGAGACGCTGCAAGCGGCTGTTGGTGAAATCAACAGAAACAAGTTTGTTTCCTCCCAGACGGACTTTCAATAAGCCATCCATCTGGTGCAACGCATCGAGGCTCTCGACCTCATTGTTGTCCGCACGGAGTTCGCGTAAGTGGATAAGTCCGGCTATTCCACTGAGGTTGGTAAGTCGGTTGCTTGCGATATCGAGGTATTGGAGATTAGCAAGATGGTTCCAGCTAGTCAGGTTACTGAGCTGGTTGCTTCGGGCACATAGCATGCGAATGGTAGATGGAGCCCCATCGAGGTGGTTCAAGGTGTTGTTCGAAACGTCCATGCATTGTACACCTCCGCAGAAATCACTCAGTCCGTGCAAAGAGGCCAGCGAGCGGCTGTGGAGGTTCAGTGTCTTGACGTCGTCCCAATAGAGCTCAGTCTCGTGGACATCTGTCAAGGTCTTCACAAGATCTTTGACAGCAAGAGCATATCGATCGTTGACCTCTGCAGCGGCATGTTGCGCGAGCCGAGTAGCGAGTTGTCGCTCTGACGGCCTCTCCTCTTCCTCGCCGCTGATTGTGAACTCGGGAAGCTCGCTGAACATGAAACTAGGGTCAAGCTTGCTGGGTGAGGAGAGGCTCTGAACGATCTGCCCCATAGGGGCACTGCTGATCACAGGCCGCGTTACGCTGACCGAGACACTCATCGTCCTCTCTCCAGGCAGGTTCGCGACGAAGGACACTTCGTGCTCCTCTCTTTGCTCAACCTGAAATCTGCTTGTCAATGTCTTCCGCCTCAGTGATATTTGCCGAGGCTGTGTCTTCAACATCGAAGGCCGTGACATCGATGGCAGAGATGGAGATTGTCGAAGCTTCGGTGAAGTCAGTACATCGAATCTTGATTCGTCGCCAACGATAGCGGACTCATCGTCGAAGTTCTGTTGCAGTTGAGTTTTTGAGAACGTTGGTGTGGCTACCTCATCGTCATGACCTCGGTCATTGCTCTCGTTGGCGAAGTCTTCATCTGCTGCTGAGGTGGGTAACGGCCCCTCGCGCATCGCTTCTTGCGTCTCAGTGGACTGGTCGACGTCCTCATCCGCACTCCATTCGTCTTCCAGATCATCATAAAATACCTGCTGCTGCCCAGCTTTCCTCTGATCTGGTCGTCCAAGATCGTCGTTGGCCCAGGATGTGGCGCGGGTCTCGACAGCTGGAGCTTGACTCGAAGCAAGCGCTGTTAGATGAGTTGCATCCGTCATCGTATAAGTGTGGTGAGACTTGTTACTGTCGCGCGTCGTAGGGCGCGCTGCATACGACTGCTGAGACGCAGAGCGAATTTGTTTGGGTGGTTGCGATGCGCCCATGGTTGCAAAGTTGTTCGAGATGGATCGATGCGCGTCAAGATGCCGCTTGAAATCGTAACTTGCAGTGCGAATCTGTTCTTCTTTCTGTTCGTCGACCGGAAGATCTGATATCTCTCGAAATGGGTCATCGTCGCTTGCAGTCAGGCTGCTCGGTATGTCCAGAAAGCTACCCTGGTCATACTTAGTTTTCTTTGGGCTATGCTTCAGCTTGACCCACTGTTGACGCTGTTTGTCATAGGTCATGCTGCCGACTTGTTCCCCAATCAGATGCGCAACCACATCGGGGGCCAGTGTCCCAACATTCTCAGATTTCCGTGTGGAGCTGGTCTGCTGCGTTCTTCCTGTTGACACAGTTGCAGAAGCTATGGTAGAAATTGAGTCGGTCCCTTCTTGATGTGAGCGCTGAGATTCCGGTGGAGAGACCATATCATCTGGATGATTTACATGGGGTCCCCTTATCCGGATGTTAGATTCTTCGTCTTCAATCACGATCTCTGATTCTTGCTCATTATCTTCCTGCTGCTCGTCGTCGAGCTGCAGTTCAGCGAAGGAAGGAGCGAGAGGATCATTGTCATCGGACTCTTGAAACTTTCGCAGATGACTTATGACTCTAGCGTTCGTCTGCTCAGAGGTACGTGGCCTCCAGGGAATGGCACCTTCGCGTGAAGGCGGCCGAGAAACGGACAACGCAGAGTTGTCCAAATCCGAGTAGTCTTCAATCTGACTCTTGCTCATGCGCTCTTGGTCAGACTCGGCAACACTCCCGAGAGCATATTGCCTCGCTGCCTTTTCGCGAATCAACTTCATGACCATCACGGCCTCATTAAAAAAATCTTGAGTAGTCACGGACCGCTTGCGCTCACCGTGATCGCCGGACGCTTTTTGTACTCGTAGTGTGAATTTTGCAACTTCATTTGCGACCGTTCTTGCCTGCTGTTGGACCGAAGGAGGACTGTTGGAAGCCATAGATGACTCGATCTGCTCCATCACCGCTTCAAACGTGTCCGGCTCCTGGGCGGCGAAATCCTCGGTCACCTCCCGGATCTCAGCCTCGATTTGCTGTCTCCGTAGTTGTTTGGGGGTGAGACTACGTGGTTGGAGCAATTTGCGGGAAGCTAGGACATCGGGCTGGGCATTATTTGTCGCGTCGCCTTGGCGTGCATCTTTCCTCTTCCGGCTTTGAGCGCTGTCTTGTGCGTGTTGGATGATAGATTCACCATATTCCGAGCTATCATCAAGCAGCTCGGACGCGTGCAAAGTGCGCCGACGCTTGGGTGTAGAATCTTTGCACGGCGAATTTGGAGGCCTTTTACCAGCACCGACTCCGGGCTCCATGGGCTTCTGAATCACAATGTTCACAATTGACACGTCGTTCGCTGTGACGTTCAAAGGCCCGTCGACCAATATGTCCCGCTTCGAGGCAACATTGCTTACGGCTTGGGAAATGTCCGTTGTCTTCAGTTCCTTCCTTGGCGTTGGGTGATTGCTATTTGGCTTCGAAGGAAGATCGTCTGGCTTTCCCAGATTGATTACGGGCTTGGGAATTTTACTCCGGAGCCGAAATGCCTGCTTCTCGATCGGACTGTGCTCGAACCTGAAATTCGTTGGTGCTTTGCTGCCAGGTGGTGAGATCTCGGATCCAGGAGAGCTCTCGCACAAATCAATCCTTGAACCAGACAGACTTGCGATAGGGAGTTCGGCTTCAAAGTCATGTTCGTCGAGAGTGCCGCTCCCGAAGGAAGCGGCCAAGGCGTCCTTCGAAGCCGTATCATTTCGGGCAGAGCCATCCATTTCTTTGTCATCACCGCCACTTTGAAGGAAAGGCGAACTGACGTTTAGCTCACTCATCCGCCTCAAAAGTCTGTTATTGGTGAAGGTATCATGAGTGCCGAAAAGTTTAAGAGGACTTCCAGACGATTTTCCGGCTTGCTCAATCGTTCTCGAGCCACGATACGGAGTTGACGGCTGTGCATCCGGCTCGACAAATGCGATTGTCGGTAATTTGGAGTGTTGCTCCGCCTTCTCGCCGGACTCAGCAACCGAATTGGAGGAACTCAAAGGCCGCGCTTTGAAAGATCCTTGATTTGAGTAACCACCTCGCCGCAGCTGCACGTTGCTGTCTAACGGTAGCACGACTGGTGTGCCAGTAGGAAGATTCTCCGATAAGGACAAGTCGGGATTCGCATGCGCCTCGTCACTGGAGATGCATCCAAGAACATCCTGTTGAGAAGTCGTGCCCTCTCCGATGTTCGGGAAGAGGTTGTCGTCGGTCGCGTAATGCTCGGAATGTCGCAAAGACACCTTTCGCTGTTGAAACTGGGAGATTTTGTGTGAATCGAATGCTTGATAATCGATTTGTCCGTCGGTTGTAGTGTGCTTGGAAACAAACACTGGACTGAAATCCTCCTGCTCGAGTTCCGTGCGGCCGCTCACAGTGCGATCTCCGCCACCGTTGTCTAACACGAGTGGCTCAAGTCCCGCGCGTCGTTTGGCGGAGCTGTTGGTAGACGCAAGCTGGGGTGTTCTCGCTTCGTATGAGGATTCAATCGCAAAGGGATCGCTACTAAGATCTTGTGAATCTGCGTCCTCAAATTCCGCCCTCTGCACGTTATCCTGGTCGACCTCGGACCTGTGAACAGACTCCTCGCAATGCTCACGACTGTTTGCTGAGGGAGCGTTCCAGATAGGTGGACTAGAGGGTATGGCGAGCTTGGCATTTCGATCCGTCCACGCCATTTTGCTTTTGTTTTCGCTCCTTGTTCCACCGGCAGCCCCTTGCGGTTGTGCGAAAATATTCTCCAAGCCGGAAGGACCAAACAGATCGGTCTGATCGCCATAGCCAAGCTGCCCACGCATGAGCCTCCTCTTCCATTCTAAAGTTTCCTGTTTCTTTGGAGGAGATGCACTTTTTGGGCGCTGCTGAACAGTACCATATTGTAGTACAGATCCAGACGAGGCTGTAGATGCGGATCCGACACCGCCAAGTTTTGTTGTGCCCCAATTCTCCGAATCTGCGGCGTGGTCGTTTCCACTTATTGCCGTCAAAGGGCTGCGTTTGCGTTGCACCGATGTTCGCATGACCGAGCCCATCGTTCGGGAGCCATTCGAGCTTCGTCGCGAAACTCGGCGTAAAGAATTGTTCGCAATGTCCACTTGTCCGGTGAGCGCGGACGCGTCGTGACTAGCAGATGAGATCTTGACCGGAGCGTCCCAAGTGATATCGGCGTCGAGGCCTTGCAGCCAAGGTGCAACATTTTGCGACATGTCGGATGTGGGAATTGGCGGTATCGCAGGCCGCACGTAGAACGGAGGAGATAGAGATGGAAGGCGACTCTCAATTTTCCATATGGGCAATTCTGAATCACATGCGAAAGTCACTGTAGAGGATGCGGTACCAATAATACATCAAGATCAATGCATTTTCGTTCTAGTTGGCCGTTGATGGCGGTGGTGTTTATCTCGACCCCAACATTGAATGTGAAACGCGTAAATTGCTGACTAACCGAACGCTCACCAACTAAATTACGCGGGCTGTTCCCGAAGGAATTGCGGGACAAAGCCAAACCACGAGACAGTTCAGATCAACCGTTGCTAGGGGCAACTTGACGACGCCCAGGGTGACACTATCGTGAGATACGCCACTCGCAACCTCAGTCGATCACGGACAATGTTGACCTGTAAGTGAATGCTGGATCAAAAGACGTGGACAAAGAAGCGTCTCGATCCTTTATAGCAGATATGCGAAGAAATTATTTACGGGGTCCGCTGTCGCAACAGCCTGTCTTTTAGTGCCACGATCATCTAAAAGATGATCAGGACTCATCAACCGCGAGGCGCCTTTTGGAACTGTCCTTCAACCTTTCAGCAGTGCGAAAATTATCGATCGATTGATCTGGACGACTCGGAATTCTCTTGGTTGCATGACTACGCCCCTATAAAGTGCAGCAGAGCATCACATTTGGACAGAGAGGTCAAGCGACGTCGGGTGAAGAAGCTTGCGGAAGAGTTTCTCGATGGAAAGACTTTAAGCATAGCGTCTGTCAGGCCCGTGTACGGATTCACAACAGACCTTGAGATCACTGGAGGGAGTCTAGCCTGGGCGGATGTGCTCAACGATCGGGAGATTCTCGACCTTTATGCCAGTGAGCAAAGACTAGTCGACCCCGATATTGTGCAGAGTAGTGTTGAAGATCGCGCACTTGATAGTCGCGTCATTGTGGAAGTTCAGGCGAGCTGCCGTCCTCGGACAACGCCCATACGAAATCGGCCTCTGGACCTGCCGAGCAAGGAAGCCTTACGCTTAGCTGCAGAACTGTGGGGGCGTGGCAGAGAAAAGAATGTCATCTGCGAGACGCAGGTCGTCCATCAGAGCGAATCGGACGGGGACGAGTCGGACGATAAATGCATATCATCTGCGTCCGCAGAGAGTTCTCGAGTCGTGCGCCCTACTGCTGCCTGGACAAGCAGCAAGTGGCTGGAGACTGGTGCTTTCGTGCCTCGACGGAAAGGAGTGGATGAGGATTGCAGCAAAGATGAGCTCGGGGCGTCATCCTTCACGCTGCCATCGCAACGAGCCCGTGGTTTGTTGGCAGCTGAACCTGCTCGAGACGACCGCAATCAGTCTGCGAGTTCCGCAACCACTGTTTTCTCCGATGATGCCAACAAGGTCTTGCCTGATGTTGTTGTGTCTCTCATAGGGCAGTCGCTGATACCGCCAAGCCAAGCAGACGTTGTGTCTGGGACGACTGCCAGTGCTGATGAAAGCGGCTCTACCGAAGGTGCAACCAGTTATAAAAACTACCGCAAAGATGGAGGATCCCCATCTTCCATGCGTGGCAGCTTACGTTCGGCACGACGTAGTGATACTCAAGCCTCTAGAAGCAAATCATCGGTACGAGAACAGTCATTTGCAGCTCCTGTGGGCGCCGCTTTCTCCCATGAACAGTCTTTGAATCTGTCAGACAATTTGTCGAAGGGACCCCATTCGGTGTCTTTACAAGCAGCAACAGGTACGCATGTGGATCAAGCAATCACACGTCGTCAATCAGCACCGCTAGGACCTGCACCGGGCTTGATTGTCGATCATACTCGTAGAGGCTCCCGAGGGCAATACAACACTGTCGTGGGATCTGATTCATCTCCGTTTGCATTTCGCAAGCGCTTGTCAAGAAGGAGAACAAAAGAAGAGCGGCTGTCGATTCATGCTCAGGTCGTCACAACGCTGCTTCCTACACCATCCGTTCCAATCGCACTCGACCTCGTAGCAGAAGTTGCGGCCGATCCGGAACAGAACATCGTCCCATCAACGCCCAGCAAAGCCTCCGAGCACCAAACTTGGACGCCTCTAGCTGATCAACAAATGAATCGCGTGCTACCAACGGGATCTTCAGAGCAGAAATTGAAGGAGCTGTTACGTGACGAGATGGAGTCAGCCGGTGCCATTTTCACCAGTCTTGAGGAGAACGAGGTTTCAACGGCTTTACTGCCAAAAAGGCGTGTTGTTGATCATGATTCATTGCTAGTTACAGAGCTCAACGATGCGCAGCCAAGGGCCATACGCAGAGATGCACAAGAGTCGCAACATTGGGCAGGTACACAGATCCTCCTTGCCAAAGCCCAGCAGGATTTGTTCACATCTCCCGATAAGCTATACTTCGAGTCTCAGCTGAAGAATAGCTCTCAAACGCCAAGACCGCAGACAAGCAGCGGTACATCTAAAAAGAAGAGCGCTCGACGTCCATTGTTGCCGCTCTCACAGGGTCATATACCGAGTACTCAAGCACTGCTAGATACGTGGCAAGGCTGGTCTACGATCAAGAAGCCTCATACTGCTTCAATGTCAAATCGAAAGAGCCTAATGCATGAGTCGCCCAGTCTCGGAAAGGCGGGAAAACTTCCAACGATTTCCAATAAGAGCGACGGAGGTGATCGTCGACGCAGTAGTCTACGCGTTACGACTCTCGTACACTCAAGCTGGTTAGGAAGCCCACCAACCTCAATAGTTGCAAAAGAGCCTGTTGTACAGGCGACTGGCATACATCCTGCCCCTCAGGGCGAAGCCGTCATTCCCACGGCCTCTTTTGTGCCGACAAGCTTTCTCGCGGAAGCTGAGAAATCAACAGAACCGCAACAACCAACAAATGATTCGGCTGGTACCGATCTACTTCTTCCTAGCGGCAGGGAGACACAAGAGGCGAGCTTTGATCGGTCTGAGCTCGATTTTACCATTACGCAATTGGCGGAGGAGGTACTAGGGCCAGCGTGTTCAATATCGTTTTGAAGGATGTCCAGGCGGGCTTGTCCGAAGCAAATGTACCGGTGATTCCCCGGATAGAGATGCACGATATGTATATAAATCAATGCTCCATGCTCAGGCGTATTCAATGCCGCTGCTTGGGTAAATGAATGGTAGATGGTTGCCTCGATGACGTGGTTGTGGTGTGTCTCAGGTTTAGGGCCCTCGTGATCAAGATTTCGAGAAACTGTTTTGACCCCCCTTTTTGTGTGTCGATTACAATACTACAGACAACTTTTCGTGCTCGGATCGGCCTGGTGAATGCACTGATCCGGCGCTGTACATTTCCCAACACTTAATATGCACAATCTCGCTAGCAGCTGCCGATTGTCCGATAGTTTATCGTGCGATTCATAAGATAGTAATGTAAGACGAAAATTGCGTCCTTCACTGACGGCCTGCATAAGCCGCGTAAGACCGTGTCACGATGGATCGAGTCCATCGCGATTTGCGCGCGACAAAAGGAAACATCACGCGACGACGGATTCACAGCAACGTGAACTCGGAGAGGTGCAACCACGTCCCAGGCTCATATCGACCCCTCACTTGTGTCAGCTATTTTCAAATTTTGGTTAATCTCGAGCACGATCAGGTATCGTACACATTTGAAGGGATTACCGCGCCCAGCGTCCTCCATATGGTCACCAACCTTTCAAACGTCAATCCGCCAGGAGACTCGCGACTTGCGGCCGCGAGGGCGATCACCATGATGTGAACCCTTGGTCGTCAACGCCGCGGCCTTCATGTATCATGATATCAACATCTTCAGTAATGCATTCTCACGCGACAACTTATCGGCTGGAGTCGGGATATCGGAGTAAACCCGACATTGCTCATGAGAAAAAGCAGATGCCGACGGCACCACAGCCAGGCTCCGAATGTATCACGCTCGTAAAGCCGCGCAGCCCATTGGCTGCTTCAGACTTTCCCCAGGAAATGTGCGACAGACTGTTGAAGGGCTTAATCATTATCGGAAGCGCAATACGGCAAGCGCAAAGCACAAGAACGTAACAAGCCGCAGATCGTTAGGTCCGGCCCGCAGGGATCAGCGACCAATGAAACACTCTCACTTCACACGTTGGCTGGTTTCGTCGTCCGACTTGAAGCGCCGCTGGGGCTCACACGCTCGTCTCCCCGATCAACCCTTTGGCGACGGGGACATGGTTTTCAGTAGTAGCTGTGAGGCGAATCTTACATATGCTTACGAGGACCCGGAGCATTGCAGTCGTTATGTCTCTGCATCATCTAGGACCTGTTTTCGTAGCAGTGCGGGCAACAGAAACATTGTCTCCTTTTCGCGAGCGATATTTACGACCTTGGGTTCCCGCGTGAGCGTTTTACAATTTGAACAAATCCCGCATCCGTGTTCCAGTGCCCCCCAGTCGAAACAATCCAGAGGCACGCGACCCTGGCTCGGCAACATTCCCCTCATATCCCATATCACAATCGCAACCGCAACCGCGAACCTCACATCGAACACTCAAGTGTAACGTAGACGAAATGAACACAATCTCGCTCCTGGTCAATGGCCGAACTGCCGCAGAGATTGCGATGCTTCCGGAGAAGCAGCGATCGAGCATCACCACTCTGACCCGGCAGCCTACGAACACTCCTCAGACGCCGCCTCGGAGACCCGGTCACAATCGCCGTCGGTCCAGTCGAGATTCCCCAGGGTGGTACAACACCGAAGGGGGCATGACGCTCGATGACTTCGCCCATCGGCTCAACACCACGACTAAGCGAATCGAACGATGGCAAGGCGCCTGTGCTCAAAATGTGGTCATGGCACTCATGCGGCCCACTCCAATCGTTCTCTTTCTCTTCAATCCGGTCAGCTTGGTTCTTTGGATGTTGTTTGCTGTTTGGTATCTTTCCGGTCCCATATCAGGTCGAACTGGATGACATCGCCGTGACAAGAAATCTCAACAAACAAATCTCAACACTTTTGTCTCGAATTCCTTCAATGGCGATTTCCGGACTGGCGACTGATAATTTCGCTTGGGTCACGATTCAATATTCTCTGGATCCTTTCCCAATTACAGGTGCGAAGTGGTGACTTCGTCGCATTCGTGGCAGCCGCTGCGATAATCAAACCGCGCCGTGGATGATCGGCATTTCATTGCGTTTCCTGCGGGTTTCACGTTATCCTGGACGCGTGAGCATTCTTAACGAGAAAAGAACATTGCATTTCCTAAGGCGTCCTTTCTTATGGCAGTCGAATAGTCCTTGGTGGGGTCATATTCTTCCCACGTGCTGGCTGGGAAGACGTGCTTGTTTCGCTCATACCATCGTCGATCCACGACCTTTGTCGATCCTGGATCGTCGTTAAATCCTTCGAGCTCAGAGTCATCTACTACGGGAACTGCAGCCGCCTGTTCGGCACGCTGTGCTGCCGTCAACAGTCCAGCTTGCTGTTGTGCGGCCGACAAGGAAGCGGAGCTATCCGGCAAGAGGTGTTTTGGAGTCGCTGATGTGGGCTCTGCGGAGTATGGAAACAAAGGTCCATTGTATCCGATCTTACGATCGACGATGAAGAAGTGGAAGTCGTAATGCTGTAATGATCACGATGAGCATATTTTCGAGTTTGGGGCATGTTGCGCTCATGAGGCGAAGAGTTGAATGCACACGTTTCAAACTTACATGTGGAATGATGACATCGCCTTTGACGACCATCAGGTCATCGACACTGATGCGCGCCCAATCTTTGCGTGTATGCTCGCCTAGTCCGGTCAAACCTGCGCCGACTTTACGTGCGCGCTCTAGGAAAAGCCAGACAAAATCGCCCTTCTTCACCCTGCAAACGCCGCCAGGAATATTCTTCCCACTGTAGAACACAAAGGGAATTAAGAATTCTGTCGCCTTGACTGCTTCTTGAAGCTGCGTATATTCTTTTCTCAGCGCATCCTTCAAATGCGCCTCTCGCAACAGTGCAGATTTGGTCTGCGCTTTTGGTAGGAGCGCAACAGCAGCGTTTGGCTTGAAGGCTCGCTTCACTGGTACAGCAGGAATGGAATCGTCCGACTCTCCTGCCTCGGCTTTCTGCGTCTTTGGTCGAGCTCGCGGAATGCTGGGGGCTGCTACATCGTCATTCTCTTCGTCATCGCCAAACGACAGCCCACCGGCCTTCACGCCCTTCTTCTTCTTCTTAAAAACTGCTTTGGGCCCTGTTCCGCTGTACTTTTGCCATCAGCACCACTTTTCGAGGCATCAGCCGATCTAACATACCCTGCGTGAGGTGTTGATCCACCGCTACTGGTGTCTTGTGCGGCCTCGAAAGCCTCGGCGCGACGTTTGCGAAAGTCTGACAGTTGGACAAGTCCAACGGTATCTGCCTTGAGGCGATCCTCGACGGCATGCGCTTGGGTGGTGAACCGCCCATTACCCACAGGCACATTATCCGGACGATCTGGGTCAGTCATGACTAACATGCATGAACCAAAGTTGTTGGAGGGATGATGTTCTGTGAAATGTTGCGATTAAATGGAGGATCGACAATTATGCTGGCCTCAGGCTTCAAAGTCGTCATAATCCTTGCCCGCTTGTCAAGAATTGTGTCGATCTCATCAGTTGCGTTAGTATTTCATTGTTCTTAGCTACAATATGATTCAATCGAGCCCAAGTTGATTGATCGATATACTTGGTTGGAAATCGGTCAAAATAACAGTAGCTGGTCACAATCGAAGCAAGGGAATATGGTCAAACTCGAAGCAGAATCTGACGACGAGTCATTCAAATCGTTTCATGATGATGAGCCATCGCCGCCTTCCACATCAAAGCAGCCAGCGCCTGAGCATTTGCCTGGCGATAAACCATTAGAGGACAAGCCATCTCGCAAAGAATCTGTCAAGTCTGGATCAAAATCTGGAGGGGAGAAACCTGAGATTGAGCGCTACTCGCCCGAAGAAGAAGCCGCACTGCTCGCGGAATCAAACACTCACAAGACGACCGGCAACAACCTATTTGGAAAGGGCTCCTACGAGAACGCTGTTCAGAACTACGACCGGGCATTATCATCATGTCCGAACTACCTAGACTATGAACTTGCTGTCCTGCGATCCAATGTCGCAGCTTGCCATCTGAAGCTCTCAGAATGGAAGGAAGCTGTAGCCAGCGCAGAGAAGGGTATAGACTGTCTCGAACGGCTTGAGCCTCTTCCACGGACGAAGAAGCCGAGAGCGCAGAGTGGCTCCGCAGCGCACGCAGGCCAACCGCCAGCGACTCCTGATGAAGAGGGCACCGTTGAAGAGGTCGATGACGATCTTGCTGCTCGGATCGAAAACCTTCAAAAGTCCGGTCACACGATAGATGAAGTTCGGCGACTACAGATCAAACTGCTGATGCGGAGGGCAAAGGCACGTACCGAGTTGGGGGGCTGGGCGGCATTGCAGGGTGCGGAGGAAGATTATACGACACTGCTGAACCCGGCAATGGCTGCGGTGCTGACGGCGACGGATAGGAGAACTGCCGCAGACGCGCTCAGGAACTTGGCCCCCCGGTTGAATACGGCACGTGAAGAAGAAATGGCCGAGATGATGGGGAAGTTAAAGGGCCTCGGTAACAGCATTCTGAAGCCTTTTGGCTTGAGCACCGAGAACTTTCAATTTACGAAAGACCCCAGCAGCGGCGGGTACAGTATGAACTTCAATCAGAGTCCAGGCAGGAAATAAGCTTGGGCAGCCAAGATATGCTTCTGCATCATGATGATAGTCCAATCTGTGCGCGCGCATGCGCTTCATTCGACGATTACAATTGAGAAGAATTCATAGGCGTGAGCTTGCACAAAATGGTCCTGACGACGAGAAAATCAACTCTTGAGTGCCTGGAGTCTCCCACGCATCTGCGCGAGCATCTCCTCCGAGTCTAGATCCTCCTCTTCCGCCTCCTGCGAGTCTATCGGGGCAGATGGCCCGGCCGGTAGTTGTGCTCCCGGTGCCGAGACCTTCTCAGTTAAGATCTCGCCCAAAATCTTATCCACTTCGGCCTCGGCCTCCTCCTCCTCATCCTCAAGTTCGTCCTGATTGGGCATGGAATCACTGACCATTTCTTCAATGATGCCCGCTTTGACCAGCTCCTGCGACAGTTCCCGCATGGTACCGGTAAGCTCCGGAAGGCGCACAAGGGTGTTGACATCCTTCATTATTCCCACGCTCGTCCTAATGCTGCCTTCAATTTTTCGCATCGCGAATGCTTCGTTGACCTGCATGCCAACACTCGCCAATGTGGCCTTGCTGGTCGTGAGCCGTTGGGTCTGTTTCCTCATGCGCACCATCTCCTTTGCGAAAATGCGCGTCTCCTGCGCAGCCTGTTTCGCCTGAGAGGGGTTGCGTTGGGCACGTTTTGATGCCTGTATGATTCGAGTCCGAGTTTGGGATTCGAGGGTTTTGAGGTTCATGATGTCACGGTCAAGTTTGCGAGTATTCGCACGCAGGAGCGCGCTACATTTGCGCTTCTACGATGCCGACACCATCAGTATTCTGAGTGATTGGCGCTCAGTGCGAGCACTCAACAAGGACGTACCTGCTCCTCGGGCGTGGGCCCATAGAAGAATCGCCGAACATTGTCCATGTTGGTGCTGATCGGCCGTTGCCGTTATGAGAGCATGACTTGATAGCGCAAGATCGTGTTTACGCCAGATACGACACCGCGATCGCAAGTCGCAGCTCTACAATAGGATGCGCGATTCAAACAATCAGTTCATGACCATGTGATCGGCAGTGAGAGCGATCAGGTTGAGGTCCGGACCTGAACGCGTGCTTGGTCTTGGCGGATGGGATGCGGCAGACGGCCTGATTCTAGCGCGGGGAATTCACGCTTGCACTGATCCGATAACAGCTGCTGGAGTGACGTCGACGTAGTCAATTCCCACGGCTTGCCCAGCTCAAAGTGCCCGGAATTTTGGCTGTTCAAAACGGAGTTTGCTTGTCAATTCACGGAAAAACTCGATATGAATCACTTGAGCAGCCTCACCAGGGTTACATCTCTAGGTATCTAGTGAAGCTGCGAACGTTGAATGAAGTAATCGGTACAAAGCAAAGTCGACACAGGCGCTTGCATCGTACCTAAAAGCTTCCGGAACGAAAAGTCGGGGTCGCCGTTGTTCCAGCAATCGTGATAATTTGTACTACATGTGGGGCAAGACGGCGGCTGCGCAGGTGAAATTGACTCCTTGTTGAAAATTGTCTGTTGCCACGAGTGGCCTGAAGGCGGTTTATAACCGTATCGCATAACAGATCATATCAATCATGGCGACAGCAGTAATCTGGCGTGCGACAATCGGACTCATGGAACTCGTGTTATTAGGTGTGTTCGAGCATTGAAAGTTAACAACAGTGCAGGTGGCACAGACACGAAGCTGCAGCCGGAGGCGGCTTACGCACTGCCACGAGCTTTTGCCTAACTTTCCACCACGTTCGGATACCTTCCACAGTGCCATTCACGACGCCCTCTACCCTGATAATACATATTGAAAACATCATTCACGTTTTCGGTAATTCTTTCTCCTTCAAAGCCTGATTTCGATACACATTCGCAACCATGTCTGTACAACCGACCGACACAACCGACGCAAAAGCGCATGCCAAGACCTTGTTTCCAGAAGGTAAATTGAAAAATCTATACCCATTCGCTTCACAAAAGACTGACGCAAATGGCGAATTACAGTGACTTGGGCGCAGCGCTCGAGCACGACCGAGGCAGAGAAGAACCACGTCTTTCTCTCAATCAATGTACCCGATGTCGACCCAAAGAAGATCAAGCTGGACATTCAGCCGACCAGCTTAGACTTCACCGGTCACAGCGAGTCCAAGAAGGCCGATTACCACGTCAAGCTTGAATTCTACGCCGAGATCGACCCATCAGCATCAAAGGTCAACCACTCGGCGCGAGCTGTGGAGCTTGTCTTACAGAAGAAAGAGCTGAAGGAAGAGTACTGGCCTCGGCTGCTCAAGGACAGCAAGAGAGTGCACTACCTCAAGACAGACTTTGACAAGGTGAGTAGTCTCGCTCGGCCCAGCGGTGGAACTTTGCAATGTTCGTCATACAATTACTAACGGCGAGGTTGTTCAAAGTGGGTGGATGAGGACGAACAGGATACGATTGCCGAGGACGACGACTACATGAGCAAAATGGGTGGCATGCCTGGCGCCGGCATGGGTAGCGATGGCGGTTTCGGTGGCATTGACTTCAGCAAACTTGGCGGTGCTGGTGGTATGGGCGGCATGGGCGGCATGGGCGGCTTCGGCGAGGACGACCTTGGCGAGGAGGAGGAGGAAGAAGATGAGGACGAGGACATGCCTGAGCTTGGTGAGGCCAAAGACGCAGCCGCACCCAAGAAGGAGGGCGGAAAGATTGAGGAGATTGAGTAAATCTGTTCTCAGGCCTAGCTCAGCTCGGTCCCTTGAGTCGCAGATGGCAGACGAAAAACTGGATTTCACGATGTAACGATCAATGCCGCTCCAACTCGAGCAGATATTCACGCGCCACGACTTTTATAGCTTGTGTCTATCAGGCTGGTGCATAGAGGGACCTCCACCGCTCGAAGATATTAAAACAAATGTATTACAAGACACACGACTAGCAAGCAATCCGTGCAGCCATAGGCTTCGACTCAGGCGGAACTCATAGGGTAGAAATCTAGTGTTCCTATGATCCAATTTGTATCTAATACAAACTTGGCGATCGGATATCTTGGAACCTACACATTGATCCACATGCCTTGTCTTTGCCGTCTGACAAACCGTTTTATGTTGAGCCACGTCGGTCGACAGATGGACATGGAATGAGCTCACACGTATTGATGGGTCATCAGAAATTAGCATGCACGTAATGTTGATATCTCGCACCCCATGGGTCACATTGCGTTTGGTGATCGCTCAAAGTATCCGTCACAAGCAACCCATCGTAACATGCAAGTCGACAGCTCGTTGCTAGCACGAAATCAATATTCTTGCTCGGCTACTGCGCAAACATCCTGTTTTGATGAGTTGACTAGTACCTAGGCATCATGCAATTAAGGCCAAAGAACACGGATTCGTGACAATACTGTAAGAACACCTAGGTAGTACTGTGCAAGGTCAACACGCGGCTGTTTCTTCCTTGTGCCGTTTGTCAAGCTAGCCCGAAGTGAGCTTAGCCCCGGATATTACCCGTGCCTCCCCTAGTTCTGGTGGCTCAGCTTTCGCTCGCGTCGCAATTGAAAGAAGTACACGTCGCGCCCGCTTCTCCTTCTGCCTTCTGCCTTCTGCCTTCTTCGATCTCTATCTGACCTTCCGCAACCATCAGCGGCCTCATCATCGCCCTCGCCATCAACAATCATCAATCGTGAGCTTTACATCATCTCAGATCAGCGCTCACATCTTGCTTAACGTTGCAAGGTTCTCTCAAAATCTTTCTTCTGCCATCCTGACCACACATCGGTCATTCAATACTTGCCTTATCACGCGACTTCACACGCGACAACACTGACGCATCTCCTTTGCTTCTTGCTCCCAATCGTTCAGTCGACGCAGCATCGCCGCGCAACAGCAAACGATTTTCCGCCCTCCGTCTAGCACGCATCTCTTCCACGACTCATCAGCTCTCTGCTGTCACTTTGTCTCTTTTGAAACTTCGTCCAAACTTTTGCTAGCATCTGGACTTTCCCACCAACACAACTACAACAACCTCTCCGAACTACCACTCAACACCACAAAACCAGTCGCCATGGCCGCCGTAGGAAACCTCGACCGCACTCTGGAATCCATTGCCAAGGACCGCAAGCCAGCTCGGAACAACAAGCCACGACGTGCAGTCCCTGCGCGCACCGCGAAGGCCACAGTCGCTATCGGCAAAGGCCCCTCTAACGGTATTCAAAAAGCCAAGGCCGGTAAGCCGACGAAGGTCGTAGCTGCACCAGCCAAGCGTGGTGGTGAGAGCAAGATTCAGGTATCAGGCCTGCCCGAAGATGTCAGCGATGCGATGCTCAAGGTATGTTGAGACCGGATCGATCCCGGATACACGCCTCCATGGCGATCATTTTCGACTCTACAATTTGCGCGCCACGCGATCGAAGGATTCTTCAGGCTTTTGCCTCTCGAATGGACATGCAATGTCCCGTCTGTTCGCCTAGCACATGCAGCTCCCTCGAGTGCATACAATGCTATAATGGCTCAGACCAGTTCAATCTCCGCCACGTGCATAAATCCTTATTGCCTGTTCACATGCCTGGCAAGCTTGTGACAGAATCAAAGGTGGCCGGCGTGAAAGCAGTTCTGTTACAGTCCGGAAAGCAAGCAGTAAAGCGGCGAGCATTGGGTGAGGCTCAGTCACAGTATGGTGACCATTGCAAGTACGGTCCATCGTTCGGTCATGCAACGACCGCAGAAGTCTTTGCAGAATGTGGTTGTGCTCTGCAAATAATCGTCGGCGAACTTGACAAACCATGATCTTGGGGCGTCCATTGTCGTTGAGAACGTCGGTCACCCGATGTTCTTGAGAAAATTCCACCGCTTGCTGCGGAACTGCTTGCTTTCTGAATTGCTCCTCTGCCGAATCTGATCCGGACTCATCGATGAAGCTCGACTGCTGGGGCTTTTTGGCGCGCATTGTGGACGCGTATGGCATTGCCGCCGCATGCCGTCAGATCACAAACATTCAGCAGTAAACTAATGCTCTGGTTTCAGGATTATTTCGGCACAGCTGTGGGACCTGTGAAGTCCGTCCTTGTCAACTACGGACCCAATGGACGTAGCCGCGGCTCAGCCACAATCATTTTCTCTAACCCCAGCTCGGCGGCGCGAGCCCTGGAGTTGGACGGCGTTCGCGTCGACAACCGCACATTGAGGGTATGCAATCACGCTACCGTTCATCACATGGGTGAGACTAACTGTTCTCGTAGGTCGAGGTTTTGACAAGCTCTGCCGACCTCCTCACACAAGTTCCCGTCAAGACTCTATCGGATCGCATCTCGTAAGTACAAGCAAAGCCATCTGAACGAAGCGTACGAATGATCTGACATGTACATTAAAGCAAACCGAAGGGTGCTGCCGTCAAGGAGAAGACCAAGCCTGCAGCCGCAGCCGGCAAGCCAGGCGCTGCCAAGGGCAAGGTCGCTGGCAAGACCGAAGGCAAGGGAGGCAAGAAGTCCGGTCGTGCCGGGCGTCCAAAGGCCAAGACCGTTGATGAGCTCGACGCTGAAATGGCCGATTACTTCGGCGGTCCAACCAATGGTGCTGCCAGCGCCGCTGCACAGCCGGCCGCTGCTCCTGCCGCTGCCGCAGACACTGCCATGGTCGATGAGGTTCTCTAAACGCCAGGAGGAGATTTGGATTGAAATGGCTGGCTGGGCAGAAGAATGGCTCAAGGGCGAAGGGAGTGGTAGCAACCGGCGTTGAATGGCTTGTGTTACCTCGAGATTGTATTGATTATGTCACTTCAAATTGTATTGATTACGGACCATGGCACGGATACTGCATTGATTCCGGTTGGTGACATTCCCTCGTTGTTGTTTACTGTGAGGATCACGTCCAGGATTGCAAGACACGTGAGAGTAAGCGTTCACGCATACTGGCGATGCACCGAGCTAGCAATCCCGCACGCTTTTGGGTCATTCGCATCCGATAAGCTAGCTACCTCTGCAGTCTTCTTGAACCCATCGCCGATGGAGCGTGTAGAAGTCTCGGCCCCAGTCGAGCGACTGGTCATTCTCTAGGAGGGAAAGGATTTGATCGCCGGAGAAATGGAAGATTGGCCACTTGCAAGCTCACGTCCAACATGCAAGCGTGAAGGCTCTACAAGGAGGTACCGAATACCGTATAGAATACAGTAGAAAGACATTGGCGCCTATTCCAATTGTGTAGTGTTAGGTACCCTTGGAACCCCAATTCTCTAGGGCTGCCTTGTCCGAGAAGCAAGGCGCGCGCGGCGAAAGATCGGCTGAAATCGACATCATGCCGCCTGGTTCGAATGCCCCGCATTTTTATGTAGAAGCGCGTCATTCTTGGGCAACGTCATTGTTTTCTCTCCGTGGACCGCGATCAACAACATCATTCTCGAGCACCCGGGTTTCTATGTTCTGAGAGCAACGACGAGTAGGACGAGGCGGCAAGATCCTACCAATCGTGAGCGTAAGATGAATCGTCTCAACCCTTTCGATATCCGCAGAGAATCAGAAGAGGAGTGACCCGGACTGTGGTGCATTGCGCTTCCGTTGCCCCACATGACGACTCGTCACTGTAAAGTCAAAATCGGCAATCGCGACTGCCCAAGTTTTCATATGGCCAGGTGAATTGCTGCTGTCTGTACACTGTAAATTTCCCTTCGTCCATTTTAACATCACATTGGCCTCCCTCCCCGCACCGGACGTATTGCGGCTGGCCATTGGTAAGCTCCCAACCACTACTTCACTTCAGGTGGTCAATACACCACGCTTGAGGCGCTCGGGGGAACCACTGGAGTAGTAGGTAGCTTGTTCGTGTGACTCGCGGACTGGGTCCACTTCCTCCGTCCATTGGACTTGCTTCCTCTGGTTTCGACGGGGCGAGAGGATGCTGGACGAAGGCCTCTCTAACGATTCATTCTCCATCGTCGGGAGCGAATTTTACCTGCACAAAAGCGGGAGAGTGGTTCATCGCATGAGAGTGTATACACAGAAGTGAATAGTGACGAACCCTGCGTGCGTATGCGCTACTATTACCACATGCGTGTAGAGTGTAGGTGGCGAATGCGAACCGTCCAATGCCTGTTGGCGACACCCCATTTTTCCCTGCTCCTTATTGTCCTACTGCACAGTCGCACAAAGCTCTACTATCCGCAAAGCTCCAGGTGAATTCCAAGGTTGCCCAGGTGGTATCGAGACGCCTCGCCATCACGGTGCGCTCATGCTCACATACATATAGGTTTCAAACTATCTTCCACATCTCCGTTCCCTCCGCTACCACATTCTCTTTTCCATCTCTCTTTGGCTTGCTCTTTGTTTATTACAGCAAGCTACTATAATTCTCCAGGGCTGTTAGGATTGTCTTACCCATCACGTCTTGTCATCTGAAAAGTCACAAACACCATGTCGGACCTTTCAATCCAACTCGAGACCCCGCACTCGGGCAAATACACCCAGCCTACCGGCCTGTACGTTCTCAACTTCAATCTGTGCGATTCCGTGGTGCCATCGCTTATAATCCTGCAGGTTCATCGACAACGAGTTCGTCAAGGGTGTCGAAGGCAAGACCTTCGAGGTCATCAACCCATCCACCGAAGAGGTCATCTGCTCCGTCCACGAGGCCGGTGAGAAAGACGTGGACATCGCCGTCGCCGCCGCGCGAAAGGCATTCGAGGGACCATGGCGCAAGGAGACCCCGGAGAAGCGAGGCAAGCTGCTCAACAAGCTGGCCGCTCTCTTCGAGCAAAACATCGATCTCCTCGCTTCGGTTGAGTCATTAGATAACGGCAAGGCCGTCACAATGGCCAAGGGTGATGTTGGCGCTGCTGCGGCCTGTCTCCGATACTACGGTGGCTGGGCGGACAAGATCGAGGGCCGAGTCGTCGACACCTCACACGACACCTTCAACTACGTCAAGAAGGAGCCCATTGGTGTCTGTGGACAGATCATTCCATGGAATTTTCCAATCCTCATGTGGTCGTACGTTGGGCGATGTTTCGCGGCGCAAATTGAGTATAGGACGCTAACAATTCATGCGTAGATGGAAGATCGGACCAGCTATTGCCGCTGGTAACACTGTTGTCATGAAGACCGCGGAGCAGACGCCCCTTAGCGCTCTCGTGGCGGCTACCTTGATCAAGGAGGCTGGCTTCCCTCCTGGTGTCATCAACATCATATCGGGCTTCGGAAAGATTGCGGGAGCAGCCATTGCTTCGCACATGGACGTTGACAAGGTCGCTTTTACTGGATCCACCGTCGTCGGTCGCACCATTCTCAAGGCGGCTGCAAGCTCGAACTTGAAGAAGGTTACCCTTGAACTGGGCGGCAAGAGCCCGAACATCGTGTTCGAGGACGCTGACCTCGACAATGCCATCTCATGGGTCAACTTCGGTATCTTCTTCAATCACGGCCAGTGCTGCTGTGCTGGTTCGCGTATTTACGTCCAAGACACTATCTATGACAAGTTCTTGGAGAAGTTCAAGGCGCGTGCTGCAGCGAACGTCGTTGGTGACCCATTCGCCAAGGACACCTTCCAGGGCCCGCAAGTGTCACAGGTCCAGTTCGACCGTATCATGGAGTAAGTGCTACATGCCTGTAATTTTTCCCGCTTGTAACGGTGCTAACAATCATTCTCACTACAGGTACATCAAGCAGGGTAAGGAGGGCGGTGCCACCATCGAGACCGGAGGCAAGCGCAAAGGCGACAAGGGTTACTTCATTGAGCCTACCATCTTCTCCAACGTGACCGAGGACATGAAGATCGTGCAAGAGGAGATCTTCGGCCCTGTCGTCACCATCAGCAAGTTCTCCACCAAGGAGGAGGTCATCAAGGCTGGAAACGGCACCACCTACGGTTTGGCCGCCGCCATCCACACCAAGAACCTCAACACTGCCATCGAGGTCTCGAACGCACTCAAGGCCGGTACCGTCTGGGTCAACACCTACAATACCATCCACCACCAGCTGCCTTTCGGAGGTTACAAGGAGAGCGGAATCGGTCGCGAGTTGGGTGAGGATGCATTGGCCAACTACACTCAGACCAAGACCGTCAGCATTCGTCTCGGCGATGCTCTGTTCGGTTAAGCCGGTTGCTTGGGCCTAGGTGAAGGAAACGGAAAGGCGACATGAAATCATGAGAAAAGGCGACAGACTGTGTAACGAATCTCGTATGTACTGTATGAACATCTCAAAATGACATCGGTGAATCCCTACGTCTCGTATTTCGCCAACAAATGAATCCATGCATAGTGAATCCATGCGAAGCCAGGATCTCGTGGACATTGGCGATTTCGATCCCAATGCAGTTTTGTATCATAAGACTTCGCTCTAATCACATTCCGACAAACTGATGGTCAAGCGACTGAAGTCGATTGAACAGCCTACGTGACACGTCAATCACGAAGGAGCATCGTCGAAAAACGACAAGCCCAACGACAACCCTAACACACGACCCTAAGACGCTCTAAATGACCAGACTCTCCAGGTTTCATACGTCCCAAGTCATCAAGCACCGGAGCACTTTGCTTGGATGAACAAGCGATGGAGAGTATCGTCCACATGATTGTAGACGTCCGCCGCCCCACTGCAGCATTTACGAGTCGAACAATGTTATGCAGCGCATGTCTCAAAAATGTACAGTATACACAGCTTGCACGTCGACCGGTTTTCTCCGCATTCATCACCCGTTACAGACCGCGAGCTTCATATGCATGCTTTCGATATCGTCACATGGACGCCCCGTTTGATTCGGAGGGACGATGACAGCCGCGGCATGGCGTATACATGCACATGCAATGTCACCGTGTTGTAGATAGGGATGTACAGTTGTTGCCTCCCTTCGCCTGAGCAGTGTCCTTCTCACTCCCAAATACTTCATGTGACGGCGAGTGAGGGCTTTTCGACAGAAATCTCAAGCATGCATGGCTTCTTCCACTTCTGAAACAGACCTTTTGTAAAATAGTGTGCGCTAGAACCCGCGAGGGCCGAATGTGCATGGCCAGTATTTACGAGGCTCCATGTCCCGACACTCAGGTGCGTGATAGGGGTTTGCTTTGCCCAGTTTTCCAAGAGGGAGATAAACGAACCCAACAGATTGGAACTGTCGACGGCTTTGCTACCTCGTAGTTTTGCTCACCGGTGATGCCCGTATCGTGGCTTTCTCTCGTTTCGGCTCCGCAGTTCCACATTTCCCCGTTGCGTTGACCACTCCTCGGCAGGGCGATCGTCAAATCCTGCTGCGTTGATCTTATGAAGCACTTCGAAGTCATGTCTGGAACAAAGGTACAGCAAGACCGCTATCTCGGACGTTACCTCTTCATGCACGTTGGGGATCGATTGGCTCTCATAGGTTGTTTTCGTATTGGATGGGCGGGCGTTGTTGATGATGTGCGGTCTCAGATGTATGGACGTGCCTCTGCTGGAACATGTTTATCACATAGTATGTTTCGGCTGACGGGAAGCGGAGACAAAGATACCACGATACATGTGGAATTACAGGTTGCATCTAAGTCAAGATCGTCGACAATATAATTGTTTGGGTCGCCCGGTGAGAGAACCAGATGCGTCTCGAGAGTCTCGGGTGGAAACGGAAAATTCATGTGGGAAGGGCTGTATTGCTTATGCGAGAAGTATCTCTGTACCATATTTCTACAGGCAAATGGGTTGCGACAGATGACATTTGAGCGATATACAATCGTCTTGTACACAGCCTATGACTGAAAGTCTGACCCGAATACCTCGGCGCAGGCAGGCATGAATCCTGCGGACGACAACAAAAAAGACGGCTCGCAGGGTCGGATGGTCATCATCTAACGAGGCCAGCGCTTGACTGCCGCCCGATCGGAGCAGAGGAAGGATTCACGGCAGATGAAAGTGTCCGTGTTGATGCCCTTTCTCCCTGCGTTTCGGCCTCGGATTTCGCTGCGACTTGTGGCGTCTGCACAGGGCATTTGTTGTTCCTTGTTTCTTCACCAAAGCGCAGCTTTGATGAGAAGGAAAAACAATCATGTGGTCGATGCGCCGGAGCTTTCTCCACATGATGACGCCCTGCGCCATTTTCCAAACTACGAGGAATGGTGACGGACAACTGATATGCGCATGTGTCTCAGGTGACAGTCTCGTCAAGAGTAATCGTTCTGATTGTAATATCCGAGACAACCTCAATCGTCGACGTTGGAGACGGTGGGCTGGGCCTGGGCCAGGCTGATCAATTTAGGTTCTGACGAAGAATCCCGAGGCTCTCGATTGGCACAGTCTAGTCTCCGTTGGCTTTCGGCACATGTTCCGCGCCCGTTCACGCCGCAGCCCCGAAACCGAGCATTATCATCAGAGATTTGGTGGTCCCGGGCCACTTTGGGCGTAGAGGTCCTCCAGAAGGGCAATCAAGCGGTGTCGCCCGCAAGGTCACTGGGAAGCCTGGGTGTTTGATATTGATGACAATGTATAAAGTAATAGTGTCAAAAGTAGTGCGTCCCGGGGAAAAGGGTCGGCTCTTTGACGGGCTGGGTTGGGCAACCACCACTCCATCCGACAGCCCCGGAACAACACATTCCATGCACTAACCCACATCTGACGAGCCAACAACAAGATTACATGGTTGATGAGGACGATCAGGGGCATCGATGGCTTGTAGTCCATCGTCATCGTCATCATCGTTGTTGTTTTTGTTGTTGTTGTTGTTCTTCTTCTCATCGTCATCATCGCCTGGTGGCATTGAAGCCTGCGGTGAATACCAAACCAGCGTTTTGCTCCAGCGCTTCATTTCCCTGCCATCCCATGAACATACAGTAGAGTGCCGCTGAATCGTTCCCTCCCGCACCGACCGGACGATCGTTTCCGAACGTGCGTGAAGATCACAACCTCTCCTGCTTTCATCCACCACGCGTGCCGCTGGTCGCATTTCCGGTCGAGCATGACCTACTGTAGGTACCCAGGGCAGAGACATCAGACGCAGAAAGTCACGCCTCTCGATGTATGGGCAGCATGCCGGCCCTACGGTGCTTGCTGTGGGTCGACATTAGCACCATAGTGACACCGCATGCCGGACTATGTCGATACGTATACATGGATGACAGGTATATTCACGAAAGATAAGGAGATAGCGACTGGGAATGTCTTTACCCTGCAGGGCCCTATCGCCTCGCATGCGCTTATCCAGATTCCGGACGAGAGAGAGAGCGACTCATGGATCTGCTGCAGACCGAGACTGTCGGTGTGTTAGACTGAGTTCAATATGCAGTGGACGTGTCTCGCATCGAGATGTCGAGACCACCATTGTATCATGACCGTCGTCAGCATCGTGATTTCTATGACATGTGGGAAATCATCATAGAAAGGATTTCCAGAACAGTCGGGTTCCGGGGAAGAGCAAGCATTAGACTTCCCAGGTTGTCATTAGTTGCAGCGGGCAGGGAAAGTCAGCGGCGATCGATGGAGAGGAAATGCTGACGTCGCATTGTTCAAGCGGTATGGCCATCAAATCGATTGGGCGGATCGGGCCCGTGCGCCGATAGCGGACGAATTGCAACCTCTGCAGCGTCACACGTTTCGAATGTCTGTTCTCTGCGTCCTTCCACTTCACCTTTGCGTCCAGTCAACTTCCTTGCGATCGCAACGTGGGCCTCCTCTCTCTGTGTATCTTCTCTCCTCCCGGGTCTGGAAAAAGGGCAATTGGAGCCCTGCGCATCTCCCCGAGAAACCACCACCACCGCCATCACCACCATCATCTGGGCAGACTGGGCCCGTCTACCACACACGTTCATCGCCTCTCGTCCTCTACCGGTGCACCGTCCGCCAAGGATTTGTTGGCGCATCGGTATCATTGTCCTTCCTGTGCGTTTGCGGCACTGGTGTGTGTGTGTGCCACTCTACGGTACAGATTGTACAGTGCTGCACGTACGTCGTGTGGTGTATACGTGCGTGAGAGTGTGTCTCGCGCATCGGCAGGAAGCAGCACCGGCAGCAGCAGCAGCGACGGCCAGCAAGCAGTGACCAACAGTGCGCTGCGCTCCACGATCCCCAATTCTCTCGATCCGCAACGCCAATCTTCCCGCCCCGTGGGCCCTTCAGTTCCGTGCCTCACCTATCGCCCGATTGCCAGCAGGATCCGGCTCGCCCACCCACAGCAGATTCAGGGCAGTCTCCTGGAATTGGTGTCACATCACTCACTGTATCCCAGTTAGCCTAAGCCTTGCGAATGCACTGTCCGCTTCCCGCGCAGTCTTCCCATTGGCCTCTAGAGATCCGATGTCATCCTCATGTCGCCGGCTTTCTCTGGAGCGCAAGACCGCTCGTCTTCGAGCGTACCCACGGCCAAAGGGAACGAGGATCCCTCCCACGATGTCAGCAGCGTCCTCACTCCGACAACTTCGAGCCCTGAGGCGGTGGACACTCCCGCGGTAGATCCAATCACCCATGATCCATACAAGCTTTCGACCGTTCACAGTACACCTCCCTCGCCTTCTGACGATCGCCTTGTACGAGCTACCAAAGTCGGTGGTCTTTCACATAACCTTCGTCCCTCCCAAGAGCAACAGAAACAGCAGCAGGAGCATCGCCATCGCCATCCGCAGCCTCGACGAACTTCACATACATCTACATCGCAGGATGATTCCCGGCCTCCACTGTCCGAACGGGACAGCATATTTGCAACCCATTACACCATTTCCACCCCATCTCCCATAACGTCACCGCCGGCAACTCCAGAGTATCGCGCGCCGGGTGTGCGCTCACGGAAACCAACCCGCTGGCGATCAGAATATCCGGTTCGGGACCAGGACACCATGGCGATGTCTTCCACTACTTCAATGTTATCACATGTTCATGCTATAGATTTCGCCGCCCTTCGCCAAAAGGACCTGCCGGAATATTCACAGGCGCACAGCCCGCTGCAAACACCTCGACCGAGACCTCACCGATCCAATATTCGCTCGCAGCACCACCGACGATCACTCTACGATATCCACGATCTGAAAAACATCACACCCTTGCCTGAAAACGCCATTCAGCCGGCTTCAGCACTCCCTCAAGAGGAGGAGTTCATACCATCCACACCGTCTACGCCCCTTCCTCTCCCAAGAACTATCGACGACAGCCAAGATCTGGAGCGAAGCACAGAGAGGCAGATATACAGGTCATGGAGACAGGGTCAGGCGAAAATGAATGGCTTGTCAATAGCGCAATCACAGCGGCCACCGGCCCAGGCCAAGGTCGGAATGGACAAAATAATCGACGCCCAGCTACCGCTAGAACCTGTATCAGCCAATGTTCGTAGCCGTAAGGCTAGTCATGCCATCGGTCTCTTCCGAGAGAATGATGCAGCCCAAAGACGGCAGAATGAGAAGAGGAGGGTCGAACCTAGCAAAGAATACCGCGCGGAACACGTCTCGCAGCAATCTCAACTGACCAAGGAGCTCGCAGCACAGGCATTGGAAGCCTCCGAGCCACGTCGTCAGGCTACCGATCCTGGAACGACAGAAGATGGAAACAATGTGACCGTGTCTAAAGATTCCATGGCGCAGAGCCTTTCTCTCGAACTTCTAGAAAAGGAGATTAGCAACCATCAGGATCTCAAGCCAAGCAATGTCCGCAAGACATCGTATCTGGTTGAGCCGAGCGTATCTCACGAGCCAAAGCAATCCGGCTCTGACAGTGCACAGCGTCCTTGCAAGTCGGATGACGATGATTCAGATCGAGAGCACATTCTGTCCGCGACGTATTTCCCTCATACCGGTGTCATTCTTGGCGAGTCACCCACCAGCGAAGAAACACTGGGACGCAAACCTGCATCAGTTGATCTCGAACACTCTCAGAATCGGCTTCAAGCCGACGACGTACAAGTCGCACTGCAATCTGACGGTTCGCGTAATTACCTTCATGGAGATTTCCCTCGTCCAGCTTCTGAAGACAAATCGTCGATTTCCAAGGTGGCAAGTGAACCCTCAGACCTAGCATACGAATCCGAATACGAGACAGAGTATGGCTACGAGTCCTTGGCATCTGAAGACGAAGATAACGAAACGGACACCACACCCACAGCCACTCCCGTCATACACGCTCAAACGAAAGGGGATGGTTCACGATCTGCGCCAGCCCCTATTGGCGCTGTGGAGTTGAAGCCTTACAAGCATCAAGTCGGTGGCCACACTGCTCTGTACAGATTCTCACGCAGGGCTGTATGCAAGCAGCTGAACAGCAAAGAGAATATGTTTTATGAGACAGTAGAAAGACACCACCGTGATCTACTCGGATTCATGCCACGATACATCGGTGTCCTAAACGTGACGTATCGCAAGGACCAAAAGCGCCGGAAGCAACTCGCATCATCCGATGGAGCCAACGCCACGGAGGAGACGAATCAAAACGGCGCAGCAGCAGCTAACGACAAGTCTAATCATGGTACACCTGCCGTACAAGCAGATCAGCCGCGCGTGATCAGCCACTCACTCCAAGCGCCCGCTTTAGCCCCCCAAGTCATCTTTGAGAACAATCGGCATCTCATCCCCGACGACCTTTTCCGCATTCCGCCTCGCTCCATGACACCCGATCCCCACCGAGTGAGACAATCACCACCGAAGCGCGAGAACTACAGCGACGACGAAACGTCTAGCGGTCATCCCGATCGCCCTGCACTAAAGCCTACATCGAGCTGGGGGTTTACCTCTGTCAACCGCAGGCTCCGCGACCACGTTCTTCGCGAGGTGTTTGCACCGCCCGTCATCCATCGTCATGATCGCCGCGAACGAGCATATCACGCACGAACGTTGCGTCCGACGCCAAAGTCGATCCCGCATCCTCTAACACGCAGAGATACTTCGACCTCATTGAATGGTTGTCCTGACCTGGACGAGCCTCCGAGACTGGAACTCGATGCAAGGCGGCAGGCATTCCATAACCAGCGGGAGAGGCGCAGACTCGACGATGCTGATCGTTCCGTCACCGACTTGGATCAACTCCTTCAGGAGCGTTTGGCATTCGAGGCTCAGAATGGTCTTAGCAAGAGTGCTGAGGCATCGGAAGTTGACCCAGCACCCAACGGAACGGAACGACACCGTCGACGGCGTCATTCAGGTGGAGGTCTCCGAAGAGAGATTCACGACATCGATGGCGCTCGAGGTGCTCTCGAGTTTCATGAGGATGAGGCATATACTGCTGATGCTGAGGACGACGTCTTCGCAATGGACGACGTGATGAAGAATGCCACGGACTCGAAGCATGATTCCAAGTTGCTCTCTGCGGACGCCGTTCCGCCACCAGCAAGTGCCGCAAGTGCTACAGATGCCACCGAAAGTCCTTCCGACCTCAGCTTGGGCCAAACCTTTGGGGAGTTCGTGCCCCGAAACCCGGAGATCTCACTTGTGCGACAAGATGAGCGTGTGGAGCACTTCCTGCTGCTAGAAGATCTTACCGCTGGCATGCAACGTCCATGCGTGCTTGACCTCAAAATGGGCACGCGGCAATACGGCGTTGAAGCAGACGAAAAGAAACAGGCTTCGCAACGTACCAAATGTCGGACCACGACTTCGCACAAGCTCGGCGTGCGAGTTTGTGGTATGCAAGTGTACAATGTCAAGACTCAATCTTACACCTTCGAGGACAAGTATTTCGGCCGGGATCTCAAAGCCGGACAAGAGTTCAAAGATGCGCTGAAGCGCTTCTTCTTTGATGGTATCGGTCATGCGCAAGCCCTGAAACACATTGCATCGGTTTTGGAAAAGATCAAAACCTTGTACAGCATCATTCAGGAGTTGCCAGGCTACCGGCTCTACGCTAGCAGTCTCCTGCTGATCTACGACCGTGGCGATGCCGACGAAAACGGCAAGTTGCGCAGTAGCCCCAATGGCGAGCACAAGCAGTCCTTGCCGTATCCCGACATCAAGCTGAAGATTGTTGACTTCGCCAACTGCGTCACCGCCGAGGACGCCGAGGTCGTCAAAGCCAAAAAATGTCCGCCGCGCCATATGGATGCCGTCGACAGTGGCTATCTTCGCGGTCTTCGATCACTCCATCTGTATTTTCGCGGCATCCGTCAGGAGCTCGTCGCCGCCCAACGACACGTCGAGCGTGGCGAGGGAGAGGGCATGGCTATGAGCTCGAGGAGTGTGTTCTCCGACACTGGCGATATGGAGCCTCTTGACGGATCACACCTCGATCCGGGAGAAATCAGTCTGTGAGACTACACCCGTCTCCTCACCGTTTCCCGGATTACCCTTCGAGCATAACGGAAACGACGAAACAACACAATCGCTTCTTTTGAGGAATGCCCCATGGCGGATCTCCTCCGGGATTGAGGTTCATACGAACATCTCCCGTCACGTCTTTAACGCAGCACCAATTTTTCTTTTTGGAATACTCTATCATTGTCTGGGTCGGCTCTTTCGCTCACGTTCGTCTCCCCCACTCACGGGAAAGTCGCAAATAGATACAACGTGTCTCGCATGACACATGGCGCAACATGGGATTGATGATTTTGATTTCTCTTTTCTGGGCAACGAGGATATTTGTCTATCTTGGTGGCTCTCATACTGTCATGCTGTCAAGATACCCTCCCTCATTGACCTTAATCGTCGGCTTCTTCCTTTTTCTTGCTGCGGGATTTTAGCATGGCGCTGGCGGTGGGCAAAACTCGAACGTTTGATCCCCACTGATTGTCTGTCTGTTTATCTTCGGTCTTGGTTTCTATTGCGTGGTCATTCGGCCTCTCTCTCTTCGTGTCCACTTTCGATCGGCGTATGTTCTATTCTCACACACACATATATCCAATGTACCAATCTTTCGCCCTTTTCGATCGTGAAATATGACCTTGGAATGAACCGATGCATTTCCTCCGCGTTGACCTGCTTCTCGGATGCGTGTCGGAGCACAAAGGCTCTCAAGATATTTTTTCTCTCGTTTTCAAGATTGCACCTGCTCTCCATGCTCAATTAACAAAGAGTCTCGATGACTCTTCTTGCGTCCTATCCTCGACTCGTGTTGACTCTTCAGTAGACGAAGCGAATCTCACCCATGTCTGTGAGTGATCTCTGACCCGGAGAATCCACAATGCATCATCGCGACCGAGATCGAAACAGACAAGAGACAGAGCGGCCTTTCGACCCCACTACACTCTGCATCCGGCATCGATAGCAACACGTCCAGTCCACGTGAGTCCGCTGCTTAATTCGGAATGCATCTCATGGAGGATTACCTCACGACGAAGAGGGACGGTCAGAGGTAAGGAAGGCACCAGCCACAATCCTTCCCGGAGACCGACGCGGCGTAGGCGGCGGGGGAGCCGGGGACCACCCACGTGTGCCTAATCAGTCGAAGGCCATCGTTTTATGATTTTTGTCTCGAGACGAAGGAAGCATGACAGCGGGAGGATGCGATGAATTTCGCTCTACATTCCATGGTGGCCATGCTTAACCTTCAATCAGTCTCGTCCCCAACACAGGCCTGTCGTCGGTATATTGATGCGGAGGGCCGGGGTTTTGCTGGCAATGCCATTCACCCGCTGCTTCGGGTGGGGCTGCTGCGTTGTAGATCGAGATAGGTCTGAGGAATGTTACACGTGATGCGGTCGGACTTTACCATCACGTGACCATCCACCTCGCTCGTGCGCGGAGGACTCCACTTAGGGCAGGAGAGGGTGCAGTGTAGTCTCCCGTGGCGATCTTCCGGCCTCTCTCTGGGCATGACGCAGTCAGCTTGGCTTACGTATAGTATACTTCATCTTTGATCGCCAGAGGTGCATCATCACGTTGTCCGGCTGTGAGCGGGCACGCTAGGCTGGTTCGGGGTCTTGTCCCATCCGTTATTTGCCTTCCCTTCTTCAGAAGCTTCCAACGCGCACACCAGAGCTAGCGGCCGTCGGTCCGATGGGCTGATGTCGGCGCTTTGTTCCTGCTCCAGGCCAGTCCATACTGCCCGGACTCCTCTTCACTGATCTTTGCACGTTCGCCTGCATGTGGCGATCGATGGCGAGGATGGAATGATTCGTCCGAGGCCTGATGAGTCACAAACGCTTCCGCGCTCACATCCCCATGCGCGTCGTCATCGCCACGGGGCTGTGGCACAGCAAATGATCTCGATCAATTAGGAGTTGTTCATGAAGTGATCACACTCGGCTAATCCGAGTGGATGTGACGTGTGCCGCGAAAGCCAGTGGATACGGGCAGCGCTTACTCGCTGATGATGCGAGACGAATCCATCCGTATGTGGATGCTGCAGTCGACGTCGCACCCTCCTTTCCTGCAGGTGGCTATTCTAGGAAAAACAAACGAAACGCCCTTTGCTGCTGCTTTCAAGGTCTCCACTTAGCTGCATGTGCTGTGTCGTGAGTGGAGAGCTCTAAAGTCGATTTGGCGCCGGGAATCAGCTGGATGCAGCAGCGAGGTCGGACGAAGCAGGTCGCTATGGAACCATAATCGCAGGTGGTCTTTCAAGTAGTGTACTCCTCTTGTACAGACGCACGCATCACGACGAGAGCTGATCTGCTTTGCGTATATCCGGCCGTGCCGAGCAAAGTACTGTATCCCGATGGCACATTGCAACCACCGCGTCATCATTCGCTGTTGCGCAAAAGACGCGGCGCAGCCAATACGGCAACGAGGCTGCTATGTCGGAGACTTAATTCGCCGGTTAGCGAGCTTGACGGCAATCACCATGTGCTCATTAGTATCGCTCGATCACGAGAAGGATGTTGGGACAGGCCAACGAGGTGGCGTCTGACGCACAACACATGCATGAGCGGCCTAGTAGGCGACCCATCACAGCACATGGCAAGGCGTGCTCTAGAGTGTGGGCAGTCAGCTGTTGGGACTTCATTGCTAATCGTGATAATGACGATGACGGTGCCGCGCCTGGTACTGCCATCGCAGAGCTGACCCGCAGAGTCACAGCGGTACTCTAGTACATTCGTGAGATGTGTGATGAGAGCAGCATGTATCCAAGTCTTCAGGGCGCGTAGGTGCGGAGAGGGATAGACGGCCAGAGAGATGGTGTGTTGGTGAAGGATGAGGCGCCGCCTCTGAAGAACTTCTTCGGCCGAGATCTGCTGTACACAGTACATCAGAGGAGGAGGCGCACACGGCACATGCTTTCTTCTTCGCATACCACCAGTACATGCAGAGTACTTGCTACCTCCCTGCCTGAAATGCACCACCATCTCCGAGCGTCGCGAACTAGGACGACAATTGGCTCTCGTCGTCGTCCTCTCTACTAACGAGGAACATTTAATCAATTCTGCAGAGAAGAGGGATCCACGAGAGGTTTGCGCCATGCCATCTTGGCAGTCATCATCGGACGTGCGGCCCGATACTGGCGAATTTGATTGATGAGCGTGCCTGGCGTAATTGACGAGATGTCGTCGACGCCCCTATCACATTCGCTCGTTGGGAGAAAAAGCCAGAGCTTCCTCGGCGTCCTATTCGTGGGAGTAATTGCAGCTCTCTGACCACCCACGTTGTGACAACAACTGAGACAGCATATTGAAGGATCGTCAGCGTGCGCGAGGTAAGTACCGTGTCTCGCTAACCCGTTTCCCCATCCCGTGGGAAATGTACATGTCCTGTACCTTTTGTGTGAGAGAAAGGAGGCGTATGTCATCAGTGTGGGAAGCAAATGTTGTTGTCAACCCGTTCGTCTGTTTTGCTCACTGGTGGTTGCCTTGATTTCGCGAATTGCGCCCTCCGATGATCTTGTATGACCATGAGTCAGAACAAGAACAACTGCCGTGAGGTCGCGATCACGCATATATGGGTTCTACAGAACATGTTCGCATACAGGAAATAACGGCTTCCCATCAAACATGCACGATGAGAGCAGACCGGTGAGCGAGCGGATCGGCCAACGCGGGTCGCAGATCAACATACGCCTCCAGCGCACTTGATGTGGTGGAACGTAGCTCGCGTAATCACCAAGTCGTGATAATCCTCCTGCCTTAGTTGAATGTCCGACCAGGAGGGATTCTCGGAAAACACGAAAAGAGGCATTCGGGTTCTCTCCCTTTGATCCTCTGACATTCGGTCAAATCATCATTTATTTTACATGCGGTATGCGCGCGTGGGGGTCTCGTTCTGAGAGCCGCGCATGCCAATTTCCAGGCCCCAACACCACATACAACAAAGGCGTTCATGTGGCGTTTGTGTTTTGCAATTCCCGAAAGGTGATGAAACAAGGGAAATCCGCCCGTCATCGACCGCAGCGAGGTCCGAGTGGTCGCGACGATCAGCCTCGGGAGGATCATCAGAGGAAATGCTGGTAATTTATTCTGTTGGGAACGGGTTTCCCGATCTTTGAAATTGGAGGAAGGAAGGATGGAGGAAAGAGAGGGAGGGAGGATAGGGATCAAACTGCCCAACGCGCAGCCCTGTCGCTCATCGCAAACAATCTTTGCGCCTGATAAACTTACGGAATCCAATGTCACGGAAACGAGGCCCACGCCCGCGATTCTGCATGTGTGTCAATCAGCATCGTAAACACAGCCAGCTCCTGAAAAGAACGCAGGCCTCCCAGAAAGCCAAAGTCTAAAAATAATGGCCGGCCAGTTCAACGAAAGTCTATGCAATGCGACGCACATGCATGGCGCATGGATTGAAGGATAAGCCAGCAGCGGCGCCTGCAGGAGGGCAGGCAGTTCCTTAGACTCCGCCCTTTTCTGTTTCCATTTATCTTTTTTGGCGCGCACGCCGTCGGTTGCGCCCTCTGCTGCTGCTGCTGCTGCTGAAAGGAGGCGCGCCCGAGAGGAAATCTAGCACGTGCATGCTCGCTTCGTTGCTGTCGTTGTTGTCTACGTACGTGTGCCGGCAGGAATGTTGGCAGGAACCCGGGAGTGGCAGCAGTGCTGTGCCGTTGCCGCCCGGTCTCGCGGAGGCCGCGTTGTGCCCACCCGGACGGGACAAGGGAGTTGGGGGTCTGGATGCGGAAAGCTTATCTGGGATCTTCCTTCGGTTTGGTTTGGTGAGTTGTGGTTCATGTGGTTTGGCGCGGAAGAAACATGCATCTGGGTGTGATGATGAGGCTCTGTTCATATTCAGCCTGGAATTATTTTTGGAAGGGTAGAGAGGAGGGTTCGGAGACGGAAGGATACTGCGCTCCGAACCAGACTCGGGAGGTGAGGCTCTGGAAATACGTGAGACCAATGGGATTTATATAAAAGATGTTTCGGTTTAGAGGGATCTCTCGCAAGAGTGGTATCTAATGCAGTAGTGAAAAATGCTAAGAATTGGAAGAATATCAACAATGACCAGCCAAAGGGGCTTTCCCATCCGGGACAAGATTGCCTTCGGATAGTAACAGATGTGCGCCGTGAAACAAATTTGCAGAGACTCCATAATCCAAATCCAAAAGCAGCGCAATCCATAGCCTCAGATCGAAACCATTCCATCCTCTAGACGTCCTGATCAACGTCGTCCTCCATCATACTCGCTGTAAGCAAAACGTTGGCATCCTCGCAAAGATGGGTATCGGACTTCCGCTGAAAACGACTTTTGATCCGCCGCGCCAAAACAAAACCGATCTGCGAAACGCTCGATAAAAGACAAAAAGCTCTCATGTAATTCCGATCAAAGAATGACCCGTAGGCCAAGAGAAGAACCATGCTGATGGCTGCAAGAGTAAAAACAAAAGCCAATACTTGTACAGGGTTGATAGGTAAGCAACACCTTGCCCTGCCATCAGCATCATATGCAAAAAAAGTTGAAGAAGCAGGCCTCGCAATGGCGTCGACCAGGTTGTAAAAAAAGGATTAAACTCCGCCGGATGGTTGTTCGAAAATAACTCCGTCCAGTAACGCGGCAAAGGGGTATCACAAAGCGGATCGCAATGCAATGATAAAACGGAAAGAGTCCAAGGATGAGGGAGCAAGGGCAGGGAAGCCCTGTCGCGAAACAAATTGGGTCCATCCGAGATGACCGAGGTCATCGTCTAGGCGCTAGGGTCACGGGTGATGGGGAGGCAGTTGGCGTCGTAGCGGACCAACCAGGTGCGGATGTGCTGCATGAGCTTCTCGGTGGTGCGCAGCTCGCAATCGCGATCGAACATGGCCTCAACAAAGGCCAAGCCGCTGCTCTTGCCCATCTGACGCTTGCCTTCGTGGTCCTTCTTGGAAGCCTTCCACATGTAGGACTCGCAGATCTTGAGCAACTTGTTGAAGCGTTGCCAGATGCGCTCGCCGGAGTCGAGGAACTCGTCGAGCAGGTCGCGTGAGGCTTGCGAGCGGACTCGGTTCATGACTTCCTCGGCGATCTTGATCTTGTGGGAGAGGTTGATGAGGAGGACCCAGAGGTCGCCGGCCTCCTCGGCCAATGGGGATTGAGCGCCGTAGAAGAAGGCCGACCAGTCGTAGATCCACTTGCCGAGGGAGTCGGCGTCGAAGACGCTTCCTAGAAGCAGGATGGGCTCCTCACTCGGGTCCCAGAACTTGATGGAATAGCCAGCTGGGATGTTGTGGCGCGCGGCGTCGGCGGCAGTGGCCTCGCGCTTCTCCTTGGTCGCCGTCCTGGGTCGCTGAGGTTGCCGAGGTTGCGTGGGCTTGGCAGCATGGTGAGCTCCGAAGGAGGCCCGGCGAGGTCGTGGGTCGCTCGGCTGTGCGGCCGGTTCATAGACACGTTCCTGATCATGGTATCGGTGATCAGTGGGGGACTCTCGGTAACTCTGATAACGATAGTACGGCGGCGGCCGCGGTTCATGTTGCTCGTAGCGCGGCAGATACTCGTCCGACCGACCATGGAAAGGGTCATCGCCGTGGCGTGGTCGCGAGGGGTATTGCGTATAGCTTGAGTAGTACTCGCGCTCATGGCCGCCATACTTGTCCGTCGGCACTCGGTAGGCATGAGTGCTCTCACGAACACGTTCAGAGTCACTTACATAGTCGGGTCTGCGCGCCGTCTTGGGCGGTGCTGAGGAGTAGTAGGCGTACTCGGGGGACGTGTAAGTGTAGACCTTGCGAGGGGTTGTGTTGGTCGATGTGTAGGCATAAGTGCCATCTCCCGTGGCCCTCCGGGCATGGCCTTTGGGTGGAGGAGTCGCGTAAGTGGTATGCCTTGGAGAGTAGTAGTGGCCTCCGGCATATTGAGGAGTGGCCGGCGGGGTCCGGTAGTCATATCCTGTTTGGAACCCGGCTGGAGGGATAGGATATCCTGCTGTCTGGAATGATGCCATCGCGGCTCGATGGCGAGACGTCCAGACGCGCCTCTAACTGGAGAACGGGGGACTCGGAAAGCGCTTCAAACTCGAACGGAGGTCCAGGAGATTTTACCTGGGACAACGAGGTGTGTTCTGTGGCGGAGGCGGGCGAGAGAAAAGAGATTGTCGAGGTCCGGTTGCTCTTCGTCCGTACATTTGATGGTCCGCTGGGAAAATTGACTTGCAAGAAGATGCAAATCAAGAAGAATGAGATCCTGTGGAAGATCCCGTGATTTGTCCTATGGAAATGGATCGACTATGGATCCGTCCGGGTTAGTAAAAAGGTTTGGAGTGGCGATGGTTGGAGAATGGTGATGATTTTTTGCCCTTTTGGAAGGATATAGCAGAGGAGAGAAAAAGAGCAGGCTGGAGTGTGGGCACGGCGTGGAATAGTAATATGGGCGGGACAGAGTGTTGTGCAAGGGGGGGGTGGACAATGAGTGAGAAGTGTGTGTGCGTGAGAATCGACACGGACACACAGACACACACATAAACAAGCACCCACACACCACTTTCTTCCCTTTCAACCTTCTCAACGGGCTAGGCAGTTAACCTTCACCAGGGTAGGGCTAGCGCAGAATTCCCGTCTCTCGCTAGCTGCAGATAAGGGGAGGGACGTGTCAAGTCATGACAAAAGCCCGTCACTCTCCCTCCCGTTCCCGTCTGCCTGTGAATCTGCACGGTCCGCCTCTGTGGCTGAGGGCCGCACGATGATGATGATGATGTGCAAGTGAGAACGAGAGTGGGAAATACGATGAAACTGCTCCACTTACGCATGCGACGCGCCCGGGTTACTCTTGTGATGCTGCTGATGCGAGGATCGGGTGCCGTTTCCGACGACGCCAAGCTTTATGCGGCAGCTGGAATGGAAATCGCACTGCAGCTGAAATGGCCTCCTCCGGTTGGGAGCCAGGCGCCTTCCGTGCGTGGGTTGGGAGATGCTGTCTGTGTGCGGTGAGCAAAGATCCCGCTTGGTGTTTTATGTATGTATCCCCGGACAAATCGTAGATCAGAGATTCCACGTCCGCCCGGTGATTCGTCCCAGGGAATTTCGAAAAATGATCCTGGGATTTTTCGTTGTGTGGTGTGGGAATTCTTACCTTGGCCTTGGTAATCACAACGGTCGGATGACCGATGAGCCGCAAGGATACCGTCGGTGGGAATCTTCCCGCGCACACTGGAAATGACTCGAAGGGTTCGGACGTTTGCGATGCTGCGCCCGACTCGCCGCGCCAGGCGATGAGCGTGCGATGGGATTTACTGGAGCGGGTTCACTGGTGATGATGGTCGACGTATGGGTTGCCAACGTGTTCGCTGGTCAAGGCTGGCTCGTTGCAATCGCAATAGGTCGGGACAGAGCGACCGAACTTGCAGCGCTGCGATGCCGTCCTTCTGCACCGTGGCGCTGATGCCCAACAGATGCCGCACTGCCTGCTTCACTGGCCTGGAGGCCTGTATGTAGGCGCGGCGAAGCCACTCCGGGGCAGCAGAGATGATTCCTGCAGCTGCAGGATGAGAGAGCGCGCAGCTGTGGTGCAGCCCAACGGGGAGCTGGGAATGAATGCCCACCAACCTGCAGGCGTTGTGATCGGTGGACGAAAGGGCAATATCGTTTGGAGGAAATTGACGACGATGACGACGACGACGATGATGGTGATTGTGATGTGAAGTAGGGAAAAGTGGGCAGATACCAGCAGATGTAATTAAATCCCAAACACGGCATCCATGGTCGTAGATGTGGGGAGGTTTATGAACACGATCGTAATAACGATATATATCGGCAATGTATGGAAATACAGTGCAGGTGATACGGTTGAACCCCTCCAGGTGGGTCTCTGAACCATCGATGATGATGAGTTCGGTACAAGTGAGACTGAGCATTAACCTTTCCTGAACCGCCTGCACAGTAAGCACGCACACGTTGCAGCACACACGCATTCCGATACAAGCAAGATCCGGTGTCCCTGTTGATCATCACACATCAAATGGGCGCGTAAGTGGGACAAATTGATTGCTCACCCGCGCAAGAAGGCTGGGACGGCAGTGATAGACAGGCACAAGACAGTGGGGCCACCGGGATTAGCGAGGCAAAGCGGGCGCCCACCTTGATATTGATACCTACCTAGGTAAGTAGGTAATTGTCACAGTATTGATCATTTGCTGATGAGCTGCCCTCGTTATCATGAGTGCACGGTGGTGATACAGTCAGTATTGGTGACCCACATCCCTCGCACTCGCACAGAAACCGGACAAACATTCACGTATCAACCGAAACGCGCGCGCACAATGACACACTCACATAGAGGCTCACACACACACATGCCTCTCAGTCATGGGCGTCTCCACTGGCCAAAACTTGAGGGAGCACAGTGTGACGAACCAGAAAATGCCTCTGCACATGGAAGCTCGATTGGACAAGACTGACGGAGAGCGGGTGTGGGTTCTCTGTCGTGGGATTTGGACACACATCACGAGGTGTGATACCCCAAGCGGCGTTGCGCACATGCGACATTGTGTGGATGCGCACAAGACGTGATGCCGCCGAGTACTGGTGCTGTGCTGTGCTGTGCTATACTGCGCTGGACATTCCAGCAAATGGCCGTCTCTCCCCCTCTTGTGCGGTACGTATAGCACAGTGTGTTTATCTCATTCCAGTAGTTTAGAACAGCCATCGAACACGGGCGGTTAACGATAAGAGGAAGAAGCACCTGATCTGACCCTGGCGTGAAGTTTGAACCGTCATGATCGTGGACAAATCCATGGATATCCGATCGCCTAGGCGGGCCGAGAGCGAACGACGCTTGATCCATTTGCTGTCGCGGTGTCGTATTGCGTCGTTCCAGCCCGGACGTGCAGGACCATGCACGGAGCCTGTGCAGCAGCCAGTGCGTCGAAACAAGGCGTAAACCTCCTTCCCCCTGTGAAATCAATTGTTATGATTAGTGCCTGGGCGTCGACGGCCGGCGATGATGATGATGAGGAGGTGAGCCTGGAGAGATGTGCGCCCACCACCACCACCACCACCACCACCACCACCACCAACAAACAGCTGTGACGAGATAACGACCGTGCTCATTGCGCCGTCGATGGACCATCACAATCACAAACACGGGACTGTTCAAAAAGTCGATCGGCATACAGTACGCACAGTAAATTAATGACAATCCCTACAATACCACAGCATGTGGTGCGGCATCCGTTGGTCGATGCAGCAAGCCAGAGGGTAGAGTAGGGGCAACGTCATTCCGCTCCGTCGGCTTGGAAGCATGGCTCTTGTGCGATCACTCCCATCAATTCAGTTGCCTGCCTGCCCTATCGAGATCTCCCTGTCTCCCTCCCTGTCTCCGTCTTCGTCTGCCTGAGGTGCTCGTTTGTTCGCTGCTCCGCCGGGACAGGAAGGCGACACAGATCGCATGACATGTGGTGCTCCTGTACATACTGCGGTCCACCCACATCGACTTGACCTCGCTACCCATGTGAAAATATGTATTCCGTCGTCCGTGCAGGGTTGGTCTGTCTCTTCTGATCGGGCTGGCATGCTGTGGAGTCCCTGAGATGGAGAGGCCACGGGAAAAGCAAAACATTCCACCCTCGTAAGAGGCGCCCATCGAGGTTGTCCCGCTTCGCATTTTCGCGAACATGACGCATGAGAGCCTTTGTCTCGTCTGAGAAGCCAATGGTGCTGGGGTCTTCGTGCGTGATGGATGCTTACACCGCGCACGAGATGTGTCGCACGGCCGACGTCCGAGGAGGACGATATCAATGTTCACGGGAATGCACATGACGCCAAGACATCTCGGAGGTTGTCACTGCACCGTACGGCAACAATGCCAAAACCCCCCCCTCCAAATAAAAAAAGCCTTGCATCGTCACGCAGACGGACAAGCAGACAGGAGCATGTGTGATCCTGTAATGCACTCGCGCACGCACCTCCGGTAGTTACGCACGCATGCACGCATGTGAATGCAGCCCGCCTCGTGCTCGCTATTGGGTTCCAGCGAGAAGGATCAGCCTTTCGCTCGTCTCTTCCCCGAAGCCCCCGGGCCGGGCTCCAAGATGAGCGCGGAAGCCACCAGCCGTTGATCTTCTGGAACGGGGGGCCGTGTCGTGTGTGGGCATTTGCCTAGTCGCCGTTTTTGTCATCACACAATCTATGGGCGTCCATCATCTCTCATAAACGAGATCACCCACTCCGCCTGCTCCAGCCACCGTCAGGCTTCGGCCGACCCTCCGCCGCAGGGTGGAAAGCAAATCTTTTGGCTTTCTCGGCATTCCCAAACGCACACACGCACACGCACGCACACAGTCGAAATTGGCACGGTTCATCCTCCTCCTCCTCTTTCTCCTTTTCGAATTTTCATTGGGCACTGACCAGACCATGGGAGGAAAAATGATCTGCCTGGCCGAGGTTATTTCTCGCCTGGGGATTTTGGGGTCGATTCCGAGCGTTCCGAAACCTGCGACGCGTCAGGCCTCCAGATGGGCCGCCCTTCACACACCGTTGATAGCTGTTGCCCAACAGATTCCTCCGTTTCCCTCCCAGATATCAGCCTGGTCGAGCTGCTATCTTCCAACTGCATCCCGGGATGTTGGTCCGCCTGTGTTGTCCTTTGCGACAACGCCTCTGCATCGTCTCGCGCGCGCGCGACGTAGGTAGTGCGAAAGCAGCTCGGCGTCATGCTGTTCATTGGCCACGACGACGTGCATAAGTTCGAAGCTTGTCATCGGGCGCGCGATGATTGGACGATCGACGCCCATGATTCTGCGTCCCTACCCAAAAGCTGCCGCCAAGTATAACATCCTCCGACATCCCATAAAGGCGGTGGACGATTTCCGTGACTCCATCGTCGTGTTTTCGTTTCCCTTCCCTCTCAACGGAAATTCTTCCCTGCGCTACACAGCGATCCTCCTCGCGCGCCCGCGCATGGGAGGACAGGCTGAGGACCGCCCTCCGAACTTCGGTCGCCGCGATGGTTCGACCGTTGTTCTTCGAAAACAGCACGTTCTGGTCCAACTCGCTGGCAAGGCTGGCAAAAGCCCAGATCTCCCAACGTTGGTGCTTGGCTCACCCAAACCGTGGACGCCCGTGCGGACGAAGCTAATGATGGTGATCGGACGGGCATCATCTGCCTGTCCCGAGACGTCTCGTCTTTGATGGTCAACAGGCTCGGATAGCGCCTTCGTCCAGCCCGAAGCGGTACAGACCAACGGTCCGGCGCAGCTCTGTGTCAGTTGCAACGCCCGAATTTGGTATTCAGGTGAGAAGGTGATGCAGATTGTTTTTGGACGCCACCGGGAAAGGCATGAAGGACTAGAGAAGGATGGGTGATGGACAGCGCAGCCGTGCATCGAGGTTCGCTCCTGCAGACGACGAGACGCTCCCCGTCACCCAGCATTAGTCTGGGTTGTGTATGTATGCGTCCATGGCGTGCGTGTGTCTAGTCTGTCTCATCACAAGCAAAGCCCGAATCCCATCATGCCCACACGCGACACATCTGATATGAGTAATTGTGACACAGCCCGAATGACCTGCCTGGACCGGAACACTTCCCGAAGAGGCATTGTTATGATGAGCTTCCTTACCCAGACCAATCTGTCCCCAGGATCATGCTGGTTGGTGTTGGGCGTACGAAGCGAGCCAAAACTGTGGTGGAACATTGCAGCCCGCCGCTTATTACCCAAGGAGCACCTCTTATCAATAGCTAGGTAGCCTGGACAACCAACAAAGCTGTCAACCTTCCTGGCTATCGCAAGCACTTGGCCAATATTCAATGTGCGGTCTCGATCGAAACGTGACCTGATACACACGCAGGATATTGACTTGGCCGAAAGGGACTGAATGCAAACGGGTCATGCGCCCTGTGTGTCCTCCGTGTGTGTATCTGCATCGACGGCGGTGGTCTAGCATGTCGCAGCCAGGACAACCCCAAAACTCTATGCCTTCACCACCCTGCCTGCAGCCATTGGGATCGTCCGCGAAATGAAGCTTGCGATGCGTCGCTTGTCACACCGCATTTCGAAGCAATCCACATGCATCGTGCCAAGGCCGTCAAGCCACAGACAGCGCACCTCCCTCCGTCCAGCATTTCGGCGAGTGATGATAAGCTGACAAACATGACCAATGCATCGTCACGGGTGATCCTCTAGTTGCATCGCCCGACTGCGCTCGATGGTTGACCTCTGCGGCCGGAGCAGCGCACCGTCCGACGCTGCATGCAGGGTTGGAGAGGCATCGACTACTGTAGCCCCTCTGCGCGTTGCGGTGATCTGGTGGGACCCGATACTGGTCGGCCATCGGTGAGGGGTCACTTGCATATCCAAACAAACAACCGAGACATGCTCCGAAATAACTTTCAGCGGGTTTCAATGGATTGTATGGATAGATCTTATAGCTCACACACCTCAGAAAATGGCTCCTGTGAAGCTGTTATGACACGTAACAGTGAGTTGGGTGTTGCTAGTGTGGAGTACCGCTGCAATTCTGTCCAGGGTCTGCCTTCGACGGCTTGATTGAGAATCTCGAAATCTACCTGGGCACCTAGGTAGTACCATAACATCCCTCGCCTATGACCAAGTTACCGGCATGCGTTGAGTAGTTGCTGAAGGCTTTTCACTCGTCGTCCACGTCGAGGATGAAGACCTCGAATGATACTCATGTCGTTTCCACCGACCGTAATTCCAAATGCGTATGTGTCGTCCTGTGCGGCTGAACGCCCGCATGACGGCGACTCGGTCCTCCGTCGGCGTCTGAGAAGCTCAACGCTCAGGACAACGATGACGGGAACGTCGTGAGTACAAGCCGCCTGCCGTCACAATCAAGCACACCTCGTGACGCCGCGAGCAAAATACACATGCCTTCAAGTCCGGCCTTCGTGCTCGTTCCTGGAGCCTGGCATCGTGCCACTTGCTACGACCGGGTGCGCGACATTCTCAAAGCTAAACATGACATTGAATCCTTCGCCGTGACGCTCCCCTCCACGTGTGGTGATCCCAATGCCACCCTCAAAGACGACATCGACGCCACGCGGGCGATCATCACTGATCAACTAAGCAAGGGCCGCGACGTTGTGGTGGTCGCTCATTCGTACGGTGGCGTGGTCGGCAACAGCTCCATCAAGGGGCTGACGAGACCGAAATCAGGGGGTCATCGCGAACCCGACAGCGAAGTTCGCGATCAAGGACATGTCATCGGGCTGGTCTTGCTCACCACGGGCTTCATATTCACCGGCCTCGCCATGATGGATCCGTTCTGCGGCCTCCCGATGCCGTTCTTCCGCAAGAATACCAACACCGGCTTTGCGGAGCTGCGCGGCTCTCCGATCCATCATTTCTACCACGATCTGCCCCGCGATGAGGCGAACGCCGCGGTGGGACAGTTGATGCCGCACAGCCTCAAGTCGCTCTACGAAGGCGGCGAGCATGCCTACGCGGGCTGGCAGGACGTCCCCGTGTGGTACATCGCCGCCACCCGCGATCAAGTCCTCCCGATCGCCGCCCAACGTCTGGGAGTCGGGCTCGCGAGGGGTCAAGGCGGCGACGTCACGGTGCGTGAGATCGAGTCGAGCCATTCCCCGTTCTTGAGTCGACCGGAGGAGTTCACCGGAATCCTCGTCGCCGCCGCCGCCGAGTTCGGGCGCAGTGGTGTCGATGTGGAGCATTCCCGGCGCCGCCGCGAGGCTCAGCTGGTCGGACTCTGGCCGCAGAGGTGGCTCCGCGCTGGCCTTTTCATGGGCACGGGCGAGATGATCGGGAGGGTCATTGCTGGTGTCGTCTGGCTCCGGAGGCTGTGGCGATCATGATGTCGGGAATTTTAATGTCTTGGACGAGGCACTTCACGAGAGACTTTGCGATCATTTTATACTCCAGGCAGGGGCGATTCAAGGATACTGGACATCGAGAGAACCCTTCAGCCTCCGTCGTTCTTGTGGTAGGTCGTCTACCGTGTCCCACACGACGACGGACATTGAGGTTGGGCACTGTTTCCTCACGACCCGATATTTGTTGGCCCTCAGAGGGCTCGGTTTGAGCCAGCGACATCAGGCCTTACAACCCAGAATGGTCCCAACATGCCTTCGTAGAGCGGAGTCACCCATCTGAGCACATTACGATCGTCTACATTTCCGCTCTTGGGGTACCTAGGGTTGGCGTCAGAAGTCGCTGATTCTGTTGTGATGGCAAGGTAGCAAACGGGAGGTGTCGTATGTCAACCATGCATGACGTTCGGTCGATCAGACAAGACATGTCTACCACGTGGAGGAGATCGATGTGTGAAGATACGTAGGTAGGGAGGTATTCCCGTTGATGGTTCCCAGAGGAAGGATTCGCTGCAGGCCAGGATGCATGTGTCCATAACAATGACATGCACTAACGCGGGGAACCCCAACGCGGTCCATACCCCAACGCGGTCCACAATTTTGAACACAACAACGCGTCAACTTCAACACGCAATGGCTACACCAAAACGCGTGCAATCGTCCCTAAAAGAGGGGAGTCTATTGCTTGCGATGTCAGCTGTCAGATCAGGTGCCAGCCGCTCCGTAGCAGCGGCAGCGAGAGACTATAAGGTCTCAAAAACGACGTTGCTCCGGAGACTCAAGGGAATCCCCTCTCGAGAAGATTGGAAGCCAGG